TGCATAACCCAATTTTGGCGAACCTGTGGTTGCTTGGCTTTCCCGTTAAGCATTCAACGTTGGTCGGTGAATTTATCTGACGAGTTCAACCAAGTCTCCGCTTCGACCATTACCCATTTCAGAAACCTTCAGCTAGTTAGTGGATTCCCTAAGAGCGCTTCGGAGCTGGATAACGAGTCTTCAACTGCTTTCAGCCATGGTCTACTCCAGGCGTCTTAGCATGATCTTGCGGAGATTCTAAAATGTTACCCCTAACGTAGATGTTCTTGAAACTTCTTTAACTGATCGAAAAACAACCATTCCACATTTTTTTCATTCATGATGGTGCAGCTCGGTCGCCCTCAAATTTTACGAGAGACAAAAGCCTATTAGGGATGTATGTAAGGAGTCTTCGGTCATGGATCATCATTCTACGTACCATAAATGTGACGTACCCACCGGTATTGAATGGGTTAGCGTTTCTGGCTTTGAACTACCTCCACGGGTCGTTGAACACAAGATTATGCGCAGTAAGTTGTTCAAATTATGGGTCTTTCAAGAGTGGAGGTACATGGACATGGACATGGTAGCTGCCACCAAGAAGAATAGAAAGCCCCACGAAGCATTGCATGTAGAGGAACACATTCTGCCATTAGGATTTTGTGGTAGGCGAGATAGTGTTGCCATCAGAGAACGAAGACCTGAAATTCTTCCACATTTCCTTTGACGCAAACAGACCTTCGCCTCCGACTGTCACATACCTTGCGGGGCATATCGTTCCAAGGAGAAAATTTTTAGGACTCTTGGTAGTAATCAGAAGATAGCAATAACTTTCGTACTCTATTATCTTGTACGCAATATTCTTTGAAGAATCCGGAAATTGCTTTCCACGAAGGTGTATATCGATCAGCATCGAACCTTTCAACTGGTAGAGGCAAATCACGCTAACTATACACTCAACCACTAAGTTAGAAAAACCAGCACGACACTTATTACCAAAGGAACAATTCAGAGCTCTATTTATCCGTGTACAATATCTTTATTTTTACAGCGAAACCACCAACTATTCTGACATTTTCGCTAACCCACACAGTTTAGCATATATACTGATACTTTCGGATCGTTAAGTAAATCCTACGTCTTTCAGCCATCTTATCATCCTTGAGCCGACAATTCGGAGCCCCGTCATTCCCGTAATAATCGGGTACAGTGATTGGCTGGGACTTCATTCACTTCAAGCTATTCGTGACTAAAAAATATAACCCACCGGAAGTATCGAGAATCCGTAGTAGAAAGGGGTATCCACATGCTTCTAGATGCATTGTGCTAGCATACCCACATCGTCAAAAATATTAAATGCTCAAGGTGGTTAAGAATGTAAAAATATCAACTTAATACTATGCATCCAGAGGTATCTTTCAATAACACCTAAAATTCCGACTGGCGCACAACTAAATTTGTTAGACGGTAATTGGGCAGCAAGTTTAGGCAGGATTTGAATGGGGATTGTGTGCAGCACAACGACTCCATCACACCGGTGTATCTTGTTGTCGTTCTACGCATATTTACCTGACCAACCAATAAGAATATTAAAGACACGACCACAGTATCGATTATCTCCGTAGGGATCTTTTCCATACCAACTGTTGGACTTTTCTTTCCTGTGGATATACCCTTGTTGGATTTCAACAGTATGGGATATAATTTTTTAGAAAAATAATAGCACCATAAAAACTGCCAAAGACCCAGAACAGGAACCGTCTCCTAAATAATTCAAATCGAATATTTCCACGAAAACTTGCGAATTATTCTCTAAGCGAAGAACGCATGGGGTATCTGTACAAATGGCTCGCCAGACTTTCCTTAGAGCTTCCTGGCGAACGTCTCTCATCTACCACCAACAGCCTGGTACACGTGATTTACAATGTGTCTGAATGCTGTAGTCTGGCTCTATCATTCGAAGAATCTATAGGACTTCAAGCAGTGATTGGGCCTACCATATTGAACCTACGGGAATCTCCGCTCAATCGTGCAATGTTTTATTATCATTGCGATCTTATAGCACTCAAGCGCCGAAGATCGTAACCTTAGCGCTCTTTAATTTGCTTTATATATAGGCTTCTTTGTGCACATTTGAAAATGAACTTTTTTATATATGCAATAGACCAATATACGCCATTCGCATCCGATCATCTTCCCTGAATTTAAAACAGTCCATATCTAAGAGATAGTGCAGCCAAAAGTCCTTCAAACATCTTCGTCATTTTATACCTATCACGTAGACAGTCTCAGATATCGAATTAGACATTCCTTCTCCACTGCCCACGTAAGTACTTGCTATTTTACCTTCTTCTGATTGACAATGTTTTGCCTTACAACATGGCCACTCACCTCCCTCTTTCGGACTTCAATGTATATCCCAGCACACTCCCCATTATCACCCATGTGTCTTCCCAACATGACAACCCCGATCATTCGATACACACCTCCAACCGGTTCAGAGTCGCAAAGTCGAAATTCCCGGAGGCCTACTTCCAGCTGTACTTTTTATCGGGGGAGGTCAACAGCACAGAAGAAAAAGAGCAGTCACCCCCAGGCTCTCCATGGCAGATAGGCAACAAAGCCAGACTGGGTCCAGTTTTCATACTCTAGATTGAGTCTCCACGCTGTTAATTACTCCACTGTCAAGCCTCCAAGGAAGGACTGCAATAACAATGAATATACCCGTCCTTCCCGAATGGTTTCTTCAAGTTCACAGGCTTTGTTGAAAACAAAGCTACCGGGTGTATTTACAACCGACGCAAAAGTATACACCCATGTCCTAAACAGGGCCTCTCGGTCTTTTGCTGTTTGTTAATTCCCAATAGATCCATGAATGGCCTACTTGTTCAAGCCCTCCTATTGTTCTGCCGACTATAGCACCTGAGAATGATCGAGTGGGTTTTCAAATTGGTGGACCCCGCTTCTCCTGATGGGGAAAAGCTCCATATGTACGAGGCCACCAACGGTACTGTTTATGACCAAAGAGGCTTCTTTGTTATCATGTGCCCTGAGGTGAAGTTGACGAACTAACTGGTGAACGTTTGTTTCCCCAGATCCCAACCCCAGATATGGCCTTGAAGTGGTTCGATGAAACCTTTAAACCGGGCTACATGCAATACGTGTAAGACACGGCAAAGAAGGATGAAACCTAACTAGTTCTCGACGAACAGAACAAGTGGTACAAGGTCCATGACACCTGGGGTGAGCTGATCACCCACTACGACATCATGACTCACCCTTCTTAGACCATTGATCTTGCGCTGGCATCGCGCAATTTCTTTTAGAGAATTACGTCAGGCGAAATTACCGCACTGTATTCTGACGACTATTGCTCTCTCGAATCTTGTTCATTTCTTTATTTAAGCGACGACAAGGCCACTGTAAATGTACTTCGTTATTTTAGCGCCTCCGTGGTCCACTCCCGGATGGCTGTTCAACGTTTTAACGTCCTGATCTTTGATTGATAATTCACTCTGTAATGACAACCACTTTGGTAAACTAAGACACTCGAGATTCTAATGTCGTTTTGTGTCGCATTAAAAAATATATAGCGGGGCCATATCATTTGATCATGACATGTTCAAATAATAAGGGAGAACACACCAAAGCGGCTTACAATAAACGACCCAACGTATGTAATTTACAAGCACTCTACGACTAACGCTTTCACTACTAATCCCCCGGCCGCCCAACCACGTTCTATCCACCACTGATTCGCTGCTTCAAGCCTGACTCCAACTGAGTCCTATATTCGCTAATGGTTTTGCCACTACCGCCATTGGCAAACGTCTTACACAATTATTCTTGGTTTCCAACGCCTGTAAAATGAACTTTAGAAGTCTGCATTACTTCGGAAACTTCTTCTCCGAGTAAAGCACATAACTACACGCAGAAAGCTATCATGTTCATTAATTCAAAATAAACGACAAACACCTCAGGACTCTTTTACCCTGTTCCTTGTGAATTGTTCTATTTCCGAGTATATTATTATCCATTATGAACAATAATAGTATGGAAACTCCCCATTTCACTTATAATTGTAATGTTTTAAATACACTAATTAAAGAAAAAATGAGATGAGAATCTTTCAAACTGTTATTACTCGCTATTGATGTGTCTGGGTTGGGTAAGGTCTAGGCTATCTGTCGCACCGGATATTGATCCCCGGATGTGCCCGTCACTCTCGTCAAATCCTCGTTGCAATATGGAGGCCTCCAATATTACTTCGAAGCGAAAACCCCCAATTTCCAAGTTCCAGTAGTTTGCCACATATTACGTTCAAGTTCTCGATGTCGCCACACTGATATACTGGACGAACACGGCGGGCCAAGTAGTAATACACTAGGGCGAAATAGTCAGGTCTCGGGACATAATGATACTCGCCAAAAGGGTATTTGAAGAAAGATCCGAGGAACTTCGGTTCCTCATTCACGATCGCGTGGATACCCAATGGGCAATGGCATATGAGGAAGCCCGCGGGCAGAATTGTGATGGAGGCATTAGCCGACCCCGAGCTATATAATCTTACTATTAACATCTTACTGACTCTCACGGTATACATTTCTTCTAGTCGAATACGTAGACTTCTACAGGGCCTTCTAAGTAATGCGCGCCGGGTATAATTCAAACCTCTGCCCCCATCGGTACCATTACCCCTAAAGCAAATCGTCTCCAGGAGACGAAATTTCGAAGAACCCTTTGAAGATCGCAATAAAATATTTTTATTGTTTTCGAATGATCTCTCGCGCATCCAAAATGCCACCAAGAGCAAAGAGCGCCACCGCCGGTAGTCTAGTTACCGTTTACATGTATGCATTACGAGTACCCTCGTGATTGTGATGTCGTTGCTCCTCCTACGAGTACGGTGAATGTCCTATACCAGCAAATGGACATCAGAAACAGCACTGCCAGTAAAGCTCTTCCTGCATTTTGCTTCGAGTTCACGGAGAAAACCAACACACGCCAACGAGATCGTGAGCATGACTCGGGAGAATTCAGAGCTTCATCCAGCCGCCGGTGCTACCCAACAACAGCAGCAGCTTGGTTCCAATGAAGATGCTAATGACACCGCAAACAAAGAAAATGAATGCACGCGGCATTTGGAGACTCTGGGTGTCAGTGTGTATTACTTGGAGCGCATCTTTTTGGAGGAATTAAAGGGTGCTTCCACAAATGATACACAGTCTCGTCCTCGCTCTTCCAAAATATACGAAATTGAAAACTTAAGAGGTCCTCCTGGCATCATCCGAACCAAAGGTGCCACTGTTATATGTCCCTTGGATGGAAGAATGGGTGCTGCCTATGTCCACTGTCTAAAAGGAGAAGACTACGTTGGAGTGGCAACTCATATGCTCAGCTATTCGTGGAGCTACACGATTGGGGATATTGTGGATACTCTCTCTGATTACTGCCTCCACAATAGTCTTGACCCAAAGAGGACCTATATCTGGATATGCTGTCTCTGCGTCAATCAACACAGGGTAGTGGAAAACTCTACCAGTACTTCTCAAAAGTCAGGAATGATAATTCCATCCCATGTCGATTTCTTCCCTATCTTTGGAGAACGGGTGCAGAGGATTGGGCATCTGTTGGCAATGATGGCTCCTTGGAATGCACCTGTGTACATCACCAGAATCTGGTGTATTTTCGAAATCTTTACTGCTCACACCAATGGATGCACCATAGACATTGTCATGCCACCAAAAGAGAAAGGTACTCTTGAAGAAGTGGTCGATGACAAAGGTGGCGAATTTGCACTGACTACACTCTATGGGACTCTGAGTAACACTAAAGTTGAGGAAGCCAAGGCTTCTGTGGAAAGTGACAGACTAGCCATCCTGCACCAATTGGAATCAACTGTTGGATACTCAGTGCTCAACAATCAAGTGAATGAATTGTTACGTGGATGGATGAAGGAGGTCCTTTTTCATCTAGTGAAGACAAGGGAAAACACCAACAATCTGCAGTATGTGGAATTCTGCAACAGTATTGGTATGATTTTTAGGGGGAATGGAGAGCAGGATGCAGCCAAAAAGCTCCACCAGGATGCTGTGGCGATTTCTGAAGCCAACCTGGGCAAGAATCATCCTGACACTGCTCAATCTTACAACTATCTGGGCTCTGTTCTAGTTGATATGGGTGATTATGAAGGTGCGCTATCAAACTTCAAGGAAGCTCTTGCCATGAGAGTTGCAATACTGGGCAATGATCATGCTCATTTTGGAAACACCCTCAACAATATTGGTGGTGCATTGAAGGCTAAGGGTGACTATGACGGAGCCCTATTAAAACACAAGGAAGCACTTTCCATCTTCGAGTCAGCATTGGGCAAAAAGGATCTCTCAGTGGCAACTACCTACTTGAGTATCGGTTCTGTGCAGGATGCAATGTGTGACTTTGAAGGTGCTTTGTCCAGGTTTGAGGAAGTACTTGCCATTAGACTGTCAGTGTTGGGTAGGGATCATCCTGAGACTGCTGAATCCTACAACAAGATTGGCGGTGTGATGTATGCAAAGGGGGACTATGAAGGTGCTTTGGCAAAGTTTAAGGAATGCCTTTCTATCCAAGAATTCGTACTGGGAAAGAACCATTATGAAACAGCCAGCAGCTACAACAATATTGGAAATGTTCTCTATGCCAAGGGTGACTATCGTGGTGCTTTGTTGATGGACAAACAAGCACTTATCATCTTCCAGTCAACATTGGGCACAAGTCACCCCTTGGTAGCAACAAGCTACAACAATGTGGGGCTTGTAATGATGAAGATGGGTAACTATCAAGGTGCCTTGGAGAAATTCAAGCAAGCTCTGGAAATGCGACTGCCAGTATTAGGCAAGAGTAATCCGGCGACTGCTGAATCCCACAACAACATTGGATCTGCTCTGCTTCGTCTGGGTGATTACGAGGGTGCTTTGTTGAAGCACAAGGAAGCTCTTTCACTTCGAGAGTCGGCATTGGGCCACGAACACCATGATACTGCTCAGTCATATAATGATATTGGCATGGTGCTGTTCAAGAAAGGGGACCACAAAGAAGCCTTGTCAAGATTTAAAGAGTGCCTAGCCATCTGGGAACCCGTGTTGGGATTGGAGCATCCCAATACGAAGGCATGCCTGAAATGGATTGAAATTGTCAAGGAAACAGTACAGCATGGATAGGAACATTAGATAGATGTAGCTAGCAGCAAACGAAGATGTTTCCGCTTATAGACTGTTCGTTCAAACTCTGCCGTCTATGGGGTGCAGTACTATTCTGCTGCCCCACATCCTTTCTTTTATGGTCCGCGTAGGTCCCAGCCATGAAAGAGGGACATCCTTCTACTCTACTAGTAGAGCTACCATAGCAAGCCGGAGTGGCATGCATCCCAAGTGAAGCAAAGGAAAACCTACGACCTGGCTGCATCTATGAGGCAGTCCAGGTATGTACCTACAAAGAACATTCTGAACTTTCGTAATGCTACACTGCAGTCTGGCTAAACTGGCCAGCCGACAAAACAGCAACCATGGATCGAGTGACAAGTCGAGTGACCCCAGTCCGTTCACAGAAGCCTTTCCGTATTGGCGCCGGTACGTACCAGAACAGCTGGTGAACTGACAAAAAAGGGGTAGTTTCGGTAAATATACAAAGTTAGGGTTACCTATGTTAGTGAACTGTAACGAAGATAAATGTTTACCGCGCCTACCTGAACTGCATCTGTTGGCCGAAATGTGGCTCCAAAAAACGATTTGTCGAGTTGAAACTTGTTGCGCAACGGCGATTTTGGCCACTCCTTCACCCATTTTCTCGTTCCTCATCATCGAAGATAGAGATGGCCAAAAACTCAAACTACCACAGCAGGCTTCTGATAAAGGCCAATTGTGAAGAGGGAGAAGCGAAGCTCTCTCGGTATCACCCCCCACACATCTCCTTTCTTTTCTTCCCTGCAACTGAAACTCTCGGCATCAGCAATGAGCCTCCACAACCGATCTTCTCCCGTCCCTCCTATTGCGTCTTTGCAACTTTGTGAAGAGGTTAGCCTCACAGATGAGTCCGACTGTGTGAGCCATGATAAGAAACAACGAAAGAGACGGTCTGTTTGTTCCCTTCGGATAGCGTGCATGTACGTCATTGCTTTCGCTTGCCTCGCCGTGCTCAGCAATCTACCCGCGACAAGCAAGGCAGTATCCGTCTTGAAGAACAGCTATCCGAGCAATGCTGGAATATTCAGCTATCCAAACACCGCCACCAATTCCGACAAGACAGATCAGAAGCGTCCAATTTTTGCTTTTCACGTGGGACCTCCCAAAACTGCCACAACCTATTTGCAGTATGGCCTCACAGAATACCGTGAAGTGCTGAAGCGCGACAACTACCGCTATTTGGGACAAGTCATGTTGGATCAAGACAATATGTGGAAGCAGCACCATGGACCCATTCTCAGCATTCTCAAGGATCAAGACTGCATGCAAGCAGTCAATAAGGCCAGGTCCAAATCTGTCCCTTCTTCCAAATACCCAAAATGCTGGAAGGTGTTGACTCAGCTACTGGCGCATCATCGCAAACGAAACGAATCCATCCTCATGTCGGAGGAAAACTTTTCAATAAAATATTCGAGCATGTTGAATCTTGAGCGAACCAGTGTCGATTGGAAAGCTCTGGCAGATCTTCTCCGTGAACAGGACTGGGAGCCTCTCATTATCGTGGGTTATCGTAGGTTTTCCGAGATCTTGCCCTCGGCAAAGCAACAGTGGGATCGGGAAATTCTTTGGGAGTGGCCTTCTGGCAAAGCCAAGCGCAGGCCCAAGGACGACCAAACCCCTTACGACGATGATGATGCCTGGCGCCGTCCGGCACCGATCTTCCCCAAAATATTGGACGATCCCAGATTGGGATCCAACAGCTATTTCTCCAAGGCAGAGCACGAGAGCGACGAGTACGTTAGTTGGTCCTACACCGATCACCTGGTCAAGACAATATCACCCTACTTGCCCGTCCGAATGCTCAACATGCATCAACAACATCTACCGGAAATGGATCTGCGAACGTACTTTGTCTGTCATGTCTTGCCCTATGCGCACAACACCTGTGAGGAGTCGAAAAAGGATTCCCTACAGCTCGCTGCCTCCTCCAAAGAACCTCGCAATAAAGGGCAGCCCGACTTTTACTACGATTCGCTGGTCGTGGCGGCGGCTGAACGAGGGTGGATTGACGTAGAGAAGATTGATCGCTACATTGCCAATGAGGCATTGAAGGCCGCGTCTATCGACCACCTCCTTGTCTTGGACTGTCCAACAGCAGAGCAACTACAGCCCGTTTTGGATGCGTCGTTGGCCAAGGAAGTTGCACTGTGGGGAAGTGCCATGGCGGAACGCTGGAAGCAAGATCATATCCGAGCCTTCAATGAACATCTTTCGGATTACTGTGGGATCGACGTTCAAGCCACTTTGCCCAAACTAAGAAGTCTCTTTTCCAGTAGGAAGTATGGTAGATTGGTAAAGGAGGCGGTGAGAATAGAGGAGGAGGAAGAAAAGGACAACACACACGATCCTGAGGAGGGAAGTGGAGACAGGTGACGGAGCCTGAACTGCCGTACAAGCAAATGAAAGTGAAAGGTGTAAACCTAGACATGGACTATTGTATCACAATAATGCAGCAGCCACTAGTTTGCAAGGCCTTGAACGCCAGGGCCAACTGAGCTCCCCGCCACACTGGATTTCTTGCTTCATTAGCCGTGGCAGCATACCTTGACCCAAACAAGTCAGTCAGGTAGCAGTGTGACAGCCTCTGTGTCCCATTGAAAAACTCTGTCAACCTCCCTTGCTACCTAAATACATGTAGACCCAGAAGCTTGCTCACACTAGCTATCTACTAGGAGTGCGAGAATAACTGTGCACACCCATCAGTGCACTTGGCTTGCACAATGCACCTCCAGCTAGCGCTCAGCTACATCACTCCTGAATGATTCAATCTCTACGTATCTGTCTAGCCAGCATGTAATGGTAACCAGCAGTATCGTGTACTCAGAGTAGCCCTTGAGATAGCTCCGCCAGCAGACCGAACAGCATCTTCGGTCCATGATGGCCAAACCCTTCCCATGCGATACAAATGCGTAATCGGCACGTTCTTGGGGGTGTAATTGCTTTCAGCTTCCAGGTGTCAGACCAAGTTGGTTTGTCACGAAGAGGAAGAAGCCAACGCATCACCAACAACTTGATGTGGAGCGAATTTCATTGCCGCCAATGGAGAACTCGGGATTGTAAAGTTCGCAGAAAAAGATACCTTTGTTCGCTTCGGATCTTGGCCATTGGTGGCCAATGATATTTTGCTGGTACGGAAACTTGTACCGTACCTGGTAGCAACCAGGTCCGTGCGAGGGTACGATGGTAACATCTCCAGAGAAGCATAGGAAACGAGTTTGCTTGTGTCAATGGTAGAGAGGAACACTACAGCTACGGGTTCAAACTTTCTCGTTGCAAGCAGTCAAGCCGGTCTCCTAATGTACCTTGCTGGAAGTTGAGAACCTTGCAATGAGTCGAGTCGAATCACTAATATTGCTACCAATAGCAAGAAATCGTAATCACATTGTTGTATTAGTCATCTTGGAAGTTGGGGCACAGGGTTTTACTTTCAAAGGAACAGTAGGAACAATAAACACAAAAAGGTTCCCATCTGTAGAGCAAATTGCTTGGGTTGGAGGAAATCCGACGGGTACACAGAAACACATTCATAGCATCCATCCGTCTGGACTAGCTTGCTAGCAGTCAGAGGAAGCAGAAAGCTGACAGAGGGCAGCCACGGCCGCAATGACAGCACCCGTCCCGGCGACAGGAACGTTGCGTGGAGCAGCTTGGCCCGTGGTGGCACTGGTACAACTAGATGCTGATGATCGTCTCTCCATCGTAGTATCGTTCTGCTCAGGTGGTTGCAACGACACACACGGTGGATCTTCAGATGCACTTAGCAACGATGGCACGGGAGAAGAAGATGCAGTCGAGCATTGCGTGCTGTTTGGCTTGCGCCAAGACTCGTGAGGTTGATCCCATGGTGCAGCTTCTGTAATCAAAGCCGAGTAAGGTTCGGATGGTTTTCGCGTCGATGCTCGTTTGCGCTTTTTCTTGTTGGGGGAGAGTAGGTTGGCCTTGGCCTCTTTTCTATCTATCCGTAGATTGGCTTCCTCTACCAAACTCTTCAAGCGTTCTCGGTTTTCTTCCAACCTCAGAAAGACATTCTCACCAGCATCCAAACGTTTCAAGACTTTCTGAGCGTGGCTTTTAATTTGAACCAGAGATCTGTTGGTTATCGAATGAAATAAGGAGAATGAGAATGCAAAATGTGAGATCATACATCAAGATAACGACCAACGAGACGTGGGTATCAAGGGGTATCATCCAAGAGTTGCGTACCTGTCTGGCACATAGGCACTGATCTTCTTCCATCGTCCCTTCCCAAAGACACTCAAGCCGTAGAGGAACAAGAGTTTCTCGTCGAGGGACCACCGTCCAGACTTGGCATTGTTGATGGGCTTTTGCTCCGATGCTGCCATGGTACTCCCACTGGATGTGGTTGGTATTGATAATGATGATGTGGATAAGTTTGAAAGATTGGCAGCTACCACAGTTTCTGTGGGAATGGAACAGGATGACGACAGTGTATCATTGGTAGACGGGTGTGCTTGCTGGTGTTGCATCGGCGCCTCCACGTGCTGGGTGCCGAGTCTCGCCTTCTTGCGAAGGTGATTTTCCACCTCCAAATAGCTACTGGCTGCTACATGTACTCTCTCACCAGCCACTTGACTACAACTTCCAATACTGACACCCTCTTGGTTCATTGTCTTGGTTATAAAGGCTACCATGGCTTTGCTGTATACCTACCACAAAAAGATACCTTGGTCGGTGGAATGTGTTCAGCCAGTTGATTGCCTATTTCGACTGAGAATCTTTCGTTGCGAAGTGGGCGGTCTTGAGCCCAAAGATACCTTCTTGCCACACGAGAATGTCTTCCAACAATGACACATCCCCCCTCATTCGTGCCCAAATTCGCTTGATTGACACTTGGAGAGAAGACGGCGAAACTGTTCGGGTGACGAGGACAGTCTTCCAGCTGGACATTCATTGTCATCCACCCAATCAGTGTGATGGTCTCCGTTTCAACGCGATTCTGTGATTTTTACACGGACTGTGGTTGGCTGCAATGCCCCTCATCAATGTCCGATCAAACCAAAGCATCATGACGCGCAGCTGCCAATCGAAAGAAGCTGTCAGCCTTCTTCGCGAACGCAAAATCTGAAAACTGGCAAGTGTGCGTGCAAACTAAAATCTCGACTCCCACCGATGACACAGCTCCGTGGCGGGCTGTCAAAACCTGCGCCATTCTTTGCATGGACAACCCAGCTGCTTCCTCTCTCGCAATTCCCATCTCATACCCCTCTACTGTCTTCTACAGAAAAAGCTTGCCAGCCAACTCCATAGCTAGCTAGTTACCGGTAGCTGCAGATTAGAGTCTCGCAGTTAGGATGCAATGATGTTTGGATTGCAAGATCCTGGGCTCCGTCTTTGCAGCCCATAATTGTGGATCTTCTCCGCCGCCTTCTCAGCCCATACCGGTACGGTACTATAACGTATCGACTACTAGGTTATTGACCGTTGGCTGCACTGGACTGTACCGTAGCATGCAACATGAATATCTAGGCTAGATTCATGGCTCCTGCAGGCAACATCTCAACCAGAGAGATGTTCCCAGCTTGCCAAATCCGCTCATCAAATAAATGGACAACCCCATTGCTTCAGACCCCCTTCCAGCCTGGAACAGCACACCAATGACACTTCCATCTTGCTGTCTACTTACTTGCGTGTTTTCTTTTTCACATATCGAGAAGGCTGAATCCGCGTGCTGATTCCCCGTTTGCGTCCTCGGCGAACCTTTCCATTTTCATGGTTTTGAACGGCAATCAGAGACCAGTTCCCAGGTGCTTCGCTCAAAAGTCCATACAGTACATTGATGTTTTCACCAGGCAAGCCTTTGTAGCTGGAGCGATCGTTCTTGGCAGAAATGAGGATATCCGCGTAGGCACATCCTAGTTGACGCATCTTGCAGCGACCTGCTTTGTTCAGAGTGGTGAAATGTTGTATCTGTGGTGGTGTAGCTTCCCCGCTAAAGCAGTCTAGAACAGTGAGCGCAGTGTTATGGTCCCGAAGGCAGGCTCCCAAAGCAGACACTTCACGGGATGTTGCCCCCCTGAGACTATCCCACTGAAAGGTGGTTAGGGTCTTGTGAGTCTTCAATCCTTTGGCAATGACAACCAAGTCAATATCTGCATCGCAAGTAATGTACAACTCTTTCAAGCTGGGAGCATGTTGCAACAGTTTGAAGATTGATTCTGTTGCACTTGCTTTGACAGCCGGTGGAACTGCATGGTCACGGCGGTAGGAATTCAGCCGACGCCGCCAGGAGGCATACTGGTGCAAATGCTGCGCTTGCAAACCTGGTGTGTTTTGTTTTCCACTGAAAGCCATAGAACTAAAGGTGGGCCCATTTGCTTGCCCAAGTGAGATATGATGGACCCAGGAATAGTTTATATGTTGCAGCAAGGAACCCACAGAAGGCTTTGACAGATTGGGAATATTGACGCTGTTGAATCTTCCACGACGGCCTCCTGAATGGGCTTCCGAGTTGAATATGAAAACTGTAGAATCAGCAATTTCCAAGTGAAAATGAATCATCTTGGGATCATTGCCAATGTTGGACAAGCCCTTGTGTAATGCGCGAAGCCAATAGTTCACGTAGCGTACACTGGGAACTTTGACAGAAAACTTGGCACTGTGCTTGATGTGCAAGATGGTCAAAACGAGCGCATTCATCAATAGCGTTTGTTGCATTACTTTGCTATCATCGGCAATAGGAGGGAAAATTACCTCCACGAGAGCAGGGTGCAATCCACCAATGCTGCGACCTTTGGGCTCAGTGCGAGCGACAAGAGGAGGTTCATCTTTGGGTTCCTTTGGGCATGCTTTCATAAATTCCAACAATTTTTCACTGCTAACCATCCCCTGATTCATGAGGTACACAAAAGGAATGCTGCTCTTGTTGTCGCTCCCGGCATTTGATTCCGCCGGAAAGGGGACCCAATCAAATGCAAACATAGGATGTGCTTGCAGGAACCAAAAAATTTCCAAGGAGAGGGCTTCATTCACCTTGGGGTTGCCCGTGTTGTCTGGAGAGCAGAGTTTCTTCACTAGCTCTTTGATTTTGATCTTTGGGTCGGTCATGGTGTGTTTGCTTTGGTTTGTTCAGGTTGTCTGTTATTCTGCGGCTTCGCGGCTTCTGCTTCCGACGTGAAGATAATGCGAGAGGACAAAGGTCCCATTTTGCCACTTTGTGAGTTGCGGGAAGCGTCGGCGTCTTAAGACTATCAGTACGCCTCCCTTGATAATAAGTTACTTTTGATCACAACTAGTCTAAGCAAGTGTACCGTCACAGCTGTGGGATCCTGGCTGCGTAACGAATGACAATTACCTTTTAAAACTTATAGTCTAATGGAAGGCAGTAGTGTGAGACAGTTCCACTCTGAAGCACCGGTACATCGTACCGGTACCTCTTTCTTTCAAAGCATGCCTTTTGATGAAGCAAAACTGGTTTTGACCTGAGCCTAGGCCTGAGGAGGCAGAAAACCTTGTCCTTTGGAGCCTGTTTCAGGGCATTTTTGTGTGGAAATGTTGTTGTGTCATCTCTTGGTACCAGCACCGTACCAGTTATCTGTACCAGGTAGCTTCTGTGTAAAAGAAAAGAGGTCTCGCTAAGGACAGGTAGCGTCTTTATAACTCCACAGGCGATGGCAAATACCAGGTAATATTCTAAATGTCTCTGAATCGAATGAATCATTCAATCTCACGGACACGTTAGCCGCACATTCTTAAATACAAGGTAAACGCTTGAATAAATGAAGATCGCATTGTCGATTTTACATTTTAAAAATCTTCATTTTGCTTGAATTGCCTTGTAAAAAAGATATTTTCCGAAATGAAAGCAAAAAAATAATCCTGGCAAGATATCTTTCTCAATCTTTGACCATGGGCCGTGGTTCCAAAAACCATGGATCCACCTCCACTCATCCAAGCGACCATCTGCGACTGCTGTGGCAAGGCCAAGCACCCAGACAAGGATTTGCTCAAGTGTGGTCGATGCCGACAAGCCTGCTATCATGACAAGGTATGCCAGAAAAAGCACTGGCCCACGCACAAGGCGATTTGTCGGCAGTTGGTCCAACGCGCAGAGGAAGAAGCCCTTCAACGACAATCCGTCCAAGTGCTCCCTGATACGGACAACAAGGGACGTGTGTTGATTGCCTTGAAAGAATTTGCTCCCGGTGATGTGGTCTTGTTGGAAAGTCCCGCCGTGCTGTTTGATACTCGATTGGAATATCGAGGATTGTTGCAAGCGTTTGGATCGGCCACGGTCCACACGCAACAGAGAGTGTTGGATTTGCACGCTTCGCCTCATGCAACCATTGATTCACCAGCGAGACAACAGTGCTGGGCGCGTCTGGAACAGCAACGAGTGGCATATCTGCAGGCGCACCCTCAGGCGTCAACTGTGTTGACCCAAAACACCGCCGAGAAGCTCTTGGCGATTATTGAAACCAATGGCTACAATTTGTTCAATGCAGCAGCAACAACAACAAATGATCCCAAACAATGGATGGGACTCTTTGTGCTGGGAAGTATGCCAGAGCACTCCTGCAATCCCAATGTGACGTTGAACACCACTCGAGACTGCAAAATTGAATTGCTGGCCGAACGATCGATTGCCAAGGGTGATCGTTTGTCCTTTAGTTATATCGAAGGAATTTACGAAAAGTGCCGAGAGCAACGACAAGCCAGCTTGCTAGAGCAAAAGCACTTTACTTGTCTGTGCGCACGATGCTTCGGAATCGACGAATGCCGGCCTCTGCTTTTGCCAGGAATGACAGATCCTATTTTTTGGAATGCCCAGCTGCACAAGTATGTTGGTGTGAAGGCTCTTTCCTCTTCCGAGGCGGACAATGACGACAATGCACCGTCATCAATGACACTACTAGACCTGACGAACGAGGATGCTTCTGTTGCCAGCTTTTTGAAAGCCGAGGAGGAACTGATGCTCAAGATACATCAACTGGAACAGTCAATGGAACAGGGAAAGATATCATTCCAATCGGTCTTGACACAAATGGCAAGTCTCATGTCGAGTACCCAATGGAAATCAACCATTCATCCACTGCATTGGTTAAATCTGTCGGCGTGTAACTTTCTCTCCCAGGCTGGATCCGCCACGGCTCGGATGCAGCCAGCCAGCGACGGCGCTATGCGTTGGTTACGAGTATCCATCGTGGCACTGCTCCACAACTTGACATGGGTCGAACGAACGGTTCGGGTGCTGCGACATCAGCCAACCAACAACAATGGAGCCAGCCAAACACTTACAACTGCGGCAGTCTGTCACAACCTCGCACAAGAGATACAAAACCACGACAACCCTGTACGACAAATAATCACACACATACTATTCGACAATGATGTGGATGTGAAACGTGCCGTGGGTATTGTGTGTGCACAACCCGTGGACGAAACGTGTGTGACGGCAGACAGTCTCTTGACGGCCTTTTTTGCCGGACAGGATCTGCTCGTAGCTGGACACGCAGACTTGGCCATCATGCTGTATCAACGCTACCAAGAGTGGTTCCATAAACTCAAACAACCAAATGAAGAGAATCGACAGCGGATTGATGTTTTGATATCATCAAGAGGAAACACCAATCCATTTGCCAATATGCTTTTGTAATAACAGGCGCTCAGCAGCCTAGCATACGGTAAGGCCACGGTAGCAATAGTTAGGTTTCCAGCCATGCCGCACTATTTTAGTACCATAGTTTCATGTTATGGTCATTCTGTGCATAGTGGAAATGTGTGCTGACCGCTACGTCGACGAATCGAAGGTGAACTGCCACAAAACACCGGAGCATTGCTTGTGAAGATTCATCGCACCAACACAAGCGAGCTTACGATGGCTATTGTGGCACAAGATATTATGTGTAGCTGTAGCTACCGTAGCCACTGCATCAGGGCTGAGACGAGGGACGGGAAAGCATTTCTAGCCATTACTATAGTACGAGGCGAATAGGGTAAAGATTCCATGATCCATCACACCACAAAACAGAGAAGTGTTTCGGGATCTGGCTGTGGGGCGAACAAGCTGTCTTTGTGAGGGGTCAACCTAGTTTGAAGTGGGACACCCGCCTTCTCTCTTTCTCATGCATCAAATGCTCTTAGGTCACCGGAGGTCTCCGCACAGTCATGGTACTCCGACCCTTCTTTGGTGGTGGTACCGTTACTATTTGTGTTGACAATGTTTGCTCTTGCCTCGGTTTGTGCGTCGTGGATGCAGCAACCACAAACCTGTCTTCTTTTGCTGGCTCCCAAATAGAATGTGACATGAAAGAATAGGGTGAAAATCCAAATGCCCCCAACACTGACCCAAATGTTGTCACCACAGTACACAGTTATGCCGTTCATCTGGACAATAGCAATGATGATGCCCAAGAAAAGGGAGAAAATGGTTGACCATGGGATGGCAACCGCATAAGGTAGTTCTCCAGAGAAGTAGAGGATCAACATCAAAATGGTACAAAAGTAATGCATTGTCCAATCTGAAATGACGGCACCAGCCATATACAAATCAGCTATCCACTTTTCCATGTCATACGGCACAAATGATCGCCATACCGTGTAACAGAGATCTTCATTGACAAACTCAGAAACTGGATTTGTTGTGATGTAGTACGTGTATGTGACTGATGTAGTCATTGCCAATGGCAGAGCCACAGAGAACAGATACAGGACAATGTTCTTCCTTCTTGTTGCTGTTGGAACAATTGCTGTGCCATTGTTTTCCCCTTGTTCAATAGCATCGCATGTGCTGCTGCTTTCACCCTCTTGGTTTACAGTTTGTTTCTCCAAGAGAATCCAAGATACAAAGACTGCTATTACTAACCATACATTCCAGACTGAAAAGTACACCAATAGAGGGATAGGAGATGGTTCTTCACCATTCCGACAAGCAGCACAAGCCCAGGTCTTCTCATAAATGATCACACCTGCCACATATACCACAACAACATTTGCGAGTAGAAGACTGTACAGGACTATGATAGCTTTCTTCCATGTAGGCGGTAGCATTGTGTTCTGGGTTTCTCGTTTGAGTATCGTGTAGAGGAAGCGTACGGCAGTATCGTCTATCCCTCCAGGTGTTTTATATATCTTATGAAGGTAAGAAAGACCAGGCGATTGCAGTTCCTCCTCCGCATTTCCGTCAAAGCATGATGTACCATACGGTAATAGGTACATGTACGTGTACCAGTTGTCATCAGCGTAAAATGAAGCGGAAAGGGCGTGTATACCAGGTACTTATGGCCAAGATCTTGGGAAGTGGGACTGGTGGGAATGAAATATTGTATCGCTCCACTGCACATTGTGGATTGTGGGCGACCCGAAAAGGACAACGGCAGGATCTGCTTCTAGCTAGAGCTGCATGAGCAGAGTGATAGCTTCCTTTTGACCTTGTTAGCAAACGGTGGGAGCTCGCCATGGCTATCGCAACATCAACGCCGCTTGAATTCCTTCACTCGGAAGCATCTTCAGGCAGGGAGTTCTTTCGAAAACCAAAGGAGTTCGATGGAAGCGCTCCTTTCTTTTCTTGCTGCCATTCCGAAAACACACACTCTCTCCAAAAAAAAACATAGATGATCACTGAAGCAGCTCTAAAACACTTACTACATTCCAAGTCAGCTGGGATCGCAACATCAGTAGCATGCACATCCTTTAGCCATCATTCTCAAGGGAGCTGAATGTGAAAGCGCAGACTCAGCATCAGCAGTAAAAACGACATAAACAGTAAGTCGCGTGCCGCTTGTAGTAGCATTGGCTATTTTCGGCTACCGGTGCGGCAAGTCCTGATCATTCCTTTCGCCCCACTCACCACTTAACCATGCACTCCAGTTGTCATCGGCGAGACAACTTGTCACATGGAAAGAAAGAACTTCAGTGCCCCCCTTCAATCCAACTCAACTCGTTGCCTTGGTTGGGAAACCGTTGGACAAGCGTGCCTTTGAGCAGATCTTGGCATCACGAGCCATGGAGGTGCAGGAACGGACACTTGCCAAAGATGACGGTGACAGTGCCGGTGATACAGCAAGAAGCTACTGGTTGCCAGTAGATGCTCACGCCAGGGAATTGCCTCAGGTCTTCAACAATGATCTTCAAGATAGAATAGAGTCCAACATGAAAGCTCCTTTCAAAGCAAACGACACTCCATTGCAGGTCGAAGCTTCCCATGGCGGAGAATTGAGCCAAAGTGGCTCGATTCCAATAACACAACGTCACGGGAAGAACCAACAGAATCCTTGCTGCTGTTGCGAGGCCACCCCTCCTTGACCCAGGGAACAGTTGCAACGGCTCTTGTAGAGCTTTGTGATGAAGCGGCCGAGCTTCTCCAACAAGAGAATGGAAGCACCCAAAAATCATTACAATGGCGGCAGAGACTGGCACTCTTGCTCAATGCCTTGTACTTTTACACCATTGGATCCATCAAAGCATTCTTGTATTACTGGAACCTGTACCAAGCCACTCCAAGCAACACATTTGAGCAAATGCAGAACCAATATCTACCGCCACAGAACCCCGAAATGAGCTCACTTTGGGCTGGGCCCACGTGGCATCCTTGGCGGAAGTGGAACATGTGGCCAAGTCCTTGACCAAAGACAAGGACCAAGTGCTGTCAGTGCATGATGTGATCGTCTCTTGTGTGACGGCCGCCATTGCAAGACAAATGCAAGAGCATCAAATGAAATACGAACTGGACTCGCGAGGAGAAGAACGAAACGTGACGATTCCAAAACAGTTTACTGTCATGATGTTGAATCCTGGCGTGGGAAGAACTTTGTTGGATAAGAAGAACAAGATAGTACCTGGTGGGTCGTTGATTGCACCTGTTCCCAGCGATTCCACAATCACTGCGGCTCAAAGGCTTGAACTTGTACGCGAGTCTTTCCAAGAGGCATGCCCGCAAACCCCAGTGGTGGCGGGCATGGCAGCTCTTGGATCCAAGTGCCTCCCCTGCGACAGTAGTATGCTGGATCAAATGGCGGGGCACAAGCCACATGCTGCCTGCTTGGTTTGTCATTCTCCCAAGTCAGTCCCTCAAAGCGGATTCACTTGGGTGGCCGACAAGTGGAAGTTGTGCAGGAGTTTAGTCCTCTGACGAGTGAGAGTCTGCCCGTGGGAGTAGTCGTGTCGACCTATGGTGGATATTTAAGTATTTCTGTGACAGCGCAACCCTGGGCCGTGCCCGATGCTGACAGGTTCATATCTTGGATTTTGGACGAGTACAAGTTTCTGTACTCAGAGAGTCCCATGCCGGTGTTGCAAGCACACTAAACGCAGTACGGTACCGTATTACTAGTATCAAAAATCTAGAGAGCAGAGTTTGGACGATTTTGCATGTGCAACATAGTTGGAAACACTTGGCTCATGGGCCGTCCTCAAGCACTTCTTGGTCTGAATCCGCTACATTGTGTAATAGACTTCCGAGTCTTTGAGCATGTGTGCAGCTCTTATCAAAGTTGAGCCGTGCACAGGTCGAGGATTGTTCCCCATGCTTGGGGGCTTGCACAATTGCTGCTTTTCAAGTCATTCAATGGTGTGCTGGAGAGCCCAACGCCAGTAACACCAGCAGAGCCACGACGTGCTAAAAACAAGCTTTTGACAGAGATTGAGTTTGTTGGAGGATAGAACTAGTGTAACATTACAGTAGGTAGGTAGAGTACCGTGCAGCTCTTAAACCACACGAAAGAAAAGCATGCCATTAAGGACACGTTCTCATGCGTTGGATGCTTGCAATTGCTCCTCGGCCGATCGCATCAAGTCTTCCCAAGGTTGTTTCTTCAAATCATCCAACGGCGTGTTTTCCCAAGCTTCTACCAACTTGTTGTTTTGCTGCTGTTGTTGTTTGATTTCCTTGACCAACGACACGATCCGCCGCACTCCCTGTTGACCCAAAACTTGCCCGACCAGTCGCATGCGCGTGGCTTGATGACGCGGTCGCTTGCGGCATGATGGTTGTTGTTGGGTGGATACTGCTGCTGGTCGAGTGATCAACAAGGCAGTGGTCAAGGAACGGAGGCTTTGATCCAGCAATTCATCTCCAGATGCTGGTCGCGTATTGTGGCTGGGGAGTGCGGAAAGAGCAAAGAGTGTAGAATGTTGCGACGGAAAGACAAAGTCGTTTTCGGTCTTGTCACTGCTTTGCTGTAGAGAGGAGGAAGGCTTGAATCGTTTCGTGTGAACACTGAATTATGACAAACAAAGAGAGAAATAGTGTGAGATAAGTTGTCTTCATGGTTGGATGACCCAAGTCTTGCAATCAGAGAGCTCCACTTACAGCTGACGAAACAGACTCGAACATGGTTGCTCTTGAGCAGCAGATGATGACTTCATGACGTGACAGTTTGGAAAGAGAGATGACTCTTCTCCAATCATGGTCGACACCAGAGGAGCCACTCGTTGGATAGGCAAGTCATCATTGTGGTGCATGACGGATGAAGTGGGAAAGGCATCGGTTCGAGCACGGAATAGATCGCCCAAGACCCCTCCATCTGCATCATTGGCGGCCGATCGCTTGGTGCCGGCTCTGCTGCTGCTGCTCAAGGGAGACAACTCTCTGACGGAAAAGTCTTTGGTGTGGATCATATTATTGATGATGATGATGATGATGATGATGCCGGTAAGAGAAGAAGATGGACACGAAAGAAGAACACAGGATATCAATCGAATGGTCTGTGGTGTTGTTTGTTGTTGTGGTGTGGCTGTGTGGCTTGTTTGCGTCGGCGGCTGGGTGTGGCACTGGCTTTGGGTGTGCTTTGGAAGAAGAAGTTGGTGGACCGCTTCTTGACCTTTGTTCGCTGTATCCTGCTGAATGCCGCTACCGTACCTGTGCTTTTGTCTGGAATCACAATTGGGGGACCAGTTCTCTCAATGAAAATAATGATGAATTCCTAGAATTCTTTAGAGTATTACGGAGCAGGATACCCTCATTTTAAACATTTTCTTGATTGGGACAAATCAATTTTGAGGTTTTTTCTTTCTTCTAATTGACCAAAATAAAACTATTTTGAGTATTTTATTTTTTACATGAAGTGCCACTTAAACCAATGGTACGGTACTTCTGTGCCTCCAATCGCGCTTGCAGAAGCCAGAGAACAAATGTTCTTCGGCCACCATAGAGAAGGAGTTGACAATAATTCCTGACAGAGTTTGGGGTAGACTTCTTTTACTTTTAGGGGGTCTTCCTTCCCTGTTCCGTTACGCAAGTCCAATTCTGTTCTACGTTCTACATTTTCGGGGGTGAAGGGAGGTGTTGTGTTGATACATTGGGGGTGGTTGCACTGGCTTCTCATTGGAGCTTCTTCTTGGATCTCCCTGACAACTTTCTATTTAGGGGCTTACGCCTCCTGAGATCACCGAGAGGGTCCGGTTTGGAATGAAAAAGAGAGGTACGTTTTGACATCGATTAATATTACGTTGTATAATAGAGGTCTAAGGGGAGGAACAACGCAAATCCTTGTGTTGGTGCGGCCCATCCACTCTTCGAGTTGATCAGCTGCCGACGACTATTAATATGATCAAGACAAAAAAAAGCATGTTCTTGAAGCCTCCCAAGCTAGTTGGAGAAGGTGCAGCCTGGGCACCTGCAGGGTGGGGATACTGTGCCCTGTTCAATGACAGCTAGAGCATCGCTCCTCAGGCCCACACAAAGGATGGACAAAGGATGGACCTACCCAGGTCGGGATGGCAGTAGATTACATGCAGAAATGAAATTCGAAGCAAGCCATAGGCACATTATGTGCAGTAGATAATCGTGACTATAATTGGCGGGTCCTCTAGAGGTGGCGGTGGGGGGCAATGGGTGGGCTCTGTTTCGGCATCGTCTGCTTGCCTAGCCTGGTCATTGTTCCTACACAAAATCTCGCTTGTGGAGCTCTTTGTTTGTGTCCCTGATGGCACCATTGGCTTCCATTACATCTACTCCGTCTGGGATGCTGACGAGGCTCTACCTCTTACCCTCTGCCATTTTCCAAAATTCCATCCCTTTTACCAGTACCGGTATGCATAGCCTCTTTCCCCTGATGAACCCTCCGCCACTGTTTGTGCCTCCCTCGGTCCTCCAGCAATTTCCTCCTGCCTAAAATGCTGGATGTATGCGGACCCCTGAATCTTCTGATAATCAATCCCATCGTCCCCTCGATTTCATTTCTGGTACAACTAAGGTATCATTGCATAGTATAACAAGGCTGTGGATTTACGTTTTCCTGGACGTTTCTTCTTGGATCTCGCTGTGGAATGGGTTCCATAGACTTCGCGTTGGGCAATAGAATAGAAGGGTGGCAGAGCAGCACAGAGAAGCAGCCAGCTGTCTCTCCAACACCTCATTGGATCTGGTTTTAACGAAAGAAGCTCAGCATCACGAGAGGTTCCCATTTTGCAGCCAAAGAACAAACAAAGAACATTCAGGCTGTTTCCAAGGCTTTTTCTCAAGACCAAGAGCAAAAGGGATTAAACCGAGTCCTAGTTGAGTCCAGTCATGAACGTAAGAATCAACTGAGCGATCTTTGATTTGGTGATCAAATGTGCGTGCTCAAATGAGAAGATTTGGTGCACCTCTACCTCCCTCCAACCAACAATGACAAAGACAACACCAACAACAACTCCCTTCTCCCTCACTGAGCAGTACTGTAGCTTATCTTCCAAGTTAGTTAATGAATGGACAATGAGCCACACGAACAGTGCCGTGGTCCGCCTGGTTCAGGCTCTCAAGCCAGGCTTATCACAAGAAGAGGAAACTTCCTGTATTGAATTATCGCAACGGATAGTGGAGAGTCAATTGGGAGGACGGGGTGCTCATCATGACGGTCCTGGGAATCGACCATTTTCCTTGACTTGGAAACGTCGGATCGAAAGTCATCTCAGCAGCAACAACATCACTAGCAGTAGCAGCGAAGTGGAGCAGTTGTACGAAGAGCTAACGCAAGTTTGCGAATCCGGTCCAAATGCCAATGATCACGATCTTCCCGCCAAACTCATGGCCGTGCTGACTAAACGCATTGGCAAGGCACCCACGGTAGACTCGGCCAGAGTCTTTACCAGTTCCTCGTTAAATCCCACGAGAAGAGAAACTACTACAAGTGTTGTCAATGCTGCTTCAGGTGCCCCACCGGTACAACAATCAAAACCAGCTGCTCCTGCCACTACTACAACCACTAATGGTGCAGCCAATATCAGCCGGAAAAATAATGCAAAGAGTGGTAGTACCAACCACAACAATCTTCAGGACAACCATTATCCCAAAGATAATTATAATCAACTTCCTTCCTTGATGGAATTTGATACCACCAATACGCATACATCCTTGGCAGAAGCACTCCGTTACGAAGAACAACAAATTCTCCGTGAATTGCTGGGAGCGCTACAGGGAATAGACGGAAAGCGAATCAAATTCTTTATTCAAAATAACCACAATCAGCCAAGTAGAAGACAACAACTGGACGATGATGGAGGGATCCCCTACGAAGGAATACGTCTCTTTTCTCCCGCACTTTCTCCCCAACAGTTTCATTCCATCAAAACAATGAATGGCAATCAATCCAGGCTGGGGAGTGGTGCCATGGACGCGATTCGGATTTGTGGAGAATCCGGATGGTTGTATCTGCGATTAAAACAGTTTGTCGACTTTCATTTGTCATCATCATCATCTGGTGGCGGCCGGATTGCTCGAGCATTGGCGCGAGCGGTGGCAACCGAAATGCAACACTACCGAGAAACTCTGGCACAGTGGGAATCCAACTTGACAAAATGGTCCTTGCGACAATGGTTGATTCAAATACAGCGTCACAATGTCATGCACCGACTGGCAGTATTGGCCATGTTGGTCGAGGCAGTCCCCACGGGATGCCGTCCCGGGGAAATTAAAGCGTTTGGGGGCGGCGCACTACTCAGTGCCTTGTATAAGCATTCGCTACATGGGGATACCCGGCATCAATCGATTGTGCAGTCCATCTTGTATCCGACATCGCAACCATGGTTTCACATGCTCTATCTGTGGACCACACAAGGCATGTTGCCAGCCTCGTGGAATGGGGATTTCTTTGTAACTCTGCAAAGCACCTACGTGGACAACAACGACGACAATGGCAATCAACAACGAAACAACAACAGTCGCGACAAGTACTTGTGGCAGGAAAAATACACGTTGGACAAATCGCAAATACCGCTTCCCGGCATTTTCGATCCCAAACTTGTGAGACCCGCATTTATCGTTGGCAAGGGGATTAACTTTATTCGAACCTGTTTGAACCAGATTGGCTGGACGTTCCCACACCTCGAAGAAGACACGGAGGATGCCGAAGCTGGGGGCGAACATAACGACAGCTTTACGGAGGTTCATGATGAGCAAGCCAACATGGAGCGATTGGGCTATCACTATGTTGCTGACCCCATGGGATTGGATCCTAATTTGCGACTCGAACGCACACTCTTGCGTTTTGAACGAAAGGTCCATTCGCATATCCTGTCGTCCCTCCGAGAAGATCACAATCTACTGGAGCATCTCTTTGCTCTCAAACAGTTCATGTTCCACGGACAGGGTGATTTCTACTCCTCCCTGTTGGAAGGGCTCTATGCTGAGTTTGGATGTGGCGCAAAGGTGAATGCAAATGGAAACAATAGCTTTGTGGCGGGACATGCCGTGGCGGGCATCTATCCTTACCAGCTACTGAATATTCTGGAGGTGGCGTTGCGTCAGACAAACGCAAAGCATCTACCAACATTCTGTTTGGAACGATTGAATGTTGAAATGCTACCTTTCGAACCAGATAGAGATCCAAGTTCCATTGGGCATGGACTCTTTGCAAGCCCTGCGCCAACCCGAGAGGGCGATGAAAACAGCAACGAGCAGGCCGAAGACAACCGAACTGTCTGGGACATTTTCATGTTGGACTACACTGTTCCAGACCCGTTGGTTGCAATCATTCACGAAAAAGCGGTCGACCAGTACAAACTCGTCTATTCATTTCTCTTCGGGCTCCGGAAGGTTGAGTACATGTTGAATCGAACATGGCGCCAAAGTGCCACCCTTCAACATGCACTGCAGATGATTGCTCAGAACAATGGCCTGCAGGCTTCATCATCCCCAGAATATGCCAATGCCACAATCCTGCTGCGGAAGATTGCAATGACGAGACAGGCAATGACTCACTTTTGTGTCAACTTGAAGAGCTACTGCATGCTGGAAGTTTTGGAGGGTGGTTGGAAAGAACTGCTCGAAAGACTGGAGCACGCTCGCACTCTGGATGAGGCCATCGATGCGCACGACTCTTACCTGGAAGGGATATGCCGCAAGACTTTGCTTCTAAAGGGAAAGCGAACTCGCCGTGGCCGGTTGCGAGACAAAGACCGAAGCAACAACAAGTTTCGACATTTGTTCGGTGTTCTTTTGAGCATCGCTACTGACTTCAGCACGCTTCAGGAGCGGCTTTTTGACGAAGCACTGGAAGCAGCGGAAAGGGTCGCTCAACGGCGTCGCGAAGCAGAACGACGAATGAACCACGGACAATGGGGATTTGAAAGTGAGCAAGATTTGGCTGAAGAAGCGTCTTTCCTTGGTCTGGCTCATGCAAATGAGCTATCCGAAGTTGTCAACCTGTCAGACGCATTCCACCAAGGAATGCTCATGTTGCTGGAAGAACTTGACGCAAAGGTTCATGGGAGAAGCAGGAATATGTCAGCTACAATCGACTTGGGGAACACAGTTGACGACGACAGCGTTGACCCAGAACTGTACGATACTGACGATCCGATGGTATTCTTTGTGCCGGGGGAAGAGCAAGATGTCGATTCATTGAGGTTCCTCATGCACCAGCTTGACAACAATCACTACTACGGTCTCCTGCAGCGACGATAATTGGGCATAACAGAAAAATAAAATCTCTCTACTTCCAATTTTAAAACGTAGAGTCCGAAAAAAGATGAACGTTCTCGACGAATGACACAACCCCTCCCTATCGTCGCGACTATACACTTGCAACTCTTGGTCTCTTGGCCTGCCTTTCGCCGCCTGAGTCAGACGAGCCATTGCCGGTAGTCTTCTGTTCGGCCACAGGAGAAAGGGTATCGCCCTTGCTATTTTCGTCGTCGTCTATCGTCCGCTACATCCAAAGATTCACAAAAGTTTGAAAGAAACATGAGAAATGCATGAGCTCAACCTGCACATCCTTGAGTCATAGCCTCACACGAAGCGCACTTACCTTGCTAGACGGCGATTCATTGTGATTCTCCGCATCCTCAAAGTCATGCTCGCCGTAGTCATGTGATGTGTAGTAGGACTTCAAGATGGCCTCAGCTCTGTCTTGATCAATGCCTAGTTCCTTTAGTTCTTCGTCCAATCGATACTTGAGACTTTTCAGATCCGTACGCATTTCAGACACCAGGCCTTCAGCTCGTATTGACCTATCCCGTGTGGCCGTAAAGGTTTTTTCGTTGAAGGTACGAATCCTACGTTGACGGTAGAGCTCGTTTCGAAGTTGTAATACTTTGGCTTGCAAAACGTATGCTTCTTGAGTATTGCCTTCAAAGTCCTTTACATCCGTCGGTACTCCATCGTTCGCCGTCTGGGCAAAAAAACGCAAAGAACCTGAGATTATGCTTCCATAACTTCATCTACAACGCCAACACTGTTTGCCAAGTACTTACGGCTCCCAAGATTCCCGTCCCTTCGGTCAAAAGCGACTTGAATTCCTTCTCAAGTTCTATGGCGCTCAGATCAAAGAGGCCGTCGCCTCTGCCAGTGCCTGTTGGCAGTAAGGTGCTTCCAAATGGCAGCAACTTCGTTTCATCTGGACTAACCACTTTCGCCTGAGGTTCAGGGTCACTCGTGTCCATGGCATCACCCGCGCCGCCAGCCCCTCCATTCGTCGTTCCTTCCTTGGACTTGTCATGTTGCTCAGTGTGCTTTGGTTTCATCATGGACTCAACAGATGCCATACCATTCAAGTCCAAACGACCAGTGTGGGTGACTGCACTGTCGACAATCGCCTTCCAGCGCTTTGCTAGCCGAGCATCCGTTAGAACATTGGGAGACTCTTTGGAGGTCACCGTAGCAGGGTTGAAGTGACCGACGCCAAAGGGCATCTTGACGCTGATGGTGCTATCAGAGATGCTGGTGACAACTCCTTCGCCGTAAGGAGTTTTTACTTTGTCATCCGGCAATACCCAGGCAGATGAGATCTGATAGTGAGGAAACGTTGATTTTTCATTCCAATCAGAAAAACTGGATGCTCCGACACCTCCTAGACCAGGGTAGTGCTGTGAATTGTCGTTCGAAGAGAGAACATCACTCCTTGGGGAGAGCCCTTTTTCGTCCAGTTCCGCTCCTCTTGCTTTCAGGACTGTGAGAACATCTTTCATGACATAGCTGCCTTTACCGGCCCCTCGACTTCTGGTTCGCGAGGTCAACAAGTCCGCCGCAGTGACACAGTTCTGCTGAAGTGAGTTGAGTTCAGCCATAATCTGATCCATTTCATCATCCATGCAACGGAGGTGTGCAAGAAAGTGTCGCCTAAGATGATTGCTTGTGGCCTCAATGCGCTCCAGCTCGGCCTCTTCTGTGTGAAGCTCTTTGCGGGTACGGTCTACTGTCTTTCGATAGCTGTTCAAGTCCAATTCCACATCTGCAGGTCGGCGCTCCCACCTCAGCATGCGGTGCTGCTTCTTCTTGCCAACAGACTCTGGCGGTCTCGGCGGATTGAAGGCTGTCACACATTCAACCACTCTGGGAGATTTGATGTTGCGTTGGTTGTTCAAGATACCCTTGACTCCAGTCGGCACGGGAGGAGGCGCTCCTTCTTCATGTTTCTCGCCGTTTGATGCTGGGACGTTTGAACTATGCGTTGCAGCAGGAGGCGGCACAAACGCACTTGATGGTACTGTTAGAACATCACCATCGTCCACGTCTATTGTTGAGGTGCTCCCAACGCGTCCTTCCATGGAAGGATCTTCCTCAGATGAAGACATTGTGCCGACGTCATCTGTATCCATAGAATCAGCTTCTGAAGATGAGTCATGTTTCTTCTTCTTTGATTTCTTTGATACAGACAAGCTTGCTGGCGCCCCGGCTGCCACTGAGGCTACATTTGCTACGGTTCCAGCATTGGACATGATGGACCTTGCCAAGGCAAGATCACCTTTGACTTCATTCTTTCTGAGCATATGGATTCCGTCAACTGCGGGCAAGAACCGCGTCCTCGTTCTCCTTTCTTCTTCGCCGAGTGCCTCTAGAAATGAAGCTCCACCCGGTCCAACACCTGCCGGTGTGCCCTCTTTGGAGCTACCACGCCCAAGATCTTCTAGCGCTTCGCGCACACTGCGCTGCCACTGTTCATTGCTGCCAGCCGACGCCGCGGTTGCTGCTGTGAGGGACGACGATTTTGCTGTCGACTCTCGAGGTACTGGAGTGGTAGTACCCGATGATCGCCCCCTGGTGCTGTAGGATGGCTCTGGTTTCTTAGCCGCAGGCTCATCAGCAAAAGATGCATCATCACCATCCACAGACTGCATGTCTGCATCGCGATCGCCCCCTTCTTCAGACTGTGACAGTGCATCTTCCATATCCGCATCCTCTTTGATTTCCCCCTCCTCTTCTGTGTCTTCTTTGGTATCGCTTTCAGTGTCTTCCTTCAGTTCCCCTTCCTCCTTAATCTCTCCATCTTCGTCATCATCGTCACCCTTCTTGGCCTCACTGCTGCTTTCGCTAACTTTGGATTTCAACTCGTCTACTTCCATGGGTGTTGGCTTGTCTTTGGGCGTAGCAGCAGCACTGTCCGAGTTGTCGGCAGGTTTCCCGCTCTTCTTTTTTTTCTTTTTGCTAACTGTGGCTTCCTTCTTTTGGTTGCCGACTGAGGCTTCCTTCTTTTGATTGTTGGCCTTTCCTTCATGTACAGGTCTCATTTCCACGTCCTTAACAGCGTCCATTTTGGCCTTAACACTGTCCACTTTGGGTTCTTTCTTGACACTGTCCACTTTAGCCTTGACACTGTCCTCTTTGGGTTCTTTCTTGGCCGGAGTTCTGGCGTCCTTGTTGGCTGCATTATCCTTCGGACGGGGCTTTTTGCTGCCCAATGGCTTTTTGGTGGCATCATCGGACGACGGTTTGGGAGGCGGAGGTTTAGGGGTTGGGTCATCGAGCTCTCCTTCCTCAATCTCTCCCTCCTCCTCCTCGTCATCCTCATCTTTCTTTTTCTTTGGAGGCGCTACTTCCTTAGGTTTGACAACTTCATTAGAAGGTTTGACATCTTTAGGTTTGACTTCCTTGGGAGGTGGTTCGTCAGTGCCTGCGTTCTGCTTTGCTGTGGTTGGTTCTTTGGGTGCGGTTGACTCTTTGGGTTTCTCGACATCGTTTGAGGTTGACTTTGGTTGTTGGTTGGTTTCCACCTCTTTCTTGACCAATGAGGCTTCTTTTTCTGTAGTCTTGACAGCTTTTGACGCTGGCTTATTCGCTGATACCTCCGAATCTATGCTGTCTTTCTTCTTGTTTGGCTCTGCTGACGCTGGTGTCGATGTGTCTCCCTTCCCACCATCAACAACAGCCGCCTTGTTCTTGTCAACCGGGTCTTCCACTACCTCCCCATCCTCTTCTTCTTCCTCCTCTTCTTTTTTGACTGGCTTGACCGAGGCAGAAGCAACTTTAGCTTCATCCGTCGCAGTAACCTTGGGGGTAGCTTCCTCACTAACCACAGCAGCAGCAGTGCCAGGTTCATCATCAATCACCTTGGCAACAACCACTTCACTCCCTTGACTGCTCTCTTCATCATTCTCGTCGATCACAGCAGCCGCCAATACTTCATCATCGCCGCCATTTCTCGATGGCTCTTCCTTGGCCGGAATTTCTCCTTCTTCCGACGACATGACGAATGGTATCACTCTTTTCTCTTCTGTGGTTGGCTGATTGGTTGGTTGAACGTGCTGATCACACACACGCAGGTCTGTTTTGGTTTTGGTCAGTTCAATCCCCGTCTGGCACTTCCGTGCTACTGGTGGCATGAAATGAATGATGATGAATTTTTTGATGCTGCAGAGAGCCCTTCGTTTAGTAACCCGAGTGGACGGGATGTTTTGAAGTTAGTTACTGAGTTGTTGCGTGTTGCTTGCTTGTGACCACTTCTCTTCCACAACGCAAGCCAAGTCCACTATCCGATGCCGAGGATGCCGTGCTAGGCTAGGGACCCAGCAGTCCCGACTTTGAACCTGCAGTCGCGAGCTTGTTTTGTTCGGAGACGTTCTTTACACCATGTTGTGAAGAGCAGCTGAGCCCGGAATTTCAGCCACAGAAAGGCACGGTAGACCCACCGGCAGCCAGCCAGATGGACAAGAAGACGATGATTGTGGTTATTCAGAATGCCACTGCTGCCTAGCTAGCTAGATATTCCACTCCGTTCAGTATGCTTTCTAAAGAGCTGATGTGCACTAGTACATGTATCGTTTAATTCCACCGGTGGCTCACTCACTGGAGCCTTGCATTCACCATGCACATTCGTTGGAGGTCTAAGTTCTTCCATCTACCATCTAATCATGTATGTGTAAACTCTAAAAGTCGGCTACCTCCGGCCCAGTTTGTTGCTGCTAGCAAAGATGCAACTTAGTTAGTGCACCATCTTCTTCTTGATTTCCTTCAGCCAGCCTTCCAAGACGTCCGCAATGTCATCATGGGCTTGCATGACATCGTCTGTGTCAATCCCATCCTCATTCATATAGTAGAGCTCACTGTGGTGGGCTCCATTTGGCATGTTGATAGCAATAATGGAATCTGACAATGACTCCAGGTAGGAACCTTCCGACCAGATATCATTCATACCATTGGTAAACAGAATGCGACTTGCTCCCTGCCCCACCAGATCATCGAACTTGAACTCATGAACAAGCTTCAGGGGATCAGGGACAACATCAAATCGATCCAGGCAGTGCTCAGTGAGCCATTCCAAAGTCCACTTGCGGTAGGGGAACATGGATTTGTGGGAGAAGCCCAATGCAGGGGTCAGTGTGGAGCAGCAATGAAAGTCTAGCGGGTGGGAGAAGTGAAGTCAAGTTTGAAAAGTTTGGTTGAGCATGATGTTGAAGCGGACAAAAACATCCTCTGCGACAAGCTACGGACAGACTTACCAAACATCATGCCATCATACCCTGGCCCTACACCTGACCAGTCAGATCCTGATATGGTTGCCCGAGGACCATCTGGCATTTGGGAGCTCATGTCAAAGCAAGGCAGCGTGGTGTCTATATTGTCTTCCAAATGCTTCCAGAACTCTTGGATTTTGCCAAAAGAGTCCATGGTTTCGTTCTGGAATATCCTGTCACACGTGAATACCAAGTCTGTGGTATCATCGGGTGGGTAGAACCCCATGTTCATGTCAGCAAAGGTGTATTCCACGATCATCATCGCTTCTTTGCTCAGTAGGTCATTCGAGTGTATATACACGGGCAAGGTTCCTGGGCAAACGTTTAGCTTCTCGTGGGCAAACTGCACGTAGTCATCGCTTGCAAGGATTGCCTCGTGCACTTCAGCCAAGGTCTGCCTCACAGCCTCGGCGCACCCAGGACGGGCACTGTCTGTGACTTTTGTCACTTTTTCCATGTATCCCCATTGGTCGGCATCCATAGAGTAGAGCAACAAGGGTGCGGAGGAGGCATACCCAATGTCAATTGTGTCTGGGTAGTGAAGTCGCATGACAGCACTGAGGAAACCTGGGTAGGAGCCCCCAACAGAGATCACAGGACAGTAGTGCTTGGAGTGTTTGTGAGGAGAGCATCCTAGTTTCTCCTGATAGGTCTTGACAATTGTAATGAAGTCCAGCATGGCTTGTCGAGCCGTATGGTACTTCTTCAAGTCATCATGAGTCAACAGGAGAGCGTCCACAGGCTGACTTTGCCCATAGAAGCGATGTTCTGGGTGTAGGACATAGGCACCAAATTTCTTGGCCAAGAAAGTGTCAACGAAGGGGTAAAACAAACCTTCATTCATGGCGCCTTCCCCACCATTGATTAGAAAGATTGGATGACCTGGACCTTTGAAGAATTCAGACTTGCGATAGTAGCGCTGTACAAACAAATGCACCTTGTCAGCTGGATATGGGAAGGGATAACCTAAACCTGGACCAGATGTATCAAGCTATGTATCATACCTGTTGAAACGTATCTTGATTTGAATCATCCAAATGATCAACTCGCTGAGAAAAAACAAAAGGAGTGTCCGATGGGCTACGCTTAACTTTTCCCAGCATTTTCACCTGGTGCAAGTTGTGATTGCTCTGTGGATTTGTGGTGGCAGTTGGTTTATTGCTGCCTTGTAGGAGAAACAAAAAAATTGCGGCAAGCAGAGCGAGTCTCCCCGTGATGGATAACCACGAGGACACTCTGTCTTCATCGGATCTCTCATCTAGGACATTGGACTCCTCAATGGCGGAAGACCTACTTTCGTCGATGGTACTGCCGTAGTCGGCATTGTCGAATTGGTTATCTTCGGGACGATTGGCTTCTGTCATGGTTTGTCCCGTGGTTGGATTCTGGAGGTGGGTTGTGAGATTTGCGGAGCACGATCTTTCCAAATCGAATCAGTCCTTCGCTTCCGTACCTTGTAGCTTTGGCTTCTCGGCTGTCATACTAGTAGTCCGGCAGGCACTGGCATCTACCGTAGCTGATGTCCACAGATCTGGCTGCTGACTGCGCAGCACTGCAATTTCACGAGGCATTCCAATCCGGTTGTGGAGATTCCATTCCAGATAGATCGTGAAGGCGTCGGAGTATCGCCCTGCTGTCGCCGAAATTAGGGTGAGGGCTCCGATCCGCAAGAAACTTCCGTAACCGGAGGCTGAGGCCATTGCGCCATCCAAGCCCCCACCTCCCCTGGGGTCTGGAACCTTGAGTCAGCCTCATCATCAAGACCTTGCCATTGCTAAGCCACTTTCAGACGAAGCTACCGGTAAAACTCAACCAATTCTGAAATACGGAAACTAGTGGAAAAAACCAAAGATGTCCTTGTTTGCTACCAGCATTCGGATACCAAGCAGAAGTAACTTTAACTTCTAAAGTTATGAGCCTTCCACTACCTATCAACAATTTAGTCAGTCGGTTCCAAATCTGCTCCAAGATTGCGCAAAATGGCTCCTTCCAGTGTCCAAACACGGGATCCTCCATGTACCATCCTCTACGCGTCGTTTGGATCGTAGCAGTAATCCTGGGCCTTCTTGCCGCTACCTGAGCATCCGGGGACGCTGTCCCATTTGCTTGATCCTTGTCGTTGGAAACATTTGAGCTTGCCTCGACAGTGGCTGGCAGATAGATGGATGGATAGATAGAACGTAAAGAAGGTAAAAGACACGGAGTCAGCAAGTCTGATATCGGAGGCCGTCATTCTCATGGGACTTCAGAGAGAGTCATACCTGTCATGATCGCAATCACCTTCACATTGGCCACTGGGAGACGCAGGTAAAGCAATAAGTGAGTGGGATTCTGCCATTGTGAAGCCCATGGCACTCTATGCCTTCCCTTCTTACCAGGGCAAGGACCGACTGCAAGGGGGCGTACGTGTTGACAAGTCTGGCTGGGATGGAAAGTAATCGTCCTCATCTCGGCTGATTGTGTCTGTGTTCCAGTATCCATGATCGTTGTGATCATGTTCCGAGGGCTCTACATGGACCACATGATAGTCTTCCAGTGGCTCCGGTTCTTCATAAAAATGGGTGTAATATGGATCCTCCGAATTGTGCGTACCTTCTTCCAACACGGGACAGTAGTGAATATCTTGCAGTTGGACGCATGAAACAAACTCTGCCGTGTTGTAGTGGGGAAGCAGTCCGTGACCATGATGACAAACTTCCAATGGGGGCAAATCCCCAACCACATAGAATCCACTGACAAAGTTTCGTTGTCGATCTAGTACCACAGAGCCGTATCCGTGTTCTTGAATCAGCAGCAGCGTTTGTGTCGCTTCCACGTCGTAGAAGCAGTTGTTTTTAACGGTGCAGTATGCTGCATCATGACGATTCGTCCTGGTTTCATGAGCGTTGGTTGTTGTGGGGTACCCCTCGTTTGTTTGACAAACAATCAATGAGGAGTGACAGTTTTGGCAATAGTGATTGGCCACGGCAACATCAGCGAATATCGTCTTTTTCACTATAAGAGATTGTCGTTTCATGGAGATCAAGTCTTCTGTGTAGGTCACACTCTGAAAGGAGCTTCGTCTCAGGGTTACATACACACTCAAATCGTCAAGGACCTGATCAGGTGAAACTGGTGGCATTTCTCCCACACTTAAGGCGGTCCCAAGATGTGCATGCTTCCAATGCATATCGTGAAGAACTTGGAGCTCTCCGGGAGCTGCTAATGACACTGAAACAGGTGGGACACCATGAAAGGGGCTGCCAGCTGTGAGGAAGAAAATGAAAGAAGGAAAGAAAGTTAGAACTGTTGCTTCGTTGATAGGTTGACTCATTCATGTTGGTTGCTACTGTTGGAATAGCATGAACTTACTGCCACCCAATGTAAATCCAGAAACCAAAAAGTAGTCAGCATTAATGAATAACAGTCCCAGTTTTGGAAGGTTTCGGAAGGATGCAATATGAAAAAACGAAGAGTTGAGCACACAATTGTTTTTGCTTTCTCCAGACTCTCCACACTTGATCACTACATTGGGTCCTAGCGGCATTAATGGCCAATCTCCACCTTCGTATTCGTCATAGTCTGGAGAAGACGGTCGGCCAATTTCAATGGTTGTGTCGGGACATACAATGTATTCCGACTTTGGGTCGGTCAGCTGCTTCAATATGATGTCAAAGGTAGATCGAAAACAGGTTTCTTCATTTCCCGCTCGTGCCAGGCTTTGAGGAAGCACTAGACATAACAGGCCGATAATGAGCCGCCAAAGAAGAGGAATAGACCGAAGTATCATTTTATTGTTGCATTATTTGTTTCTGGGGAATGGCTGTGGCTTGATTTCAATGAAATGGCATGCACTGCATCCGAGTTGCTCATCTCATTCAAACGACGCTCTGCCGACGAATGACAGCTCGCCTTGTGCTCTCACTTTTTGATGGCGCGAACATTTGATCACAGCGTGGAAGAAATTGATCGTGGTCGACATCAATACTCGGATGGACCCAGCAACGGTGATTCTGATTCGATCCTCCTTGCCAATGTTCCCCGGACGTTTGTGAAGGCAAGAGGTCGCCCCCAAAAGAGGATCCTGTTGAAGAAGAAGCAGACGAAGATGACAGCACTGATGAGGACTACTATTATGATGGTGGCTATTATTTATTCATTAAAAAGTCATTCTCAGACATACATGATCTCCATTGTGCTGGTAATGGCCCACTCTTTGTGTTGAATGTCAACCAACCAACAAAACAACAACGGCTATGGTTATGACTCTGGAGGAGGTGGTTGTGGCTATGTTGACTTTGGCGCTGAAGAATGATGGTGCTGTAGATGACAACGCTGCGAGCATGGATGATGACAATGAGGATGAAAAACATGCTTTCACGACGCGCGTGCCTGTGATCTTTCTACATGTTGACAACATGAAAAAGACATGGCGACAGGAAACCAGCAGCGGTGCTTTCAGGAATATTAATCATAGCATTATAGCGGTACTAGTAGCATTTATGAGTCCTGTACGTTTAGCTAGCTAGTTGCTTGCTTGTTTGCTTGCTTGCTTTGCTAACTTTAAAACCACATGAACTCGGTCTTGGAACCTTCTCCCGTGGTGGGCAGCAACGAATACGGCTTGCCCGTTTCCGGATTGGGGTTCAATTGCCACGTTCGAATGATAAGGGACGACGCAATGGTCAACCAGATCATTTTGAGTGCCAAGAGTTTTCCCGCCAGTGGCAGTACTTGATGATAGGAATATGCCGCAAAGGCCGCCGACGTGTACACGCCAACAATCCCCAATATGGATGTCCCGTACCGTCGTTCGACATTGTTAATGGTATTCCAGACATCTCCAATGGACAAGTGTAGCATGAGTGCCAAAATGGGAGCACACGCATAACTCCCGGTGGTGGCGTAGATCATTGATGAAGTGGCCGCCCGCAACGGTCCAATGAGTAGTAGCCAGACAATGGGAAAGACAAATCCAGGTGGTGTCCACGTGGGCATTTGTCGTTTGGGTATATTGTCGACTTCCTTGGTGTCGACATTGGGACGATTGTTGGCGAGTGGATTCAAGACACGACTCTTGAGGGCACAAAAGTAAAAGAGAATAAAGTTGACGGCAAATGGAACTTGGGCAATTCCCGTAATGGCGACCAATTTATCAAAGAGTGTGAATATCCCCGTGAAGAGACCCATTTGAATGGCAAGGGCGCCCCCGTACTTGACAATGGCATCCACGTCGAGCTGTTTTTTGGGGGTACTATCGGTATCGTCCTCGGCAGCCGAAGCCATTCGAGCTGTCGTGACATGATGATGGCGTGGTTTGGTGGTCGTTGGTAACAACAACCATGATGAAGATGTCTTGGTTGGAACCACAGGCGGCCGACCAATAATTGAATATTGTGGCTGAAACGCCGCAATGGGCGACGCCGTCCACACGACGAGAATTACAGTTAGCAAAAGCGATCTCATTGTGCGTTTTGTAGAGACGATAATGAAGTTTGCTAGCTAGCTAGTAGAAAAAATTGAGAGGGGTTGTGCTGCTGTATTCACTTCCAGGACAACACGGAGTGATGAAGGCTTCAACTTACGGTGTACGACTGCACTTGTCAACTTCCCACGGCTTGACTTTCAACTTTCAACAACGGCGGGAGGAAAAGATTCACTGACGTCATCGTTTACAACATGATCCCTAATAGAAACACGATCTTTCTCAATTCTCACAATGACCCTTTGACAACGGCAAGGCTTCGCCTTCTCATCCAGCACCCACAACCCACCAACGACAACACGACAACGGCCAAAACCAAGTGGGAGAAAAGCACTTGCAATTAGTTACTTTGAGTTGCCGTTTGTTTGTCGTCCACCATGGTAGCTGTGAATACTACAACCAGTGCCAAGCGACAACCAGCTACGAGTAGCAATGGTGATTCTTCGTCTTCTTCCAGCAAAAGAACGAAACTGACTCGCATTGGCGCTGGCATGGCCGGATTCTTGGGTCTGTACGCGTTATTGAATTTCTGTTTGTTTCCCAAGCAACGCAAATTGGTGGTCCCGTCCGGAGTCCATTTACTGAATGCCACCACATTGTTGGACGTGGATCACCACCAAAACAACGGAGATGACGACGATGTCTGTTTTGCCTATGACGGAATTCTGCTCATTTCCTATGCGGACGAAGATGGCTTTGCGACGGTCTTTTTTCTGTATATTCTCAATCAACTGCTGTACGCGGAAAAACACAATCTACTGCCTTGGATTCATTTAGATAGTCAGACCAGTATACATGTCTACGACGAACAAGAACATGGAGGCGAAGCCGTCATGCAAGTCACAGTCCTCAATGGACTCGAATGGGACAATTACACAGATCCACACAATGGACAAACCTACGAATATCCAGGAACACCCATTCTCAATTACAAACATCCCAAGAGTACTTCCACCGATGTCACTATTGAAGGGACGGGAATTTGGAACTCGTATTTCGATCTGCCTTCGAGATTGCATCCTCTGCGACACTTGCTTCATCCATCCACTTCTTCTTCATCTTCCTCTTCTTCTTCCTGTCACATCAAACCCATTTTCCAATTGTCACTCAAACAGATTGAACCATCGCTCATGGTATTCTGTCCCTACTGTGTCCGCGCATGGAGACGCAAGAGTACGCCTCCGGTACTCGCGCAATGGAGTTTGCCGTATCAACAATGGTTCGATCCCATGCGACGTCGTGCCCACGGCATTATTCGGCGTCATTATCGACCGACGGAGCAAATGACACGATTGGCTCATCAAGCCAATCCCGTCGTCACGGCACAAGAAGATGCCTGTCTGGCACTCCACATTCGCCATTCCGATAAAGCCGATCGACGCATGCCCATTGCACTCTCGGAATTTCGGCCTTATGTGGAGGAATATATCAACGCTGCCGTCTTTGTCGGGACCACCATTGCCGTCTACGTCGCCACCGATTCCAATCAAGTGTTGCGGGATATTCAAACCGAATGGCCCGTCACTTTATCGAGTTATGTTCGCTTTCAAAATCACGTCCTGCGATCCGACAATACCACGGCCGTATTTGCCATGCACAATGTGCAACATCATAACACCAATACGGAAGTACTGGTCGATATATTGGCCATGGCCGAATGTGAATTCATGGTCCATGGCATGAGTGCCGTCACCGAGGCCGTGCACTACCTAAACTTGAAATTGCACAATCAAAGTGTCAATCTCGAAGAAGAGGAAATGACCATGGCCAGATCCAACAAGTACATTCACAAACGAAAGCCTACCATGACACCCAATGAATTTGGAACAATGGTACGGAAACGATTGTACGAAAAGCGAAAAGCCGCCAAAGCACAAAACGAAGACGCCAGTGTCAAACAAGGAGGAGAACAGCAAGATGATAATGGAGAAGCACAGCAACCATAAGGGCTTTTGGCTGCTCGAATGCGAGGACAAACGAAAATGTCATGGTCACTTTAAAACTTAGTGGCAGGAATGAATGATTCAAACCAACAATAGCAGGAGGATACAGACCAAACCAGCGTCGGGCTGCGCCTTCATAATCGAGGAGCGTGGACGACTTTTTCAACTGGGACGATCACGACAGGATGATTGAATTCATTCTTGCGTTATTTCGATGCAAATCTGTTCAACTCAGCATTCCAGGGAGGAAGCTTCTCTGTCTGTGGCTGCGTGTGGTACTGTTGGGAGAGTGCCCCATTGAAGCCCACAGTACCACTTCAAGGCTACGAAGAGGAATCAATCAGCAGGATGAACACTCCTTCCGTACAACCGGTACGGTAGAGGTCCCTGATGCCATGGAACCTTTGCGAAAGAGGTGCATCGCAATTGCCGCACCACTACCGTACAGATAAGCGGAAAGCGGAACATCCAATGCTACCGGTACCGGTACCGTATATCTTGCTGTTATATCACCGTTCGTTGTGTGCTTTATATATCTTTTGATTATCGCTGTTGGTTGATTTATTTATTCACTGAGCCAGTCACACAATTTGAAAGGGGCGTTCTGGCTAACATAGCTGCTTTGTTGGGTAAGGAGGGACATTGATCACACTGCTAAGGAGCCAATTTTCCACCAACACCGCTATCATAGTGTACGATGCGGTCAGGAATAAGGTCAATGCCAGCATCGAATGCCTGCTTGTAGTGTTCATCATGCCACAAGCCAACTTGCACTTGGCCAATGTGTCCCATGCGCAACAAGAGCATCAACAGGCGTGAAATACCAATGCCGCCTCCGTACGAGAAAGGGAGGTCTTCCTGGAGTACCGCCTTTTGAAAGTCGAGCTCGGTTTCATGCAATGCTCCTCGATGCTCCAACTGTTTGAACAAAGATTCCTTGTCCACGCGGATGCCCATGCTACTGAGCTCATGGCGGTACTCTGTGAGTGGGTGGCCAACCATAATGTCTCCCTTTCGGTATGACAAAATTCAGTGAAGGAATCAACAAATAATGTAGATCAAGGGTCAGGGGGCGTCGATAGGTTTATAACAATACCCGAGAGCTCGGCACGTACATTGAGATTCCAGTCGTCATAAGATGGGCTCCTCTGCTCTTCCGCGGGGGATCCATCCGCCATTGGCCATCCCATGCCACAGATGAAGATCGCCTCATATTTTTCAACCGCCTTGTTTTCACGTCCGTGAATGGATTCATTGGGAAACTCATCGTGAAGCTGCTGAGCCGTCACAAACTTGATCTCCTTGGGCAATCGCCAGTCAGCCGTGGGGTGCTCGGGGAGGAGAATGGAGGGGTACTTTGCCAAAATGTAGTCTTCTGCGTCCGTAATGATTTTCCAGAGGGTGCGAACATATTTCTGCAACTGTTGAACGGTTCTCTGTTGCTTGTCAATTCTGATCTCAAAGTCCCCTATAGCAAGAAAGATGAAACAAAACCTTTTTATTCAGCGGATGGAACGCAAGTTTACTCAGTCCGACAGGTTCAAACCTACATTGGTCAGCAACGGCACTGTGTGTCACATCTCCTTTGTAGCCTTTGCGGATGGATGTCGAGTCGCAGTAGATCCCTTCTCCGACCTGGCATCCCAGACGTCCCAACATTACTCTTTTCCACTTGGCTAGACTCTGCACAACTTCACAGTCCATCTCGTAGGGGCTGGGAGCCTTCATCATTTCCTCAGTGGGAATCACGCCTCTTGGCATATTCTTGTTTGGGACCGAAAAGCGCACAGCACTCTTGGATTCGGTGCCATCCAACTCGTCGTTCACACCTGTTCCACGAAGGAATGCAATGGGTGTTGTATGCTAGAGTAAGAGAGAGAATGCAAAAGTATAATGTGAGGGATCAAAATAATTGCCAAAAGGCATACAGAGAATAAGGTTCATGCCTTGATGAGGTTGAGATCGCTTTCAAGTCGACTCTCCACAAACTTTTTGACATCGACAATGGCCCGTTGAATTTCCATGGGGGAAAGGCGATTGGAGGCAATGGCAGGACGGTTGTACATCGGAGGAAGCAATGACGCGGGCATGTAGTCAGATTCTTGCTCAGTTTCAGTCCGATCCATGGTCGAGCCGAAGCGTGTGGTTCGCGGCACCACATGCTTGGGTAGGAATGCGTTGCCTTGAGACAACAAAAGTGTGGCCACGACGAAGAGCTCCGTCGCCATCATGGTTGTTTTATTTTATTGAATTTATTTCTGTCCAGATTTGCCTGATGAAGGATGCTTTGAATGCGTATCAGATCTTGAGTTGCTTCTTTTTATGGCGTTGTGAGGCCACCATCACACCAGGGTTCGCACCTTCTATGAAAGCACTGTTGTCAAGCGAATCTCTTTTGACAGTGAATGTATCCTTCCTTCGCTTCCCCTTCGGAACATCGTTGTCATGCGCTTGCTTGTTGGGATTGGCTGTTTTGTGTGATCATGGCAATCATTGTGTCTGGCAAGTCTTGATGTGAGCCTTCGCAAGTCGATTGACCAATGACAGGAACGTGGATCACCTCTGTTGTGGTTTTCCACGACACATTCCACGATATGCAGAAGGACCTTAGCTCTAATGGATGTGGAGTGGATTACGCGCCAACAGCCAACACACAACACCACGATGGCATCGTGGTCCATTTTACCATGAGAGTGCCAATAACCCTTACTTTGTTATCCCGAATTGCATTCACAAGGACAATGACAGTGGCCGCCTATCCAATCGGCACTCCCGGTGTTCCCTGGAGCCCAAAAGAAAAGACGGAATGGCTGGAATCTCGAAAGATCCACCGATCGTACCAAGAGGAAGTGCTTACCAAACTCCTAACTGACATCAAGGGCTTTACGACGCAGGAGTACGGTACATTGACGGTTGAGAATAGAGACGATGGCTACCCATTATATGTGTCGAAAAGTATCAACTGGGAGGCTTCGAAACCCAGCATTTTGGTGACAGGCGGCGTCCATGGATATGAGACCTCAGGAGTTCAAGGCGCTATCCAATTCATCAAGACCAAAGCCCTTCAATACAGCCAGACTTTCAATGTGCTCGTGGTGCCTTGTGTCAGTCCTTGGGGATACGAATGTATTGAGCGTTGGAACTCCAAAGCTGTCGATCCCAACCGTTCGTTCAACCCCAATGGCGAGGTTGTTGAAGGCAGAAGTTTTAACCCAGAACCTGCCACTCAGGAATCCATGGCGCTTATTGGGTATTTGAACGATTTGGGTGTCAAACAATGGATGTGCCATTTTGGTAAGAGCACTTAAAATTGATTGTTGAATGCGCAAAAGAAGAGATATTTGAGGATACCGTATTCAGCGACCAGCTCACATTTTGATCTAGACTTGCACGAGACCACCGATACCGACAATACCGAGTTTCGCCCCTCCAAAGCAGCACGAGATGGAAAAAAGATGAACGAGGACGAGACAATCCCCGATGGCTTTTATCTTGTCAGCGACAAGACCAATCCACAAACTGAATGGCACAAGGCCATGATTGACTCGGTTCGAAAAGTCACACACATTGCCCCAGCTGATCCAGACGGTACTCTCATTGGAGAAGAAGTCTCCCAAGAAGGAGTCATTGTAATTCCAAAGCCCAGCAGCTTGGGCCTTTGTATGGGTGTCACGAATGCTGAGTATGCCACCACCACCGAGGTCTATCCAGATTCGCCCAAAGCAACACCGGAACAGTGTAATGACGCACAGGTGGCATGCATTGTGGGAGGATTGGACTTTGTCATTCAGGAGCGAAACTTGCAGTCTTGCTCATCAACGGAATGAGTGGCGAATATTTTGGTTTGGAAACCGGGATGGTCTGTAACCTTCTTTCTTTCTTTCTTCCTTGCTTGCTTTCTTTCGGGAATGATAGTAGTTTTAACTAAGTTAGAATGATGATCCTGTGCTCTTGATACTGGTTGGGGTGGGCGGGGGTTGCACTGCTTGGCTCTCGCCGGGCAAAGCACGCAACCACTTCGCCGGTGGCTGGCTTTGGCTGCATTGATTGGTGTTGGGGCTTGATTTTATTTGTTTGGCTTCGGCTCCCTTCGCAGTTTTATGGAAGCACGCAGGCTGACTGCACCTGACATCAATGAAGAGCTTAGCCATGGCTTCTCTGGATCGATAGCTCGGTTGCAGATGACTCTAGCTAGCAAATGCTTCCAAAGCTGCTGGCAAGAATTGATTCGAAAGACACTTGAAGCACCAATCTCGCGAGGCAGGCTGCTGCGTCGTTATGACGCTGGGCGGATCCCGTCGGCACAGGTCTTATACCTTCGTCATGTCGACACTCCATACCGGTACGAACGCGCAAGAACATTCACACCGTGATCGATCAAACATTCCCAAGAACCATGGGCTTGTGGCAATACAATCCCTGCCAACTACCGGTGCGACTAGATACCAATTAGCTCAGATGGTTACTAGTACATCTGGAACCCAGAACATGCAATAGCTAAATAGATTACCTATAAGAGATAAGAGTTCCAAGTCCTCAAAACCAAGCTAAACATGCCACAGGCACTCCCTTTAGATGAAGGGGGCGGACTTATCGAAGATGAGGCTCTGGTGGAACATTCCCATGAATGCAATCATGGCGAGACGTCCATTGAGCAACTCAGAATCTTCCATGGAGGCAACCCTTGCTGCTGTAGGGGGGTTGTTGCCCGATTCCAAAAAAGCTGCCATTCCGTAGTCTATTGTTTCGAACAAGAGAGGAAAACATAAGCGCAGGCGCGTCACAATACGTACAACCAATGACATCCAATGATATTGACAAAAAGACTTACCACCAGGAGCACGTTCGCCTTTGTTCATGGCGGCAATAGCGGGGAAGGCAACGACGAACTCCCAAAGTCCGACGAAGAGGAAGATTTGGTTCATTTGATCGGGCATGCTGAAAGCAGCATCCACACTTTTTGGAACTGTTTCGAAGCTGAAGGCATCACCTGGCAAGCGGACGATGTCTTGCACGATCATACCAACGCAGGCAATCATAGCGGTACGTCCGTGACGAAGCTCGGCCTCTCGGAAAAAGGGGAGCATGGGCTCGTAAGATTCCGAAAGCTTCAAGGGATCAAAGACGGTTTCCTTGCCGAGCAGGTTGATGGATCCTCGATAATCCGACATGGCAGAGAGCGCCGTAGTCGAGGCCTTAGCGGGCTGAGCCGCGGGGGAGAAGGCGGCGGCCGAGGCCAACAAGGTAGACAAGATGCAAGCTTTCATCATGGTTGGATTTGTGCTGAGGTCGTCGCAGGGAACGGGACTCTGCAAGCCGCCTACGTAAACAAGAAGGATTGGTCTTTTCCGAAGACGAAACGCCGATCTTTGTATGTTGAAGTCAAAAAAACGATCCTGTGGGAGGACGCTGACGAGTGCCAGTCAATAAAACAACGAGGGTGTATTTGAACTCCAGCAGAGCTGTGAATAAATAGTGCGAATACGACTGTACCATGCGGTACAGTACGAAAGAGACCTTGAGCCAGGGCAGCTAGCTAGTCTAGCTAGCCTACCGATAGCTACTGGCCAGGAAGCCCGAAGGGGCCAGGCTTAGGTACAGTAAAGAAAAGTGGAATTCTGGACTCTAGAGCTAGGTTCTGTGTTCTGTGGGATCAGGGGGGACAAACTGGGGACCAATATGAAGGCCAAAGTAGACCTAAGTGAGTGGACATAACAAGGGCTGTCTTGATAGAACATCATTTGGGAATGGGAATATTGAGTTTTGTTTGCTTTGACAGTGGCAAGTGGTTGCAAAAGAATTTTGGCTGGAGGAAGAAGCAAGCCACCCATGGAAATACTTTGTGGGTGCTTCGGTTACTTGTGCCACAAGAAATGCTTTGTGGGTGCTTCGGTTAGTGCCACAAGAGCTTACAGTACCGGTAGGAGTTCATGCACAAGTAATAACTACCTTGGATGAAGACTGGAGAAGATCGGCTTGTGATTCACTCCCAATGGAACCTACCGAAAGAGTTGGGCGATGAAGAAGAATGTGGTATCTCTGTAGGTCAGCAGAGGTTTAGACACGGCAGCTTTTGCAACCGCCCTTTCTGGCTTTAATAAAAGATAGTGGGGAGCTTCCTGTGCTTTAGATGGCGCTGCACAAGGAGCTTGATGGTTATAACTATGTTGGCCTTCTGTCTAAAACTGATACTGCTAGTACTCTGGTTGTCACACGCAAATAGTGGCTGTAAATGTTTGGAATGTAATCGTGGTTGTGTCTATCTATTTATTTGTGCATTGGCTTTTGCTGCGACCTGGGAGAGGTACTGGGGGCAGTGCTAGGGCTCACACTGGGGGAGTTACTTGGGGAGGTGCTTGGGGAGGTGCTTGGGGAGGAGCTTGGGGAGGTACTTGGGGAGGTGCTTGGGGAGGTGCTTGGTTCACTTAGGCCTGCACTGGGGGAAATGCTGGGTGCAAAACTGGGGGAAATGCTAGGGGCAGTACTTGGGCTTTCGCTTGGTGGTATACTTGGACTCTCACTGGGTGAAGTGCTTGGTGATATACTTGGGCTTGCACTTGATTCACTGATGCCTCCACTTGGGCTCCTACTTGGGGAACTACTGGGGGGAGTGCTTGAGCTCTCAATTGGTGATGTGCTTGGTCTTATACTTGGACTTTCACTTGGGCTCTGGCTCGGCTGTCGTAGTCTTTGAGGTGTTTGACTAGCACTGGGAGGTGGTGCACACTTGGAATTGATGCAGGAACCTTTGCACTCATCGTCACCACTGCAAGTGTGTCCATCCTCCCAGCTAGATATCCTTATTCTTGAGCAGGGAGAGGGCTCTAGTAGTTTTGAAAGGGCTGGAAAGGAAAAAGAAGTTGAATGAACTGACCGATCTTGAGGAGATCTGTTGGTGTTGTCATTGAGGCCAACGTAGGCTGCCGGCTGCGTTGCCTGCGGGTCCAAAAGGATTGCGTGTCCCACATGCGCTTGGTTGTCGCGATTGAATTGGGCAGGCCAAAAGTCGTAGTTGTTGTCTGCCGCGTTGACAAACCGAAAGTGTCTTTCCGGGTTCACATCACTGCAATCAGCTCCGCCCAGGATTGATCGGACCGCACCAAAGGTAATCACCATTGGATTGTGCCGTTTCAAGTCTATTGATGCCACCGTTGCGATTGCTCCTCCTTGTGAATGTCCAGCCAGAAAAAAGTTGTTGTCTCCCGAGGCCATGCACTCATCTACAGCCACAACAAAGTCCTCAGAGTAGGATGACCGTTGGTATGCTTTGTAGATACCGCCCCGAACCGTGCAGCTGCCAATAGACCTCTTGGACCAGTCGTATAGCTGCATGATATCGAATGGATTGACAAAGGTTGTTGCCCGAAACACTGCAAAGCAAGAGTTGCCTCGTCGTGCAACGATTGCAGCATCGTTGATATCGGAAAACACTTGAAATGCGTCAAAACCAGGATTGGATGGATGTTTGAAGGCTCCAGCCTCGGTGGTGAGGCCAACCAGCTGTTCTACGTCTGCAATATTGTCAACCATGAGTTCGGGGAGCTCGAGCGTCAACCCGTCAGCATCTTGTTCTTCGTTGCAACTGGAAGTTCGACGGCGTAGGTTGCGGCCTTCTGCATGCACGGTCATTGCCCTATGTGCCAGCAGGAGTCCAAAGGATAGCGCTCTGCAGATGTTCCTCATTTTTCAGCTTGCTATTTTGTATCTTTGCTTGCAGATTTTATAATCTTGATGAATTGATCATGTTTGCCACATGGTTATCGCGGACTTTTTGTTGGCCACTTCTCTATTCATGGGCTGAGGGTTACTGATCCCGTCCGGGCCTAAAAAGATGCCGATGAAGGCTGATTTTGGTTAGACTTTTGTTGGCAGTCGCTGATGTTTCCATGTTGAAAAGCAACGTTCCAAAAAGATTTATGCTGTTACTCAAGTTCTTAACCACGCCGTGGAAGATTTCCTCAGAACCGGCTCATTTTTTGACGGTCCGCTGTTTCAACGATGTGGAGGTTGCTGTTGGTGACTCAATAATGGCATGGGCCGCCCCAAGTGGTGAGACGCTGAAGAAGTCGCTAGATGGAACGAGTCATGGGGAATGCGAGGAGGCACTTGCAAATGCCTACCGGTACCGTATGACTGCCGGTGTGGTCTTGTTTGGAAAGGCTGGAAGCTCCAGGCAGCTCCGCCATCATCAGCGTGACTGTGAACTACCGGTAGGAGTTTGTTGCGCCATGCTTTTGTTCGCCTCTCTTCCAGTCATTCAATCGGCAAGGAGAGAAGATTGAATTGCTCAAGACGGATCCAATTTCCTTATTGACAAGCAAAGCATGGCTGGTCATTGCTTCTTGAACCCAGCAGCAGCACTCGGTCAGATGTGAATCGAAGCAAGAATCGACGTGGAACGATTGGCCGAGTTGTTCTCCCACTTGCATGGAACAGAACAATATAGGCTCATAGCAACAAAGGAAGAAAACTGCCGTCCTGACTTCCACTTTTGAGGTACTGGTACGGTTTCCGTGCTGCTTTCACTTTGCTCCCAGCCCCCAAAACCAGAACTCCTACCTGTTACTCTCAAATGATGCTGATGTTCTTACTCAAAGTTTGGATTATTGGCATCTCTGCACAATAGCATCATTGTATACCAACGATTAAGCTCAGCGTTCTGCCCTCCCCTTGGCCCTATTCGTTTGCCCGGATTGATTCCCACCGAACCCCGTCTCAAATTGCATTTCCGGCTCACCTGAGCCATCTATTGCCTTGCTCCTTTCAGCAATCCATACCTCATCTACTGGCAAGCTAGCTAGATAGCGAGGCCCTTGTTGATTCCAGCACAGATGCAAGCACCCAAAGAGCAAGGTTAGCTTTCTAAAGTTCGTAAATGCTCATGTGCCAGCGTTGTCGATCAATGCAAGCCGACCGAGCCATTCGGGGATACCGGTACAATGTACTGGTACCGGTACGACTGTACCTGCAAGGTCCAGAAGCATGACCGAAATCCTTTTTGACAGTTTCTCAAATGAGAAAGTAGTTTCTCATTTGAGAAATTAGTTTCTCAAATGAGAAAGTTAGTTTCTCATTTATCGAAAATGAGAAACTATCTTTTTGAAATGAGAAACTCTTTGAGAAACTACTAGTAAATGTGTGGCAGAAGTGAGAAACTATTTTCTCAAATGAGAAAATAAACTATTAGTTTCTCAACTTGAGAAACTAGAAATGAGAAAATGAAACTAAAAATGAGAAACTAAAACTGTTTGAAACATTTCAAAACTTCGTAAGGGTTTCTGGACCTTGCTGAAAAAACTCCCGCGCGGTACGAACGCGGTAGCCTACCGGTACCGGTCTGCATTATTTATTTACGAGATGTTGGCTTATTGTGACCGTCAGAGGTGACCGCCAAAGAAGAAAGAAAAGTAAGAAGACCGCGGTACCGTGCCACAAGCGATGATGTGCAGCGGAGGCTGCCAACGACCACAACAAACGAAGAGGGCGTCTCCTTTGCGTCGATTTACATGTAGCTAGCTATTCCAACGATAGATACCCCTTCAAAGCCTTTCTCAGAAAATTTCCAAGGAAGAGAATCGGATATTGACGGCAGCCATGCCCAGTTTACTGAACAAGCGCAGAGCACGAGAAGAAACAGAGGAACAACCAGAGACGGCTCAGTTTCTTCCAAAAGCGAAGATTGTTGCTCGCGTCGCGCTGATTTTGCTGGCATGCCACACTTCCTACGTGTTCCGGTCCTCGGTCACATCATCCAACTTGCGGGGTCTTTTGGAAAGCTCCAAAGATACCGTGACCAAAATTGTTTCAGCAGCAGGAGATGACGAGCCACCCGCTTGGACTCGGGCTTTGGAGCCATTCTCATCAATATCCAAAGAAAGCAACAACAGCAGTGACAGAGGAATCTCAAGAGGTATCCTGTCCAACAAGCCACTATCCTTCTTTCGAGAACTACAGGACAAGGTCGACCGAGTGGATGTCGAAAAACGATGTCAACGGTTCGGCTACTCTCCACTGAAGAAAAACTATTTCCATAAGAATCATACCTCACAAACAACAACGTTCCAACGAAGGATTTTCTTTGGCAGTCTGATTGCCAGTGAAAGCTGGGAGACACTGGACATTGTGGCCACAGAGGCATATGGGGTATTGGAAGGGGTAGTTTTTGTGGAATCCAATCGGACTCAAATGTTCAAGCACCGACCAGTGAATTGGGATGATGCTGCCAATAACACAGACCGATTAAAAGCCTTGTTTGGGACACAAAATGTACAAGTACGACAATTCGTCAATGAAGATAACAAGCTGCTGGGCTTGGAGAGGGAACAGGTCCAACGAAGTGAAATCGAAAAGGGTTGGAAAGAGTTGGGAATGGGACCAAATGATGTTGGATACGTAGGTGACGTTGACGAGACATTCAGTCGGGAATTTCTTCGGGTGGTCCAGAGTTGTGACATTCCAGCCTTCGACCATGAGAAGCACCACTGTAACAGCCAAGAAGCCAAGATCCTTGGCTTTACTAGGGTCTTTGAAACATCTCCAGAGTGCATTGGCTCCATCCACAAATCATGGTACCATCCAGACATGGTGGTTGGTGCCTGTGTGGAAGAGATTGGAAATTTGGAAACCAATCCTCACGCACCCAGAATCGGCACCAGCCGAGCTCCAGGGTTTGGAGCTTGCCGACGTGGTGTGGAAAACATTACCGATGACCAACACCCGTTGTACACAGCGGGTGACATTCGAACAGCCTGTGGAGGCAAATACCAGTTTCTCAATGCTCCCAACTACACAACATTCTCTGGGTTTCACATGCACAATTTCTTTGTGGATTTTGAAGCACTTCGCTTCAAATATCTTACATATGGCCATCCAGTGCCGAGAGCAATGACCATGCCACTGGAAAAGTTGAACGCCGATGTCGAGTTCATGATCCGGTGTGTCAAAAACCAAACGGATGCACCCGAGGAAGATCAAAGGGAAAAGAAGGATCAGAACCCTCTGCGGGAACCAGGGGGTGTCGACGCTGCATTACCTCCCTTACCAATCTACTTTATGGACAAGGATTACCGGGATCGAAAACACAATGCAATCAAGGTTCAAATTGAACAAGATGAAAAGCGACGACGAGAGCGACTGAAGATGGGCCCTATAGAACAAGAGGTTGAAGATGCATCTGAGGAGCTCGAGGAAGCAAAGCGGCTTGTGTGGGCAAAGGAAGCACATTTGGAAAAGCTAAAGAAGAAACTGAGTGAGGCTAAAAAAGGTAGTACCAGGAGATAGCAAAAACTAAACTAGTAAATTTTGACAGATTTTTCCTGTTTGACGACATTCTTGTTTGGACTGCGGGGCGATGAGGCTACACGTGCATGTCAACCATGGATTTGAAATGATTTGCGCCGCAGCCCCTCATCCAACGAAGGCCTTGCCCCAAGTGTCCTCCTTTAGAATAAGGTTGAGCTTTCCTGGATGGACTCGACTCGTCACTCTCTAAAATAATAACTACTAGTAAAATAGTCCCGCATGTGGGCGCATTTGCGTCGATTACCGGTACGATGTACCGGTGTCCTGCTTTCGGATACAGATTAGGTCGCACATTTGCTTACCGGTACTACTACCGGTATGGGACGTCATGATGTGATCACCGAACCCCGAAGATACCACCATATCCAGGACATGTCATTGTGTTCACATGTTGGATCTTGCAGCTTCAGCAGCACATCCCCTCGGCAACTTCCAAGAATAATGGGTTTATTTGAACTAGCTAGTCATAGAACCCATCATTGAATTGGTGGAAGCAAACGAAATGAAGTTTTGGTTATCCTTTCTTTCGGCCTTGGCCATCGGTCGAAGTAGTCTGGCTCAAGAGCTTATCTTTCAATATCGAGTGCCCGGCACCATCTCAGCTTCCGCAACAGTGGAGGGGGTAGCAGAGGTGAACGGCCATGTATTTGTCATTTTCAATCGTCAAGGCACTGGTTCGATCACCAAACTGAGCTTGGCGGGCCAGGAACTTGGCGTCACTGCCAAGAATCAAAACCAAACCATCTTTGGCCGTGGCCTGAAGGCTTACCCCGCCAAGGATGGAGTAGTAGCTTTGACAACCGATAACACCAAGCCTGATGCCGACATTAGTGCCAAAGTGTTTTCGGCCGAGAATTTGGAGGTGACCCTGGATACTGTGACTGGTATGAAGGGGAACGTTGGCTGCTTTTTGGTGGCCAAGACATCTGGCGATATCGTAGTCAGTTCCAATACTGCCCTGACAACGGCTATCGGTGGGATCAATTCCAATGGCGACAAAAAGTTGACTGTGGATGCCCCATCTCCGGCTGCTGCTAAAGTTATCGACTGTCCTATCCTCTCCGCCGACGAAAGCACTCTGTATTATGTGGAAACAACTCCAACCTTTGAAAACTTTATTCAATCCATCAACATGGCAGATGGTGCACTCATAGCGGCATCGAGTCCACCCTTTGGGATCGTGCAAAGAGGGCCTGCTTTGTCTCCAGACGGTACTCATGTCTATGTCTCAGCCGTGAAATCGAGCAACACAGAAACCACCAGTGGATCTGAGAATTACCTATCTCGATTCAATGCCGACAGCCTCACGGAACGATTCGATGTGGCGACAGAAAAAAGGTATACAAGTTTTGTACAGAATCCACTGGTATCGCCGGATGGAACCATTGTGTATCTGTTTGCCGTCGATTTCATTGTTGCCGTGCAGGCCAGCGACGGGACGACTGTCTGGGAGTTCGACGTGACCGACACTTTGTACACACCGCCGTATCTGTCCAAGGACGGCAGTCAACTCATTTTTGCCCGTATCACCCGTCCCGAAAGTCTCTTGTTTCTGGATGCCCTCACGGGCGAAATCCTCGGGACGCCATTGGTACTCCCACAACATCTAGTGTTGGGGATCGCACTAGTCGTTGTGAATGAAGCGGAAGATCGGATCTATGTCACTGTCCCAGGGGGTGACTCGGTGTTCGCAGTCACCAATCCCAGCATTGCGACATTGGTGCCAACACCCGAAACAGCCGCACCCACATCCTCTGGAAGAAAAGTCGGCAACGTCCTTGCTATCATTGACACTCCAATGACGATGATTGCTGCATTTGCCCCAATGGTGATGGTCTCCTTGTTTTGGTTTTGATCGGACTTGGTAGGCCCCGGACGCTCGCCCGCGATTTTTTAAGAGAGTACGGTACGTACTGTAAGAGTTCCTTGGTTCTGCGAGATTTCTTTTGCTTTAGATGAAGTTTATTTATTTAGTTCTACCGTTGCGACGTTTCATTAAACATTTCAAGAGTCCACTCGTACTGTACCAAAAATTTGCGGTGCTACATAGCTAGCTTGCTTTGTTCATTCCTGATATGTCTACTTGCCCTTACTCAGCACCACTAAAGAACCAAGAACATCCTTGCCCTGATTCTTTCGAATAGCGCAAACCTTGTGGCCACAAAACTCCAATCCAACATCGGCAGCCAAACATTCAATGTATGCTTTGGAATGGGCAAATCGGGCACATTCATGCAAAACATAGTCGACCGTGGAATCCTGGTCAAGTTCCAGTAGTTCCGTGGAAAAGGCAAACCGACCATTGGCCGACAGTGATTGATAGGCCGCCACAAAGATATCCTGAAGATCTCCAATGTACACAAACACATCACAGGCAGTGATCAGGTCGGTGTCTGCCTTTTGTGACAGGCCTTGCAGGCAATCGCCTTGGATGGTTTCGTCGTACACCTTTCGTTCCTTGGCTTTGTCCAACATGTCGGGAGAAAGATCCACTCCAACAAAGTGACCCGCTACGCAGTCTCGAAAGGCCTTTCCCGACAGACCCGTGCCACAGCCTAGATCCACCGCTCTTTGGGCCCAACCGGATTTTGTGTTTGCCACCTCATCCACAAGTTTTCGTAGCTCGGTGGGAGTGGTGTAGTTGAGAGATTCCAGCAGCAAAGTGTCAAATCGAGGTGCAAAGGTGGAATAGAGACCCACAATGTAGTCTTGGGGGCATTTCTGGAGCGTTGTGGTGTCACTCAAGGTGGCCAACCAGAACTGTGCCATGCTCCACTTGCCGTGTTTTTGGGGCAGTGCGTCACAAACCTTTTGGAAGTGCTTTGAGGCTCGTTCTTGGCTGATTTGGGGAGGTTGTTTCTTGCGAAAGAAGAGTCCTAATCGATATTCCAATTTGGCCAACTGTTCTGACATATTCTCTGATGGTGGCAGTGTGGTTTGCTGCTGCTGCCAGGCCTCGTCCAGTGTCTTTGTAATATCGGCATAGGTAGCTTCTTCCTTGGCATTCAAGGGTCTCTTGCTGGGATGTTTGGAGGAGGAACTTCCCAGTGTCCCTCGCACAAGACGAGCTTCCTGATCTCGTGGCTCTACCAGCAATCGCACCAAGAGTGTGGCTCGAGCGAGAACGTGTTGAGGTTCGGTCGTTCTGGCAATGGCCTCGTGGAGGGAGGATTGACGGTCGCCAAAGTCAGGCAAAATGGTGGATAGGGCCGCAAATCCAAACGGTTTCTGCGGCGCTGTGGTTGTGGCGTTTTGGGCAAGAGAAATGGCTTCTTCCAGCAGTGCCGGGTCTGGTAGATTGTCCACTTTCTTTAACTTGCTCTGTGTGGCCAAGAGATAGGCTAGCTGGGACATGATCTTCGCATTTCTTGGCTTTTTGACAAGGACCCGCCGTAGAGACTCGATTTGAGCCGTGGCATCTGCCACCGGCGCGTTTTCTGTTTCGTTATCTTCGTCAACGCTGCACTTGACATGGTCCGAACCATCCATCCTTCATCGGTAGTGGCCGTGGGGTGGGGTATCCAACTCAAGGATGCTCAATGCCCAGTTGGTTGTTTCCAACCATTCATCTGCTCAAGCAAGCGATACTGGTACTAGCTAGTAACTATCCATGGATACTACCATCCACACACGATGCTTCCCAGTTTGTTTCAGCCATTCTTTCGCAGAGAGTGCTGGTGCCATCACTATAATGGCGTGACAGCAGGGGTATCTTTTGGTGTGATTGGCCTTCTAAGTATTTTTGGTGTAATCAGTCTTGGAAAAATTGCGAAAAAAAGATACCTACTAGTACGCAGAAGTGGTACACAGAAATTGCCCTATTTTTAGAAGAATCACCTTTTTGGCGATTGCACGAGAACAGATGTCTCAGTTCTGTTCCGAACCTCATTGATTTGGATAATACCTCACATCTTTCTCTTTTTGAATTTGGAGAGGGTTGTCACGTTGTCACTTAGCTACATCAAAGCAGCACCCAACAAAATAACTGCGCAAGAAAATCTTCCAGCAGACATCGAAACAACGAGAGTAACAAAGAAGAAAGACAAGATGGAAGATCCCCACCACGACCGCGACGACCAACAAAAGATACCTTCCTCCGACTCGGAAGCTTCTACAACAGAAGAAGGTTCCCACGGCAAAGAGGGCTTTGTGATCTGTCAAGATGATAGTAGCATCATCGTTTCGGTGCCCCCACCTCCCACCAACAAGAAGAACATTCTTCTGGCCTTGGGTATCTGGACCGTGATTGCGGCCCTCGTGATTCTGCTACCCTTCGCACTGGTCCGTGATGGCAAGTCGGGCGAGACTGCCGTCGAAACTACCACTTCTGCCGTGGTATACGACACCTTTGAGTACACCCCCTTAGATAATGACCAGTGTCCCGGTCATCTCGAGGACGATGCTGGGAACGCCGAAGTTTCCGACATTTGGGCTTTGGATCTTGCCTTGGGACAGCGCGGGATTGCGGACGAACGTACCTTCGACGTCGAGCCCAGCCATGAACCGTGGGAGCAGGGTCCAGGAGTCGTCTTTCATGTGGAAACGGTCACGGAAGCACTTCAAGAGGACTCGGCCAAGCCCATTCTCACCAACGACGAAGTCAGGGACCAAGCTCAGCTAGAAGCCAGCCAGTACTATCAGAATGCCACAGCCGCTGCCACGGTGTACCCACCACCGCCCTTGCCCAATGTGACCCTTGAAGCGCTCAGCAAGAACGATATCCCCTTGGTGTATGCCGGTTCACAGGGATTCTTGGCAGCCTGCATGATGGCCTTTGCGCAGCACTTGCCACTCGCACTGGCGCCCGATCACCTCTGGACCATTATCGTGCAGGGATTCGCTCAACATGTGGACCAACATGCCGAAGAACTCCGAGCCCGTTTTGTTGCCCATGAAGGAAAAGCGGAAATCGTCATCAAGGAGAATCGGCTCGTACCGGGAGAGACACCTGCCGACGAGTGGGAAGAAATGATATTCCCAAAGTTTTCCAAGGCGATTGGAGAGAACATGATCAACAAAGAAGCCCACGAAACCTTGGCGGGCAAGCACTTTAGCACTTCTACCGCCTCTAGCCATGCCAGCTCTGAGATTGCTCTCATGGCAGCCTTCAAAGGCTACTTTGAGTACACCATGGTCACCGCATGTGGAATCCCCCAAGTGCGACTTGAGGGAACGCGAGATGATTGGGTCGCGCTCCGTGAGAATGCCGCCAAGTTGGCAAAGTGGATGATGCCGAACCACCCACAGGGAGAGCTCTGGATCAACGACATTGTCTTGCCCATTCTCGATGAGCTTGTCAAGTCTTATGATGGCAATGTCAACTACTGCTTCTGGCAGACCATGGTCAAGTTCCGTACTACCGGTGTTGGATCTGGAACCTACGAGTTTCTGAGCGGGTGGCTCGCCACCCTGTTTCCATATTTGAGCCAAAAACCTGGAAAGATGGAGCCCAATCCTCACCTTCGTGGATGGGAAGAGTCGGCCAGTGCTCTTTTGGAGGGACCCAAACCCAGTCACATTCCAAGTCAGTTGTCTTCTGTTCCTGTAAACTGGGAGTACCTTGGCCAATTGCTCCCTCTTCATTTCCACGCTGGATTTAGAGGAGTGACACAGGAAGATGATGGTACCCTCTCCCCTGTCATGGGTTGGTACGTTACCAATGATCCCGCGATCGCCGTCTAATCAATCAAACAAACCGAATGGGAAAGAAACGGCCTCGATTCATGTCGAGCTTGCTAGCTTCTGAGCCATTGACTGACTGACTGACTGACTGGCTGCAAGATTTGTGCCGAATCTGCCAGCGATTCAGAACCTTTCGGAGCGCAAAAGTTGTAGGTTGTGTTTCCTTCGTCGATAAGTGTTACATTTATTCTGCCAGGGATGGCAGTACCGTTACCGGTACATGTACTAGTACACTCCAGTTCAACTGTCAGTATTGTAGCTTGTATAACATAACTACCGTAACTTGCAAGAGCTGGATGAATGAAGCAACCTCTCCCTAACCTGAGTCTCCGAAGGCAAAACCTTTTTTTAAGCTTTCGTTGCGCCCAATTGTATAAATTTACGATTCGATTCCTCACAATTTCAATTTTTGATCGTCACAATTTCAATTTTAATTTAATTTCCCGAATCCTCACAATTTCATGTTCTTGAATTCTCACAATTTCAACGTTTGGACTTCTCACAATTCCAATTCGCGATTCCTCACAATTTCGATTTTCTTGATTCCTCACAATTTCAATTCCTCACAAATTCCTCACAATTACAACTTTCCTGATTCATGATTCCTCACAATTTCGATAATATCCGATTTCTCACAATTTCATTTTTCCTGATTTCTCACAATTTCATTTTTCCTGATTTCTCACAATTACAATATTTTTCGATTCCTCACAATTTCAATTTTCCGGATTCCTCACAGTTTCAATAATTTCCGATTCCTCACAATTTCAAATTCCAGATTTCTCACAATTTCAATTTGCTTGATTCCTCACAATTACAATAATTTCGATTCCTCACAATTTCAATTATTTTTCGATTTCTCACAATTTCAATTTTCCTGATTTTTCACAATTTCAAATTTCCTGATTCCTCACAATTCAATTTGTTACCGATTCCTCACAATTTCAATTTCAATTTTGCAATTGCTCACAATTTTAATTTTCATGATTCCTCACAATTTTAATTTCTCAATTTCATTTTCTTCGATTTCTCACAAAAACAATTTCTGGATTCGATGATTGAGATTCAGTAAAATTTACTTAATCCAGTCACTCTTTGCTAAAATCGTACGATGTATGATTGAATTCCTCAATGCTCTCTACAATCTGCCGTTTGTACAGCGTCGGAACTTCCAAGTACCAGGACTCTCTACAGCTTTGGTTGGAGATGTGGGAATACCTTACCGGTAATGTAGCTTGCATAATCTCGTTTGGTTTAGCTTACATGTTGCCAAAGGAAGCAACAACCGCAGTGAGCTACATGTACCTTGTGTGTGCGGCAATTTGCACAGACGCAACATCGTCAATCATGGTCCTTTTGCACGACACAAACCTCAACCACAAGAGGTAAACTTTCTCTATCGGTACCATAGTTGTTGGGGCTTCAGGAAAGGTCACAAACAAGATTTTCTCTAAAGTGGCAACTTTACGAAACGATGCTTCACTCCAGGATTCTCACTGCATTTCTCTTTCTTCTCACCCGACGTGTCGCGGCCGACAACTCGATAGCCTTTAGCCATCCATTGAGGCCGGTTCCGGAACCTTTGGGCTGCTCTGACGACGGCATGGGGTGCCCGTCTTGTGAAGCGGATGAAAGGAACTGCAAGTCACGGGTTAGACGCAGCTGGTCTCGCCTGGGCAACGTCGAGAAACAAAGGTTCTTTGATGCCATTAACGTCATGAAGAGTACCCCCAAGAGCGAGGGTCGGGAACTGTATGGATTCGACTTTACTCCGTACGATGAGCTTATTCTTCAGCATGCGGCTGCAGCCAACGACCCCCGCGGAGACCAGGGCCATCTCGGTCAGCACTTTTCTCTGTTTCATCGGCTTTTCCTGCTCAAGTTCGAGAACTCTTTGCTGGCAATTGATCCGCAAATTGAGGGTTTACCCTACTGGGATATGCGCGAGGGCCCCGACGTCGTCTTTGGGCCTTCCCCGATATCCTTCGGCAGTTCCACTGGTCAAGGTTCTAACTACGAAGTCACTGATGGAGCCTTTGCCAACTGGGATGTAGCACCCTTAGACAGCCAGTTGCTGCAAAGCCGGAGCCTCTACGAAGGGTTCGATGATATCTTCAGCAACTATACCGGAACAACGTTGCTTCGCACAACCAACGTGCCCACGACATCATTGGTTCGCTATCCTGTCTGTGATGGAGGCAATGACGTTGGTCCTTTGACTTACAGCCAAGCAGACTATGAAACTTGCGCAAATCAAACCACATTTGGCGACTTTCACTGGTGTTTGGAGAGCGAGAGTACCAATGGAGTTCACTCTATGGCGCACTTTTGGATCGGATCTGCCGACAGTAACGAATATGGCTTCGGCTGCCCTTCCTTCTCACCTCCCAACTTGACCGAGTCCGGCGCCCGACAAGGTGACTATATTGACAAATCGACGTCTCCCAACGACCCCATCTTTTGGCTCCATCATAGCTTTGTAGATATGCTGACCATGTCATTCATGAGACGAAATGAAGCAGGGGACAGATTTTGGTCCTTTAAAGCTTCCGATGAAAACGGGACGACCCCTCATGTGGAAGGTACCTTTCTCCGCGATGTTGTAAGCTCCGCTTGGCCGTTTGAAGGGTCTGAAACTTTGAACGATCCAGAAGCAGGCTCACCACCTCAGGGCCCTCTCAAGTATTGGGAGGTCATGTGCTGGGTTGGTCCCACCACTGCCATCTACACTTACGATGTCTTTGGCGACGAAAGTTGCGAAGCAATAGTTATGGAGGAGGAGGAGGATGGGGCACAAGATTCAGGAAATCCATATCTTCTTCACAGCGTGCACCCCCTGCTGGGATTTCTTCTCTTCGAAGTGCTGGCGGCCTTCTACTAGTAGATCATGGAAACAGGATAGTTAGCTAACGGACTACTCTAGTAGTACTGTACTAGTAGCTTGCGAGAACTCCTTCTGAACACAACTTGCCCGAAACAAAACGCACTGATCGCGGTAGCTAGCTGGCTAGAAGGAAGCCCGCCTTTCGGTGGGCTATGAAGATGATGGGCTATGCTATGAAGATGATGCAATTGCAATCGGGTTCCCAACTATCCCGCAGTTGTTGTCCGAGAGCTGGGGGACGGAGAGATCCATTGCCCACTGTGTTTTGTGGAGGCCCCCCTTGCTTTGGCACTGAATTTCTCCATCCCCCTGGTCCACATCAGAACGGCTCAAGTTGATGCGTAAGATACCCAAGAGGTCCCGATTTTCATGCCACCTGTCGCCTCAAAATATCCGGGAGGTAAAGTAAACTATGAAGTTTATTTTTTATCATAATACCTTTACTCCCAGCTTATAGCTGGCACGAATGAGCAACGTGGCCATCACCGGTGCTTTTCTTTCAAACACCTTTGCTGACAATGACACTGTAATGCTTGCGTCGTATGCATCATCTACTATCTGTCTTTTCTGCCGAGGAGTCAACCACAAGACACGGCCGAGTCATTGCTTCTTGTCTGCAGACAGCATCAGGATCGGAGTCGAGTCAACCAAAGACAGGTAGATTCATAGATTCCAATTTCCTTTTCTACAAGAATCAATCACAAACAACATCGTATCAAGAACCCTTCGAGCACACTCAGCAAACAAACTTTCCAACCGACCATGACGACTAGCAAGATGTATATCGCTCTCTTGGCCGCGGCACAAGCTCCACTGGTCCTGTCCTTCCAGGTGCAACATTCAATGGCCCCGCCCCATACTAGACAAATCCACACACGACGCCTGGAACCTCTGAACTCGGCCATTTTGTCGGAAATTGACTCGCTTTGGCAAACATATCCCTACACGGCAGCTGCACTGGTCTGCGGATTCAAGGCTTCGGCTGCGGATTTAGTGGCGCAAGTGAACGAGGTCAAAGATCAAGAAGAAGAAGGCGACGAGAGTAGTCAATCCACAAGGTTGTCCGAAGCGGAAATCCTCCAGAGAACGGCTTCCACCCAAGCGTTGCAGCAGCAAGCCCTGGAAGAAGACGCCACCTTTTCGTTCTTATCCAATGCCGACTGGACGCGTAACGCTGCATTTATAGCATACGGGGTGCTGTACCAAGGGATCACACAAGAATACTTTTACAATCATCTTTGGCCACAGCTGTTTGGTACGGATACCGGCGTTACCACGGTGCTGATCAAGGTGGCCTTTTCCCTGTTGGTACAAGCTCCCCTCTTGACGTTGCCGTCGCTGTATGTCTCCAAGGCACTTATAGAAGGCTTTTCCTTCCAAGAGGCAGCGGATCAATACTTTTATGATCTGAGATATCAGGGATTGCTGCAAAAGTTTTGCCTTTTATGGGCACCTGTACTCGGTCTGATCTTTACTGTGATCCCGGAGCATTTGCGGGTCACCGTTATTGCGGCCGTCTCCTTCTTTTGGCTCATTGTCCTGAGCAGCATTTCGAGTAACGACCGAGACCCAGCACAATTGGCAGCGGAAGAGTAACTAACTTGATAGGAGTCGAATATACCCACACGAGGTACGAATCCAAAAATAAACGAGCTACGATACACGATATAATATAAATATGCATAATAGCGACGATAGCACTAGAAAGGGACTGCATCTCTGCGTCGAGTATTAAAACCTGATCTCACAATTCAAACTCATCTATTCCTCAGTTTTCGGAACTTGATGGCGCAATAGAGCCCGATGATCTCCCACTCTTCAGCCGACACGGTTCCACCTCCATTTCGTTTCTGCATCTTGGCCCAAGCCTGATGCGCCTGCCGGTTTCTATCCGGGTCTTCTCGATTGTAGTAAAAGTCGTGAAAGTTCTCTTTCGAGACCAGCTCCAGCCCCACCTCTCGGGCCAACGACACTAACAGTGGGAGTGGTGTCACCCATTCGGGCAAATCCACGGCATTGCCCAGTCCAGCCGCATGGTCCGTTCCTTCCACCAACAAAAAGGTGTATTCCAAACCAAAGAGGTCTCTTCGATTGCAGATTTGAGCGGGAGTGGAGTTGCTGTAACCTTGCAATAGGCGACGGACGACATTCTTCTGAAACCCCAATCGACAAGCACCACCGCCCAGGCGAACCACAATGTCCTCTTCGTCCCCCTTGTTGTCGTCTTTAAATGAGGGCTTACGTCTCAGCTTCATCAAATGGCCCACAACAACTTCGGCATCCACGGTCGTGACAATCAATTCACCGTCAGGTTCCAACAAATGACTGACTTCCCGAAAGAAGTGTTTGGCTCGGTCGGGGGACGACATCATGTAGTGAATTGCAAATTGAACAGACACCACATCGAACTTGTCGCGGCCCGATACGCCTCCTCCTGGAAGCCATGTTCCCTCTGGATGAGTGTCGTGTTTGTGGCGTTTTCGTTCGGCTGGGTCTCCCAATGTCCAAGTCATTAATGGTTGACGGCTCCCCAACCGATCGGCACCCAGATCGGCACAGACAAAGGAACATTTGGGCAACTTTTTAGGAGGCAGTCCATTGGCGCGTCGTGTTGCTTCCTGCAGAGATGCTCTGGCAACGTCCACACCACAAAAGTTGACGATTCCACAACGCGAATGGAATGCCCATTTGGCCAAATCACCTCCCTTGCCACATGCCAAGTCCAAGACGCGAAGCATCCCACGGTATCTGGGATGGACTTCTTCAATTTGTACCGATTTGACCCAACCATTAAAATTTCGCATATAAAAGAGTTTGGATTGGGATCGGGTGGCCAAGTCTCGCGAAAGACCGTCGTAGAAGCGAGCGATATTGACTGCAATGCCATTCTCGTGATAGGGCTCGTTCAATCCAGCATTTGGCAGTGTCGGAGGGGTATCATGTTCCTTGTTAGTAATTGGTTCGACTTTCGGTTGATTTATCATGGAGTTGGTAGATTGACCCTTTGCAGCGGTAACAGTCTTGTTTTTGCAATTCTTGCCCTGTCCTGGTTGATGGAGTGCCCAAAACTGGCAGTGGTCGCAATAATAGTAGACCTTTCCGTGTCGATTCTGTTCCCTGGGTTCATCTGGGCCCGGCGGTATTAGATTCCACGAGACGCCATCGTTCCTGGCCGGTTTCTGCCTTTTTTTCTCTTCTCCTCTTGAGGCCTGAGATCCCCTGCGCTTGGCTTCGGCTTGATCCGCTTCTTTTGGCTGCTCGCTGGAACCATTTGATTCGTTCTGTTTGACCGAGGATGGCTCTTTTGGATCGGCCATACTCATGGCTTGCTTCCTATTCTAAAGACTCAACTCAGGGGTGCAGCAGTGCACAAGTGTTGCTTGCTTTGCCACTGCCAGTGAGAGGTGGTTGGAGAGAGGTCACGAGGTGACGTGATTTGCTTGTTTTACAAAAAAGCAAAAATTCATATGCCCCCTGGGTCGTCTCCGTTTCCAGTACTAGTTTAACTTGTCTACTAATACAGGATAATGGTGAATAGAATCGAATGAATCATGTGGCTTATATTTAGGGTTTAGGTTTTGCAATTTTGAAGTCAACGTGTGTTAAGTGGAGGGTTGCTCGCTTCCGCTGGAGCTTGGGTCTTCTTTTTCCTCTGCTTCCCGCTTTCTCGGACTGGGGTATTCGGAATAGGATCGTGGAAGTTCGGCAGCTTTCTTCATACCTTGTGGAGTGTCATTATTCTGACTATTCGCAGGTGATACTTTGGCGACGTGGTTCGTGGGACAGGTGGGACGGGAGATGACGTATTTTGTTGCATTGGAACTGGGAATGGTTTGCGAATAATATTGGGAGGTCCAGTATTGAGGATTTGAAAATGAGGGCACGGGGGATTTATACGGGAAGCTACTGTAGGAGACTTACCACGTTCTCCTGTTGGTGCTTTTCAGAAGAGTTCCCAAGAAGGCCTCAAAGTATTGCCGGGGTAGTGCAAAACCATGGGGAAGGGCCAGTGTGGTAGCTTGAAGGCGAACTGGTGGAGTAGAGGTGGGGGGGGATGGTGTGCGTGCGTAGTGGCTTGTAATAATGTTGCGACGGGCACAGTGATGGCCCGCATGCGACCGAAGTCCGATGTCATCCAAGGTTGTTTCGGTGAAACAACGGACGTAAGACGTGAAGCGGGAGTTGACCACGAGGCCAAATAGAGTACACATGGCCCTTGTCGTTCTTGAGGAATTCGGATACAGTGCGGTATTCGCCTTGATCGATCAAGAATCCGTCACAAGGTGAGTCATGATGTCGGAGTGGGTGAGCAGCTCACTCCAGGTGTCATGGACCTTGTACCACTTGTCCTGTTCGTCGAGAACTAGGTAGGGTTCATCCTTCTTTGCGGGTCGTACACGTTATTGCATGTAGGCCGGTTTTAAAGGTTTCATTGAACCACTTCAAGGCCATTTCTGGGGTTGGGATCTGGGAAGAAACGTTCACCAGTTTTCGTCAACTTCACCTCTGGGGCACATGATAACAAAGCCTCTTTGGTCATAAGAAGTACCGTTGGTGGCCTCGTACATAAGGAGCTTTTCCCCATCAGCAGAAGCGGGGTCCACCAATTTGAATACCCACTCGATCATGTGCTTGTCAGCGAGGGCTTGAACAAAGGCCATCATGTCTTTGGTTTAACGCCGTTGACGGAGTGGTCTTTGCGTCGGTTGTACATACACCCGTAGCTTTCTTTTCAACAAAGCCTGTGAACTTGAGGAACATTCCGGGGAAGGGGTATCTTCGTCTTCCTTGAGGTTTGCTGGGAATTACAGCGTGGAACTCACAGGAGTTGAAAGGACCTCTTGCTTTGTTGCCGCCGCCTTTTTCTTCTTGCTGTGATACCCGCGGAAGTAGGGGTTCGATTGCGACGACGTGTGTTGTGTCGGGTGTTTGGGAAGACAAGGTGAAGGAGTTCTGAAAACTTGAAGTCCAAAGAGGAAGGTGAGTGGCCATGTTGAAAGGCAAAACATTGTCAAACAGAAGAAGGTAAAATAGAAAGTAATTACGTGGGCAGGAGAGATGGCTGATGGGTTGGCTGCAGGTAGGATGAGGGATGTTGTAGGTTTTGCTGAACCGATTTTGTGACTGTTTCAAGATGATCGATGCGATAGGAATGTTGCATATATACATTTCAATGCAAAGAAAGTATATATAGAAAGCGGGATGTCTTCGCTGAGTGTATTCGCTGATACGATTGAGGGAGATCGTGTAGCCTGGTTGTAATCCTATAGTGAAACGTACACTTGTATCGAAGGGGAAGGGGCGTTGCCAGCGAAGTCGTGCACGATACCTTCGCTAAAATCGCAAGTTTTCGTGGAAAGATCGATTTGAATTATTTAAGGGACGGTCCGTAGACACATGAAGAACACACGGTGATTGGAGTTGTGTGAATCCCTCAATTGCTGCCGGCAGGGATTTAGGGTATTTGAAACGGTGCATATAATGATATTTTTTCTTATCCACCAGATGAGTAGAGCGGGCCCTCACGATTTTTGATTTTCGGGGTATATGTCATCTAAGTGAAAATCACAGCGAATGGGAGCGGGGCGCGGATGTAAACGAAGACGTGGGATTTACTTAACGATCAACATGACAGATTAGGAAACGTGGTGCGACTGGTTTCGCTGAAATGAATAAAGATTTGTCACGCTTTTTCACTATGTGGTTGGTGTAGATAGCTTGATTGCCTAGAGTGAAGTCAGCTGATCTATCGTGAAAATTGGATCGAGTATAGATAATAGAGTACAATTTTGCTTCGAGTTACCACGATGCATACAGCGAAAGTGTCTGTTCGAAGACTGTGGAAGATAGGCTTCTTCTCACAAAATCCTAATGGCAGGATGTGTTCCTTCTACATGCAGTGCTTCGTGGGGCTTTCTTTTCTTCTGTGGCAGCTTCCATGTCCATGTCCAACTTTGAGCCTTTAAATTATCGGCAATGTCAAGACCGTGGAGTGCGTTCAGGCTAACCTCAACCGTCGGTATGACAAATCTGATGTGATGGATCCATGGACCAAGACTTTACGCCCTATGTCTGCTCGGATGCGATGAAACCATCATCATGAAAACAATGTGGAAGGGTTGTTCTTCGATCAGTTAAAGAAGGTTCAGAACATCTACGTTGGGACAAAGTCTTCCAAGATCATCCGAGTACCGTTGTGAAGCTGTTGAAGACTGTTACGCTTTAGGGATCCACCTGGAGGGTTCTGAAGGGATGTCGGAGATGGCTTGGTGAACTGGCGCTTTCACCACGTGGAGTTTTCGGGAAAAGGCGCAACGGTCGGAAATGGGCATATCCTGTTGCAAAGGATGTCACGGGAAACTGAAGAAGAGAAGCCTGAAACGCCACTATATGCTATTGTTCAACAGCAACTTTGTTGGATGTGCACCTGATATTCTCAAGGAATTTACAGAAGTCGAGATAGCCTTTATTACGCCAGTGGAATCTTACGGGTACTGTTTTTCCTATGTTGGCGGAAGATGAAAACTTTGAAGGGGATCATACCTTTATGCGGGTAGACTACAATGTGATTGGTCGGGCAACGGCACATCTAGAAGCAATGGGCCTGAACAAGAATGTCGTTATACTGCTATCAGGGAAGATGACGCAGAACAGAAAAAGAAGGCAAATCGGAGTATTCGTACCGACAAGATCATGGCGGCTGTGGAATGGCTGGTACAGAAAACCGGAGCTGGAACCACGTTGATCTTGATCGTACCGCAGAGAGTTAGAAGGTGTGACACCTGTGATATGGATCGCAGTAAAGAAGTCGAATCTGAGAATTTGAATGTGGAGCAACACGAACTTTTCAGCTGCTACTTTCCGATGGTCTACTACTGAGACACAATGGTGGATTCGATAACATGACGAGTTCAAGACATTTGTCAGGAGATGCAAGAGAAGGGTTCGATTTACAGCTCCAGATGATCCTACAAAGGCTTTTTTACAAGGGACGATTCTGATGCTTGATTCATCGTGTTTGCTGAACTTCCACATGGCGTCGGAAGTATGAAGGTTTCAGACTCATGGAGACGGATGTTGGAGGAACTTGACGAACACAGAAGACTTCCTGCGCACTTTTGTCAGCTGTCAACCGGAATTTCATTCAACTATGTTCCAGTTGGTTGTGATAGTATTGGGACAAAAATCCGACTTTTCCAGAGAGCCGACTTCAGTTGAAGGGGAGTTTTCTGCAAAGGCAATTGCGGAAGGTCTAGATTGAGATGACGTGTCTAGGCTATATCAAGCGAAGAGCAGGGAATTATCAAGACGGGTCTACTTCAAGCAATGCATACTGAATGCCGTAAAAGCTATCAGCAAAGCACTGCCCAACACAAATGAAGCAGCCAAGTTGGCTAGAGGTACCGCTGAATAATGAACCACTACTTTGGACGGGTACTGTATTTTGACAGTGAGCTTTGATGACGAAAACAGTGTGCTAATGAAGTACTAAGCGGGAAAGAAGTGGAGGGCCTGACGGTGATTGGGAAGATGCAAGCGAGGAGATTCTTCAAGAACGAAGCAAAGAACGGAGACAGCTTCGATTAGATTTTCCAGCACTGGAGCACTCCATTTCGATATGTTGTTCGACATTCTATGTGAAGAAGTTATAGGATGGGACCGCCATAACAACTGTGCTACAGAAGAGCCGGACTTTTTGGGGAAGTGTTGGCGATGGCAGCAGCATTTGAAGAACAAGGCCGAAGTCAGTGCACACCCATCTTACAGTTTGGATCAAGAATTTCTTTAAGCTGCAAGAAGGTGTTTTGTGCGCAGCGAGATCGCAAGGAAAGAGATGTCCGACAAGTGCCTTTTAAGATACCACGAACGGATGGCTACAGAGATTTCCCCACAGATACCAGAACCTTCCTGGATCTTTCTGATCAAGCTTGTAAAGTGTCCAAGAGTTTTCGGATCCCCCTGTGGTTGTGTCGGATCAGTACTCCGGTACTAAGACATAAGAAGGGTACAACGCTGTATCGGGAAAGTTTGCATACTGTGATCATGCGGATTCGAATTTACTTATGAGGATTGTTGACTGGGTATTTACGACAGTGTGAAGGAATGAATGGATCAGGAACCACCGGTGATGAGGGGAACATAGTGCCAAACCCAGAATGCAGGCTGTGTTGTGGATTTCCAGAAGAGTATCGGGGCAACAGTATCTGAAACAACTACAGTGATTATTAATGCTCTCTATAACATCATACTTCTTGTCATGTCAAAGGATGCTTCAATGCAACAAGCTGGTCGAGCGCATACATGTGGACCAGCCCCAAAGTCGAATGTCGATACAGGCTTCCTGACAGGCCTCGGTCGAATCAAGGGTGGTTGCAGTGAATCAGAAACCAAGTGGTTTGATTGGACCGGAGGGTCCCGGAAACAGCCTATAGTGGAATTCCAACGAAAAGGAATGCGTATGATCTGTCCAGAATCAGTCGTGCAAAGCTATTTCAGAGTCCAAGTTTGCATGCAACAGCAACGTAACCCTTATTACGGTTGGACCCTTGTCCATGTATCAGATGAAGTACCAACACAAGTCTACGCAGCAAGACGACACGGCCGAGTATGCTACTGTTGAGCGTGCTATTAAGTCCTAAACGGAAGAGTGTATGAAGACGATGACAAGGAGGCTCTTCGTCGGATCTGCCGTGCAGCTTTTGCCCATAACAAGTCAAATATCATTGGTCCATCATTGGCCTCATTCATTACGCGGAACAAATCAAGGTTCTACTTTTCACATCGCTTCTCTACTGTCCGATCAAAGATGTAATGTTGCTGTTGAACAAACAAGAAGTGTCATCAGAACTACGATATTCACCAACAGGTCAGGCTTATCTTGAGAACCAGGCGCTCCACTATCTGTGTCGAAACAAAGATCTAGAGAATGTGTCAGTGAAGCGGTTTTACGAGCTATTTACGAGGAACGACCAATGAAGAGTGTCCACAGCGGAAGCGTCAGCGAACGGATGAGTGAGGAGAACATGGCATCTATTATGGCTTACACTGGGCATTTTTTTCCATCAGCGATCAAAGGAGACGACGGGGTGTTAACTGGTGAAACTTCAGCGGGAGTAATTTTGAGGAAAGAAGAAGCATTGGTTCGGGTTCCACAATGGGCCTCTCAGATGCAGGCGGTTTTGGTGCGAATATCCTGACGTGTCCTACTGGCGAACTGAACCAGGCAATGGATACTTATGCGGAAGTGCTATTGGTTTGTACTTGCCGCATCGATGTTTGGCTGATTTAAAGAAGTCCGTACCCCAGACCAACTATGCTTTCGCTGAAAGACTTCGTGAAGTGTATGAATACGATGTTCTGAGAAAAGCGAATAACGAAGAACCCGTCGTCTTCTCAGAAAGGAACCTGTCATTCATCCAGAACATTCAAGACACCGCTTTCAACAAACCCGAGGTATAAGGTGAAAAGAGGATGATCTTCAACGAGTACCAAGCCCTATAGACCGAACATTGGGAGGAGAACATGTACGAAAACGAATCTGATGATGAGCACAACATGAGGAAGATGATCTGATTCAAAAGTTTACGAAGATTGGATACGTGATCTTGAGAGCCAGGGCACAACAGATTCAAACCGGGACTTTCTGGCAAGCACATTTGATGGTCTTAGTTTTACGGCTATACGTCACAATGGAAGCGACAACGCAGGATACAACGTGCAGTTACCCATTCCTGAGAATTCGTTAGATGAAGACGAATTTGTTACCATAAGTGCTGACTTTCACACGACTGGCACTACAAAGAGAAGCAAGTGAAACCGCCTACACCTCGATATCACAGATCATTGAAGTTCTACTTAACAAACGGGAGTGCATCCAAAGGGAAATGTATTTAAGTACAAACCGCAGGTTGAAGTGTCGCAGCGAATGGAAGCGTGAGAAGTATAAGTGACTGGGCAACGGCTGCCAATCTGGACGCAAACAGAGAAGGGCTTTCGAGTGTATCATTGCAGCCTTCTTGTTGACATTTTATGAGGAAGCTGAAAAGTGGACTTAGAGGATGGAGTCCCGGATATGGGGTTGAAGGCAAAAGTCCGACTTTCTCGTAAAAACTTTTGATTTTGAAGGGAAGTCGTGGACCCAACTGATTCTTCTTCTACATGGGCCTGGAGGAAGTGGGAAGACTACCGTAATTGACTTAGTCATGGCCTATGGCAAAGAATTCTGCGGTTTGATTGATCATCCATTTAACGACCGAACCATTGTTGTCACTGCTATGTCGGGGGTTGCTGCTACAATACTGCATGGGGAAACAACGCATTCAGCTGTGGGATTGAACAGAACTCGGGAAAGTGTGGCGAAGAACTTGGTAGAAGAATGGAGTGACGCACGGATGCTTATCATCGACGAAATTTCATTCGCGGGGGAACTTGACTAGTGAAGATATTCCACTACACCAAGACCTTGATGCAAGACGAATACCAACCATTTGGGGACTTAACTTGGTGTTCGCGGGGGACTACTCTCAACTTGAACCAGTGGGACGCCCCCCAATTTACAATCTTCAGCACACCCATTCCTGAATTTCATGACTCTTGAATTCATTTATTGAGTTAGATGGAATGCACCGCTTCAAAGCGATCCTGAATGGGGGCAACGCTGTTTAAGATTCCGTGAAGGGCGACCAACAGAAGAAGATATGAGACCATCAATGACGCCTGCGTGGTTGGCCCAACCCATGTTTCACCAGAGAACATTCAAGTGCTACTTATCTGAATCGAAATCGAGATGCCATTAACTCAGCTATCTTCGAAGAATTTTGCGGGAAGAACAAACCTGCTGATGATTCCGTGCTGATGGATGCAGTACTCATTTTCATGGACGATCTTCAAATGGCCAATCAAGCAGGACACTGGTTCCTGTTAAGAGCAATTCGGTTTTAAAGCACTTCTTTCAACATGTGGAGAAGACTCTTAAAACCCGGTTCGGACTCACGAAACGTGTTGATCCTGCTTTGAAGTTATATAAGGGTGTCCTGTAATGTTTACAGAGAACACGAATGTTCCGAATGGAGAAGCCAATGGATCTCGGCTTTTTGTGAGAAAGGTGAATGTGAGGATGGTTGCACCCCCATGTTATTCAACTCGACAACGGCTGCAAGATTCGGGCTTTTTTCTCAGGTCAAGTCAAATCTATCCTTGTGGAACATGAAATGGAGACTATTATGCCACGTACTTTTTATGTAACGGAGCAAGACTACACTTTCAGCACCAGATGTTTTATGACGGAGAAGTTGTACACACCAAGATGAAGGGTAAGCAGTTCCCGATTATCAGCAATTCTGCGACAACTGGACACAAATTACAGGGATATACTGCAGTGTGGTTATTGGTACATTCATGGCGATACTGTCAAAACTGGGCTTACGTGGTGTTATCAAGGGTGCGAACCATGAGTGGTTTGTTCTTATTGAAGAAGCTGGATTGGGATCCAAAGAACTTTGCCATGCCACAACGAATGAGAGACATGCTTGCAAGATTTAAGGATACTATTGGGCTTTCTGTCCTAGGAGAAGATCAATACGATGAAATGTTCCAGCGAGAAGACGGGTTCTTGTTATAAGTATAAACGGTAGGGATATAGGGTAAATTAATCTATATATATAAAAACTTTTATTACTACAACTACCTTTCTGAGATTCGCATTGCACCTCGTACGTCATTCAATTTCAGTCATTGAAAAAAGATCAGCGTCCAATCAAATCACAGGCGACCCCGAAAAATTAGGAGCCAACTTTTAAAATGTGAAGAACGCAAGGCGACTTCATGTGCATGTACATGCGTTGACTGTATCCGTCAATACAATACTAGTCGAATACGTAGACTTCTACAGGGCCTTCTAAGTAATGCGCGCCGGGTATAATTCAAACCTCTGCCCCCATCGGTACCATTACCCCTAAAGCAAATCGTCTCCAGGAGACGAAATTAAAATGGCTACGTAAAATTGACAATTTTTGCTTCCAGAGAGACATCCGAAGTTTTAAAGGACAGCTCTTTTCACCCGTGCTTCTTCAGACTTCCAAGTTTGGAAACCCAAGACTCAACCTTTTTCTTCTTCTTTCTTCACCTCGGCTTCGCTCCTCCGCCCATCTTCTATTACATGTATTCGATCATTCCTCCTTTGGAAACGATTGAATCATTCGGCGGCGAAAAGCAGCTTGATATGCAGGTGGTAATACGGCGTCGACTATACCGGTAGTACAGTATGCGTACCGTTACGGCGCCAATGAAGAGGAGTGGCGGGGAGAGGAAGTCTGCTATCCGTACCTGGCACCGTACTGAACCACTGACTACTATGCGATATGGTACCGTACCAGGTTCAGCGTACCACTGTACCGGCACCGGCATGCGAGACAACGCACGAAGCAAGCGCAACGGCGTAACTCCATGTCGTCGTAAAAAAACGCAACAAAATACGGAAGGAACGGAAGGAACGGAACACTGGACAGCGAATCTAATACACTTGGCCATAGAGGCTAAAAACCGGATGCTAATAGACAAAAAGAAGGACAAAAAAACAATCCGATTACCCATGCGATACTACCAATACCCCAGTTGACCAACCTCACCTTCCAAGCTAGGCAGGTCTCGAGATCGAGACTTTTCCGGTCTCTAAATCCCTCGTTGAAGGCGGCACCGCTTCCATCCAAACATGGATCCTCGGTGGCAAGATTGTGCCCCCACCCAACCCGGATCCATTCCCGCTCAGCCCAAAGCTGCCAAAATGCTCTCCTTCTACACTAACGTCCTTAGCAGCAAATACGGAGCTGGAAATCTCGTCGTTATGGAGGACAGCTTCGCTTTCTCTAACGCGCAACGCTACGTCGAATGGCAGTGGTACGAATTTTCAGGAACCAGAGTCTTCGAAAACCTGCTGGAGGTACTGCAAGACGATGAAATCCACAAATTTCAATTCCTGCTGCAGCAACAAGTGCATGTCACACCTTCCAACATGGCTGAATTGGCTTGTAGAGAGCTCGAGAGCTGTTGCGCTTCCGTGCAAAAGTCAAATGCAACATGGGCCGATGAAGGCCTTGACGGGATGGTCGATGAAGGCACGCCCATAGTGGACACCGCCTTCATGACCTCAACACAATACGGGGAGGAAGATGAAGGCCTTGACGGGATGGTCGATGAAGGCACGCCCATTGTGGACACCGCCTTCATGACCTCAACACAATACGGGGAGGAAGATGAGGCACTGGTTGATATGGATGACTACATCCACAGCCACCGCAGGAGATCAGGCTTTCAAGACGGAAACCGGACACTCCCGGAACCTGAGTAGCGCCTGAGTGGCGCCTGACCCGAACAAATAGAATGCATCATAAAAGAAACTAGAACTGTTACTTTATTATACTGACAAATGGATTGATCAGTCCTGTGGCGCCGAGCTCCTGTTCTGGCCTGTTCTGGCCTGGACGCTCCACTGGCGTTCACGGTTCACCCCATCGCCCGCTTGATGTGTTATTCGATATGTTATTCGCTTGTTTGTGGTACACGTGTACCGGTCCGGATGGCGAGTGGAAACAAGAAAACTTACTTGATCCATTTCTAGTTTTATCTATTCGAATGTTGTTTTCCGTGCACACCCTCGTGTGAATGCCGTAAATTACTACCCCAACCAGCACAACAGAAGGAGAATAAGAACATGAAGAGAGAGGAGGGGAGGCCCCCCACCGCGGGCAATCAGACCGCGACCTCTGAATCGGTCCACGCGTCATCATCTGATACCACAGCAGAAGCGTCTTGGAAGAAATGAAGGAAGTCATCATCAGCCGAAGACAGGGGAGGCAAACCAGGAAATGGGAAGAGGTCCTCCAAAGTAGCATCCGAGACCGGGAAGAGACCACACAGTTCATTTACGTCCTCTTCGGAGAGGATATCTTGGGTGGTGCTGGTGGGAGAGGCTGGAGGATCCTCCGTTTCCTTTTCAGGAACCATCTTTTCCATCTTTTCTTGAAACTCCTTGTTGCGTTCACGGAGCCTTTGGATGGTCTTGGCGTACATCTTCTTCTCAGTGGCTTCGTAGTAGGTCCCTTCGTGACAGCCAACATAACGCCCCCCGTTGGCTTGGTGTTCCGAAATGCACTCCAGCACAATGTCACACTTTTGTTTTTGGGTCCTGGCATAGATGTAATCCATTTTGTGTTCATCCACCATGGACCTCCATGCCTTGGATCCTTCGTGGTGGTTAGTCCCGCCCCCGCGAAAAATCACCACATCCTTGGAGTTTAGATGGATGCGGTAAATTATAGTTTCAATACAAAAATGAAGAGTAAGCCAAACTTTAACCCTTGCTTTACCGCAACTACCCTTCTAAACCTGTGCAACAAAGGCTGATGCCCTCGAGGTGGGCACAAGTCCGTTTCCAGACGTGTCGTGGATACACGACTCTTATGAGTCCCTCCGTGCCTCACTGAGTCCCTCACGGTCCCGAGTGTTTTTCTCTCATTTTTTCTTTTGCAACACACGAGACACAGAACCTCACAATACAACAATACAACAACCACAACTCGAAAGATGACCTACACGGAATACTCCCAAATCTACAGCCCTGAACATGGCTCCGGTGGCCTCATTATAATGGAACACAGCCTTGCCTTCTTTAGTCCAGGCTGCTTCATTGAATGCAAGTACAGTGACATTTCCAGCACTCGGCTGGTGGCTTCCCAACAAACAATCGAAGTTGTCCTCAGCGTCTCGGTCTCTCTGTATCACTTTGTTCCGCGAGACAAAGAGAATTGTTGTGAACTGGCAAATCAAGCTCGAAAAGAGATCGAATTCTACCGCATACAAGAAAGGGAGCACTGCGACCAAGCGGATGACGAGACGGAAATTGTGGGGGGCAACACAGACAATCCCGTGGTCGGGGATGGATACAGCGACGCTCTCTCCGTCCATTCCGACGTGACAGAAGACACAGAGGAAGTACAAGCTTCTCGGGGTATGGACGCTTCGTGTCCCGCAGTTGGTGAGGGATGCAGTTGCGATATTTCTGCAATGTCTGACGTGACAACACCCACAGAACAAGCAGAGGAGGAGGAGCAAGGGGAAATCTCCTACTACAGCATGGACGAATCAGGTGAATCTGACGATGTGGGCATGGATGATTTCTTTGTTGATTATGGGCATTTGCGGCTCATGGAGTGCCTTGAACACGATGATGACGAGGCATTGGTAGCCGTGGAGAACTACGTTCCGTGCGCCGATGACGATGTGGGTTGCGACCAGCAAAGATATTTGATTTCTGCGGAATAAATAGTCTTCGAGGGAACACTCCCATTCGGGAAAGGAAGTATTTACACGAATAGAAAAACCAGACTATAGAACAAAGCAAAGCAAAGCAAAGCAAAGCGAGGCGAAAACCAACCTCGTGGCAGCCAGTGAGTGAGCCTTGCTCACACAAGCAGGATCGATGCTGTACCTGTTCGCGGAACAGCAGCGTCTATACACCTTTGGTAATCGTTCTTGGGATCCTCAACCTGCTGTCATGCCAACCATCCACAGCAACAGTCGGATCCAGCAAAGAATCAAGCCAACAGCGCACCCCACCGAAGTGCACAAGAGAGGAAGAAATTCGAGCTTCCCATAGAGTCGGATTGGCACAAACTCCAGCAGTGCCACGAGTACCATCACGACGGCCACGAGAGGAAGCAACTCCATCATTAGTCGTTGTCGAGACATGTTGATGCGTTCAATCAAGACATGATAGCAGAGGGCCATATAGGCAGCGTAACTGAACAGTTTCAAGGCCATTTCCGCAGGACGAAACAGCAAGGGAAAGATTCCCAGCAACCCCAAGGCGGTCATTTGAAAACACAATACCCGAAGTGACGTGGTATTGTTGTCGTTTTTGTTACAGACAAGAAAGAGGAGCGGGATAATGGCGTTCAGGATTGCTTTTTCGTGAACATGAAACCCCAGCATGAACGAGCACAAGGCCGAGTAGACGGCTGCTGTAACCAGTTTTTTATTGTCGTGTTCCTCGGCGGCCTTCCAGGCCCCAAAGTAGAGACCAGGGAGCAGTGATAACAGCAACAAAAGGGCACAGACCGATGCGGGCACATCCGGTAGTGAAGGACCATGGGCCAAGCCCAATACCTTGTCGACAAAACTGTAGAGTGCCCACACGTTGGCCGCCCAGTAATCGTGGACCAGGCCCCTTCCAAAAGGGAAGAGCCGTGTCAATAGTTGTGGCATTTGTCTTAAAAAGGGTAGAAATGGAACGAGGAGGGTTGTCCCGGTGTACATACTCAACGTAATCAGATGCAGAGGGTATAGTTGAATTGGTTTGGCTGAGTTCAATGGTGAGTTTTGTGATGGTGGTTGTTTGGGTGGTGGTGGTTCCAGACAATATCGTCGCAACAAGTACACAAAATAAAATGGCCCCAATGTCAAAAATAAGTGCTTCATGGTCAGTAAAAGAGCGAACAGAACGGCCGCTTTCCAGTGATGTACATGAAACTCCCGTTCTGTAGAAGAAGAATTGTTGACCTTCATCAAATACCCCAATGATGCCAAAAATATTCCAAAGAGCATTCCATTGTATTGAAAATGAACATGATCCAACCACAACAGGCCTGGATGAAACACAGTCAACAAGAAACTGGCCGGAAATTGGCCAAGGAATAATATTTGTGATGGCGATGATGAAGTGGCCATTACCCAAGCACCCCACCATAACATGATGTCACTGAGAATAACTGTGGATCGGTGAAAGATGACACAGGCTTCCGAGGGTGTATTGTCGGAATCGGGCAATAGCTGCAAACATCGTTCATCCAACAACGCATCATCATGAATCAAGTATTGTGTGACAGGATTATTGCTCAGTAGGTATTCCCAATAGGCAAAGGATGGTGGATAATCCAGCGTGTGCACGGTGGTCCCATTGACATCATCATAGTACCATTCCTTGATGGGCAAGTGGCGGGTAATGGCCAACCAGTTGCGATGCACGTCAAAATCAGTCGATCGATAAGATGGCATCAAAAGAATCTTGCAGCAGGAGAATGCTACAAACAACGCTGTCATGGAAACCCATGATGGGGTATCTTTTAAGGCAGGGATGCTGGTGCTGGGCATGGCTATGTAGCTGTGGAAGGTGATTGGGTTGAATTGGACAATGGTTTGGGGTTTGCACCAGGGACAACATCATCACGGCCATTGGCCACCGCAACATCGCACAGGGGGAGCGCGCGCAAAGACACCAAGATCCAAAAGATCCGTCTGACACCCTTTAAAAAAACAGCAGAGCGAAATAGACACAGTTTTGCTTCGTGCTAAACGAATACCGTGCACACACGGAATGGAAAAGACGTGAACTCCACCCCAGCTCCGATGCCTGTCTCTCCAATGCCTCCACCTCACTCCCTTCGTTGTCTCCACTGAGGCTCTCCTCCGGCTCTGAACTTCAGGCACTGGCCAAACTTCTCTCCTCCCAGCTGGCAACCAAGTAAGCGATCTCACCTTTTTACAATATGTTGTCCCTGGCAATGATGTCGCCCAATGCCCTGCTCAGTGTGACTATTGTTCAGGCAAATCACCTTTGCTTGAATGGCTCCCATGTCCCTGCTGGCACAATGGGCTTCCACTGCTCTGCTTGGAGGGCTAATGGTGCATTCGTCCCTTCTGTGCTCAAAATTTCTTCCCCCTTCTACCACCCTCTCCACACGATCGATCCCTGCCGTAATGCACCAAGAGAACAAGCCTACTGTGAACCCCCTTTCCTCTCATTCAACATGTATTTATTACTTGCTTATTTTCTCCGCAACTAGACTTCCACATTCAGCTGACACTCTAACAAACACAAATCTATGCCTTCATTGCCAACATTGCCTCCTCAAGGATTCCGGTTTGCTAAAGCCTGTGATCCTCCACGCAGCACCTTCTCATTCACCAACTGCCCACAAATTATGGGCACGCGCAATCACATCCACAGAGACCTGAAGACTGATTCTGACAGTCAAAGACTGCTCCTGGATATTCGGGATCAATCTCACAGAGCTCTTCAGGGACTGTCCCTGACAAGAAGTTGCCACTTGTGTTGAGGAGTTGGAGAGATCCATTGGTGGCCAGGAAGCCAAGCTCCTCTGGAATGCTGCCAGATAGCTCGTTGTCCGCAACATTCAACTCTGTCATTGCCTCCAAGAGCCCCAGTTCAAAGGGGATGGTTCCAGTGAAACTATTGTTTTGGGCGCGTAAAATGTTCGTGGTATTCAACAATCCGAGCTCAGTGGGGAGAGAACCTGACAATCGGTTGTTGTAGAACCGCATATTGGTAATGGAGTGGAGATTGGCAATCTCTGTGGGAATGGTTGCAGTCAACTCGTTGTTGTGGAGCCAGATGTAGGTCAGGCTGGTGTAGAGTCCAAACTCAGAAATGATGGAGCCTGTGAAACTGTTCCCACTGGGAGATGGTTGGAACATCAACTTGTGAGCAGGATGCATTGGCCGTGACACGCGTGTATCCATAATCAGACATACCTTAGAGTAACCAGTGTCATGTTGGTCAACAAACCCAACTCTGATGGCAGGGTTCCATGAAGCGTGTTGTTGCGTAGGTACATTCGTTCCATGGCCACCATGAGGCCGATCTCTGTTGGGATCGTGCCTGAGGCCAGAGAGGAGATTGCACTGTGAGACGCAAAAAGGAATGGCATAGATCAGACAGCAGCGCTTGGAGCAAACTCACCAGTGAATCTGCTGCTGCTGAACTGAAAATCTGTCACCAATGACATTAAGCCGAGTTCTGTAGCAATGGTACCACTGAACTGACAGCCAAACATATAAAATTCCCTTATGTCAGGCATTAGGGCAAATTCACTGGGAATTGGGCCTGCCAGTCCAACAGAAACCGACCATGCAACTGTGAGAAGTCCATGCAATCAATGTGGGCAGTCAAGTCAGCTAAAACCAGAGACTCACCAGTGAGAGGATTCCCTTTTGTATCCAATTGCCTGAGTTTCTGCATCAAACCAAACTCAGTGGGCACAGTTCCAGTCAAACGACTTCCAAGAATTGTGATGACCAAATTAGTCAGTAGACCAAATTCAGACGGGATCGTCCCGGTCATTTCACTGTTGTCTTGCTGGAAGACAGCCAAGTTGGAGAGCATCCCAATTTCTGTAGGAATGGTACCAGAGATGGGGTTGGAGAAGACAAACACATCAGTCAAACTGCCCATGAGGCCAATTTCAGAAGGCAGAGTTGAAGTTAACTTGTTGCTCTGAAGCTGCAGCAGCTCAAGCTGCTGAAGTTGGGCAATGATTGTTGGCAAGGGGCCGTGCAATTCATTGGCAAAGAGGGAGAGGCTCCTGAGGGAAGTCAGCAAGAAGAGCTCTGGTGGTACTGTCCCTAGCAACTCATTTTCCCATAGCCATAAGTTCTCATAGACTTCACGCCTGAAGCCTCTCTTTTCAGTCACCGCTTCAGTCACTGTGTCATAGATTCCACAAGGTCCAAAGGTAACGTTGACCAGTTCTGAGTCCACAAAGCCAAAAAACTTGGTGATGGAGACCTTGTCTCCTCCAATGTCCTCTTTGTTCCACCAGTTGCATTCGTGAACGCTGTGATCCAGCCAATTGGCGTCCTTGGACCATCCGCTGGATGTCGTGTCATTCGCAAACCGGATCACACCACCCGTGGCAAAGTAGAGTGTAGCAAGTGCGTAGCGTTGAGTGATGCGAAAGTCTTCCATCTTGTCATTCTTTTCAATGTCCTGGAGGATCCATTCATAGGCACGATATTGTGGAGTCTGCATTTTCACATCCTGATCAATGGTACGCACGGTGTAATCGGGCAACAAGGAGAGGACATACTGTTCTGTTGACAATATGGGAGGTGTTGTGGGCGACGGCGTGGGAGACGGCGTGGTGGAGGGACTGCTCTCGTCATTGGTCCAGTCCTTCGAAAACGCCACAGCGAAGGCTATAATCGCAATTAAGATGATGAAACCAATGAGACCATACGTTGTCTGCTGTTTCTTTCTCTTGACAGCGGTTCGGTCCTGATTTCTTTCCTGGAAAGCTTGAATATCGTCCCCGGCTTCCTCGGCTACCTGAAGATCAAATTGTCCGGATATGACTGGATTTGCCACAGCAAGACCGGATGTATCCATGTTGCGGGTTGTTGTTTGAGGAATATTGGCACGGGGCGGAACTGGTATGGTTCCATTGGCCGCCTCTTCGTCTTCTACAATATTATCCATTGTAGGCACAGCTAATTCGTTGTACCGGGGGCCAGGAATGTAAAAAGCACCGGTGGGAACATGTTGTTGCTGATTTCTGTCAAGGGCAGGAAGTCCCACGCCCGGCATTCCTGGAGGTGGTGGAACTGCGGGCGCTGCATCATTATTTGCATCACCAGTGGATTGATCAGTTACTGGGATGTTTTCTTGGGTATAAGGCTGAGGGTGAGCACCCACGGGCGTCGCTAGTCCCATCTTATTAGACTGGAGGACCGTAACAGAGGCCAGCTTTTGACGAATGGCCTGATCAGCCCCTCCCCGACTCATGGAGCTAGAGGCAATTTTTTCTCGAATTTCCGTATCCGTTCCCGCCACACCCACGACGTTCATCATATCCTGCTTAATCTGCTCGTCAGTGGTAGCGACTGCTCCTGGTTGGGTTTCGGTGGTTCCTTCATCGACAGCTGCAGTCTCCGTAGTTTCTGCAGGGGCGTTGTTATTGGACGTTTCTGCTTCAGCTGCCGCTGAGGTATCTTCAGGATCGAGGATACCCACATCTCGCAACAACTCTTTCGTCTGCTGTATCTCGTCGGCACCAGACATGATATGATATGATATGATATGATATGCTGGTGGCAAGTGATTAATGAAAATAAGATACTTCTGGACGTGGGAAAGGACACGAGGAAGAAAAGTGAGCTCGAAACTCTGGTTGCTATGCATAGATAGATCAGATAGATACTTGTGCTTTCTTGGATTCACCAGTTACTACTTCCGAAGTCCAAAGCCTTTCAATAAAAAGATACCGGTGTCAGTGATAGGAGTGCTGAGCTCTCTTAGACGCCAAAGCAATTTGCCATCAGCAACACCAACCAGCCACCAGCCAGTGGCAACAAACGAATACCAGGGTCGAAGGATCTGAGCATGAAAGATGCATACAGTGTAAAATAGTTTGTGGTGTGAGTGTGGGAGATGACGTAAATGGGGGGGTGTCACTCACAGGTAGCTAGTTAGAATTCAGTAGCTGCACCTGTCCGCCAGTCAGCTCTAAGTGAACCTTGCTCACAGTCATTTTAGCATACACGCATGCTTTTCCACAGTAAAAGAGTACATTTTGAGGGGGTACCAGAATACGTCCACCCAAAGAGTAAAATCTGCTGCTCACAGTGAGTAGACCACAACAACCATCACAGCATGAAGTTCCGCCACACACAAAGTCAGTCCACTCATGTTCTGAACCAAAAGACTGGCCATGGCGGAAATTGTTGATCTAACAGATGACAGGATGTATACTGCTGAGGTCCACATGAAGCCTAAGGCACTACCACGTATGAGGTACTACCGCAATGGCTTCTTCAATCCAGCGAAGCAAGAGATGTTGGCATTCAAGGATGCCGTCAAGACAGCTATTCCTGAGGCAAGAAACGGTCCCATTTTTGGTAAAAAGGAAGCAGTATCAATGACTATTAAGTTCTATCTGAAGCGTCCCAACAGTGATTTTGTTAGAGGAATCCGCAATGCCGGTGCATTGAAGGCATGTTTCCATGGCCTATTCTCAGCGGCCCTCATTCGGCCCGACATCGACAATCTATGCAAGTTTGTTTTGGATTCCTGCAATGGTATTCTCTACTACGATGATTTCCAGGTGGTCAAGTTGGTAGCTTTGAAGTTGCGAGACAACACTGGTAATTGTATGGGAAGGACTGTGATTGAGATTGCACCGTTCCAGAATCATGAAGCCCTATGAATCTTGTGAAACCCAAAGGATATCCTTTTGTGATGCCCTAGCGGACAGCTGAAACTGACAAAGTCGGCGCAGCAATAGACGCCGATTCAGCTGTCCGCTAGGGCGACTTCTTCAAAATGGACCCCTGAAAGTACCCCTTTCAGTATCAATTTGGCCACCCATCCAGGACATCTTTAGTAGTCTAAAACTAGTTCCTTTTTATGTATTTCATTCTCAATACCTAGTTCACAGTGGGTCGGCAACATGGCTCTGGAATGGGAGCTGGTGTCATGGTGGTTGGTAGTGGCGGACTAAAAACATCCATTAAAAAACAACATATGTTGTATAAGATCAGGCATTAAGGGCTTTTATACTCTCTATATCCAATCTGGTGCTCAAGGCAAACTCCAAAAAAATTTGCAAAAGCGCAAAAATGGTGTAATTTGAACTCCTGACCTCACCTGGGTGCTTACCGCCATAGAAAAAAGGACCCACACTGGCCCAAAATGGACCAAATGGACCCAAATGATCCAAAAAGATCCAAATTTCGCTACAGCACTCAAACAGCACTCAATCTGGCGCCAAACAGCACATCTACCGCCACCAGCCATCACAGAGGGTACTACTACACCCAGGACACTCAGATAACCAATGACATGCCATAGGAAGTGGTACTGGTACTGCAACGGATTATGGCTAAGCCTGTTGGTTGCTCACATGCAGCAGCCCAGCCCACTGTTGTCAACATTCCATTTTTGCAAGTACAATTCGTACCGAGCTCTACTCGACCCAGTACATTCGCCTGTACGATCTCTGGTACTCGCCCGATAAGAACAACAGCCATCGTCCAGATCATTCTTCTACTTTCATTCTCGTTTCCTTTTACCAACCATTATAGCACCACAAGAAGTCCAAAAATCCAGAGATACCATGGGCCTTACTAGTCCCGTCATCCAGCACTATGGCATTTCCATCTCCAACAGCCACAAGAGATTCAGCAGGGCCAAGAAGGACAAACCATTCCCCTTCGCATCCAACAGAATTACTTTGCCAGACAAACAGAAGAAAGAATGGAACCGAATCCTGACTGCATGTGCCAGCCATGCCATGCAATTCTACTGTGGTGGTGACCCAAGTGGGGAAACTGTGGCACGGATTATCAAGGCTCCATGCTATCAGAATTACAACCCAGCTGCTTTGAGTCGACCTGCCACTGACATGTATTTTGGAATGGATATTAAGGCAACAATCGACAAGGAAGCTACCGAAGCAACAAGAACAATTTTACGTACAGCATATGCTATGGGTAGTGGCTCCATGTCACTTGGCTACGATCAGAGGGGATTCAAAATTTACCCCTGGTCGGAACCATTTGCAGCTTTGGTCGCTTTTGCCAATGATCAGATTTTGGAAACTCATCCGGAATGGGGTCAAAAGGAATATCGATTCAACCATGTGAGCTGCAAAATCTACCACAAGTTCGAGAATTCTCACGGCCAGTGCCAGGCAAAGCGGATCAGGCAGCATCGAGATTTGGAGTTCAGCAACTTTAAGCCTAAAGTAAACAATTCGCAATTACCGGGCTCACCTGTCATTATTGGTACTGTAGGAGACCGGAAATTCCTGGGATTCCGTAACTACCGATCGATCTGGGGTACAAAGAAAAACAGAAAGGGAGAGAAGGTAGAGGGCTGGGTTGAGCAGGAGATTCCTTCAAGACGATTCTTTATTGAGCAGAAAAATGGTTCTTGCTTTCTACTGCATCCACATGACGAGTTCTACAGGAGTCACCAGAAAGCCTTCTGGAAGCATGAATCCTGGATGCAAGATCCAAATGGTGTTTGCATCTCATTTATGCTACGAGTTGTTCAGAAGACAGCTAAATTGAATGAACAATCGGACAAGCTAGCCACCCCTAGCAATCCTTCCGGTAAGGATGTACTCTTTGATGCAGCTCACCAAAACTTAGACCCAGCAACATTCGAACGTAAATGGGGTGACATTATCAATCATACTCAGAATCGAATGAAGATTTACAACGTAAAGTTTTAGATTGAATATTACTAACTGGTCTTCTGACGTTTATTAGATTGTCCATCTTTACCAAACCACAGGATCATCTCCTCTGGCATTTCCGGCAAAGTTCGGTAAGCATCGTTGTGGAGATCAGTAAGGCCCTGAGCTTTAATAATTTGCTTTGCTTTATTTCCGATCACTGCAGCCTGGAGCATTTCCTTTTGGGGCTGTCCTGGGTACAACTGCTGCCGGATGAGTTTTTGAGCTTCACTAGCAGTACTTTTTAGCATTGCTGACCATTCTCTTAGGGCAGCAGGATCTCCTGGCGGAGACCTGGGAAATTCACCACAAAATCTCAGCATGAACTTCACTGTTTCTTTTAGACGCTGAAACTTGTTCCCAAGCTGTCGATTGTCACCCGGATTGGGGTCTTCTTTGTCCCTTTGGTATCCCTCCTTTGCACGTTCAGCAAAGAAGAAGTAGAACTGGTCAGCAAGTGTGGGGTTCTTTCCCAAGGAATTCACAGATACCGAGAAGTGCTTTGCAGAGCTAGTAAACTGCACACCAGTTCCACGGCTTCCGCTGCCATCTCCTTCGGTTGCTTGCTGTGGTGTCACTGGTGGTATAGTTGGGGGGCATATGGTACTGGGAGTATCACCAATGCTAACTTGGCTCTGTCGGCACAGCTGCATAAGCAGTTGAGTTTGATTCTCATGCATTTTCTCCATTGCCCCCAGCTGTCTCTGCACAGACTGCAGCATTGCTGTTTGATTATTGATTGTGGTTTGCTGTTGCACAAGTGTAGAATGCAAGGCCTGGTAGTGTGTGGCCATTGCGTTAAACTGGTCCACAAAACACCTGGGATCCATAACTACCTGATGAAATGGATTGGTAACGTCACCCAGATGCCTTGGAAAGTTCTGGATTGCCAGTGCTGGTAGATTGCGATTGAAGAACCCCAGTTTCACTTCCTTCTTCCATGCATCAAAGATATCATCTGTAGCACCGACTAGTGCCAACTTTTCCTTCACCGTTGCCACGAATAAATGCCGGTCCAGTTGCTGGTAGCGTTGCTCTGGGTCAGCTCGGAGAGTAGAGCAAAACTCATCATAGTGTCGTAACAATGAAGCTACCACCATATTGCGAATAGCTTGTGGCCACCGATAGTTTACGTCATGGATGAATATGTGCTCCACAAATTTGCTCAATAGATCGCCCTGGGTGCTCGCATCAGCTAGTCTGGGGGGCTGGCCACCCACAATCTCTTCACCAATCTTAGCTGTCCAGCCACTTACTGCCTTGCCCGCAGCTTTGGTCATCGATTTTGTACCAACGATGTAATCGAATATACTGTGGAAGCCACGTACAACCCAGCCAGTTCGGAAGATTTGAGCTAAACCACTAACAGCGGCTGTATCACTCATAAGCTGATTGGATCCTTTCTTGCCGTGATGGGATGTTAATTGCTGGTTTATGTCTTGGTCAAGATGCCGACATTCACTGTAGAGCTCTTTGAAGTATGTTGTCCAAAGTGAGGATACCTTACTATCACTTTTGGAATCAGTTTTTTGCTGTGCTTTTGAGGCAAACTCGGGGAAAAGGTAGTCATTGTCGTCTGCCATCATAATGATTCGGTAGCCCAGGGAGAAGTAGTAGTCTTCGTGAAAAGAGTCCCGGTGTGGATATACTTGAAGACTTGACTCGGGGCCGTGCTTTTGACGTTGCAATTTGGATTCAATGACTTCATACTGAACTTGCTGCTCATTGACTTCGGCCACAGTAAGGTGTTCCCGTTTATTCAGAGCAACCTCACTTCCACGGCCACTGAACTGAGTCATTGTATTGTTAAGATGCCAAAACTCAGCGGCGACGGTAGTGTTGAACCAAGCACAGCCAGCAGCAATGGCACGGCGGTCCTGCTTAGTGGATGCAATGTGCGGATTGGTAAGACTCTTGCCAGTTTCTCTGGATGCCTCCTCGTAGCTAGCCAAAAGACCAGCTCGTAGCCGCCGCCAGCTTTCTTGCTTGAAGACTGGGATAGTTGGGCTAGAACGGAACTTGTTGCAGAAGTACGCTTTGATGGAGCTGGCATATCCAGTAGCGGAACTATACGATATGCGAGCCTTCTGGGGATCACAGTAGTGCCTAGCGTGCTTTGCAAAGTAGGTGAACAGCCGGCCAATATGATCGTCCCACCACTTCATTTCAGCTTCAGTGCCACTGTACTGGATATCCCTGGCAGCTATGAAAGTAGTGCCGCTTTGATCCGCTCGCAACTTGCTGAAGCAATCGAAATGCTTCAGTGCATTATTTTCCTTAACGATGGCACTGTTGCGTTTATCATCCCTCAAGTCCATAAAGAGCTCGTCTTCGGCATCAGCCATTAACCCCAACACTTCGTCATTGTTGCCACCAGTATCATTGAGCGGAATTGGTTCCAAGTAAGCATCATTATTATTAGTAGCAGCTGCCATTCCTATGGTATCCTCTTGTTCAGGCTGTTCTGTTTCCTGTTGTTGGGCATGTTGTGGCAGTGGAAATGCCGCTAGGAAATCAATCATGGTCATGTTGGAGTTATTAGAGATGATGGTGGTTGGTGCAATGCCTGGTAGCTAGTAGGTGTTGCCCATCACAGCCATCAGGTGCAACACCATAGGTGCGCCCCTTTTTGAATCTCCTTGAAATGTGGCCAGGGAGGTCCAGCCAAGAAGCCCTCCTGCTGGCTTGCAGGGACTTAGCGGACCAATGCCACATTCTATTAAATTAGCCCTACAGTACCAGGGCTACATGATTTCTACAGGCTACTCACTGAGTAAAAAATTGACTCACAGGTTCAGTCCCTACTCGCTGGCCAACCATACAGTAGAAGCATGGAAGTGCACCACCCACTTCACGTTTAGCTGACAAAACCACAAAGAACCAAAGCTGGACGGTGCCAACACCTTTCTGCACCTACCAATGCCAGTACCGCAATGTCATTCGATAAATAAGTTTGACTGTCAGCTGTTTCGGGTCTGTGCAGTTTTTCAGTTTTTACCAAAGTACATACGTACATGTACATACAGTAAACGGTGGTTCCTTTTTGGGGCAGTCGTCTTGTGATTATTATTTGTGAGTGTGTGCGAGTTGTGAGTGCCAAGTACCGGTAGAGTAGACTACTATTAATAGTACCCCGGCCAACCAGTACTACTAGTAGTACATGTAGATATTACATGTAATACTACAGTAACTCCCTCGCATCGGCGGCGACCCCCCTTCCCAGCAGCCAGCAGAGAAGACAGCAGAGCGAGAACACTACCGTTGGGCTTCTCGTTAAATTAGGGATGGAGATAATGCACTCGGAAGGTCGTGGATCTTGGCTGTAGCCAAAGCAACTAGCAACAAGAACCCAAAAAGAGATTGCCACTTGTCACTTGTTGTTTGTGTGTTGTGGTTGTTGTCTCTGTACGACTGAGCTACCTATAGGAAACCAAGCCTACTACATTGTAATGAAAGAGGAAATTGTCTCACAAAACTAATAAACAACATAAAAAATCAAAAGAAAAAACCAAACAAAATTCAAAACAGGAAAATGTCTCGGAATCATCAAGCCACTCGAGATCGGATCTTTCGTCGACTGGCCCAGTCTCTTTTGTGGATCGTCTCTACGATTTGCCTGCTAACATGCCCGCACTCCAAAGTGGAAGAATCCTTCAATTTACAAGCGACTCATGACTTGATATACCATGGAGTGACACCGGCTGTGCTCATGAGTACCAGTTCCTTGTGGTACAATGAAACTACCGCCAAGGCTCCTCTCCCAGAACTGCCCTACGATCATTTATCGTATCCAGGTGTCGTCCCACGAACCTTTACGGGGCCTCTGATACTCGGTTGGATTTTCCAAGTCGTCTTTCGATTGCCCCTCTTGTGGCTCTCGGTGGATTTATTGGACTATCCCTTGACGGTCCAATTCTTGGTACGATTCATTCTCATGGCCGCCACACTCCTCTCGTGGTCCCAATTGGCCCGTGCCGTCGATCGACGCTGTCTAAATACGACAACAACAACACTACAACAACAACCGCCATTTTCTCCCACTGGAACCTACCTATTGCTCGTGACAGCCTGTCAATTCCACATGCCCTTTTATGCGAGTCGCATGCTACCCAATGTGTTTGCACTGCTGGTGACACTACAAGCCTTTCGAGCATGGCTCCAGAATCAATCGGCACTGGCGGCCGCTCTGTTGGTCTTTGGAACGGCCGTCTTTCGATGTGACTGCCTCTTGTTACTCTTTACCGTTGGATTGTCTCTGCTCATTACCCAAAAGTTATCCCTACTCCAAGCACTGCAAATTGGCATTGCGACGGGTATTCTCAGTTTGGCACTCACCGTTCCATTGGATAGTGCCATGTGGCAACGTTGGGTCTGGCCCGAAGGAGAAGTCTTGTATTACAATACCATTCTCGGTAAATCCAGTGATTGGGGAACATCACCGTGGTACTGGTACGCCACCAGTGCCTTGCCCAAACTACTATTGGCGGGTGTCGTCTGGATCAGTTGTGCCTTTTTGGCACTCCCCGAAGCCATTGTGGCATGGTGGCAATCCTCTCAACGACAATCCACACTTTTGTTAATGGATACCACATGGTGGGAGTACTTGCTTCCGGCCTTTGGATTTGTCGGATTGTATTCTTGTCTGGGACACAAGGAAGTGAGATTTCTCTTTCCCGTCATGCCACTCTTCAATTTGGCCGTCGCCGTTGGCATGGCACGATTTCACAAACTCGTCTTTCCACCCAAAGACAAGCGCGTATCCAAACTGGCCCAACTGGGATTGGCGGCTTGTTTTGCCACGTTAGTTTTATCGTTGCTGGCGTCCATGGCATTTGTCGCCGTTTCACAACAAAATTATCCCGGAGGAGATGCCCTGTTGCGACTGGAACGGCATTTGCAGGAATATCAACAAGAACAAGGATTGGTCCCCCACGAACCACGCGTTCGCGTCTATGTCGATGTGCCAGCGGCCATGTCGGGAATTAGTCTGTTTGGACAACGACAAGCGAATTTTACGACTGGCGATCTGGAATGGGAATTCACCAAAGCTGGCTACGAGGATGAGCATGCGCTAAAAGAAGACTATTATGAATACTCGGCATCCTTTACACACATTATTGCAGAACCAGACAGAGGGAATAACGACGACAAGCGAAAGATTTCGACAAATGCATTCACATTGGTGGATGTTATTCCAGGCAAACCACGGATGGACTGGAAACGAGGGCGGATTGCAACCGAGGATGCCATGTACATTTGGGAACGAATAGGATACTGGCAAGGAATCCGAGGCTAAAGTCGATTTAAGAAGACAACTAGAAACAACACTATCATAACGTTCCCGCCCTTCCCATTCCAGCATACACTGCTGAAAAGGCTTCCACGGCACTCACTATCGACTGCGACTTCGTTTTCGTCGTTTGTGATGTTTGTGATGATGTTTGGAATGCTTCCGTTTGCGGCTATCATCACTGTCATGGCGACGTTTTCGGTCATCTTCGTCGTCACTGTCATGTCTGCTGCGCTTGCTGCTGCTGCGGTGTTTCGAATCGCTATCCTCCTCCGAACCACTGTCGTATCGTCTACTACTGCTATGATGGCGACGATCGTGCTTTTTGCTCTTCTTTTTCTTGTGGTGGTGTTTGCGGCTGCTGCTCTTGTGATGCTTGCGGCTCTTTCGATCATAGCTGGGACTTCGACTCCGCCGGCTACTACTATCACGACGCCGAGGCGATTCACTCACACTTCGACTAGGACTTCGACGGCGATGATGATGATGATGATGACTGCCATGGCTGTGTCGTCTCTCTTGTGGCGGTGGTGACACACTGCTGCGTCCATTATTGGTGGGTCCGCGGGCCCTGCCAAACTCGTCGACACTGGGACGCCTCCCGCGACTGTTATTATTATTGTCATGATGCCCATGACGTCCTTCTCGTGCTCGTGCACTGCCACTGGAGTCTCGCCGAGGCGGTGGCAGAGGATGATGATCGCGGTGCCGTTGTCCCTGATAATTGTTGTTGCTGTTACGGCGATCTTGTTGCCGTCCTCCTCCTCGATGATGCTGATCAAAGCCGCCCCTTCCTCGTCCTCTGCCTCTTCCTCCTCGCCCCCCTCTGCCTCCATTGTCATGGTGCCGTCCCCCGCCACGCCCTCCTCCTCCTCTCCCACCACCACCACTATTAAAGTCTCCATGTTGCAAAGCGGTCGGTCGTAGTTTTTGATTGAATCGATCCCATATTTTGGCGACAGATTGACTGAAATCCACCTTGATGCGACGGTCGTCGACCAATGCATTGTTCATTTTAAAGTACGCTTCTTCGGCTTGTCGCCTATGGGTAAACTCGATAAAGGCATATTGCAAGGAAGCTCCCGTGTCAAAGTCACGAATAATCTCTGCCTTGACCTTTTGATCGAATCGACTAAAGATGAGTTCCAAGTCATCATCTTCCGTGACGGGATTGAGTTTGCACACAAAGAGGACATTGTCCGGTGCCGTGATATCGGCATCGGGCAAATCGCCCAACATTTCCAAGACGACGGCCCGTGATTTGGCATCGTGTTGTTCGGATTCTTGCGCTTGTTGTTGCTGTAACCGATGCAGTGCTTCGTCATCGTCGTCGTCCACGAGATGCACTTGATCTGCCGCGATATTCGGTTTGACGCGTTCTTCCGGTGGTCGCTCATAGTCGGGCGAGGCAGTGACTCTATCTTGATCATCAAATTGAACGCCCCGTCGGATCATGAGTTTTCGGAGTTCTGCTGCGGTCGATTGATCATCATCATCGTCTTGTCGAAATGGATTGTGAACCACCAACGCCCGCTTGATCCTGACATCGACATAGGGCCGTCCTTCGGCGTCGCAGTACAACGCCGAGAGTTTCTGCAGTACATTGTCGTCATCTTCCGTGACTCGTCCCAACGACAAGAATGTATCGTGTGCTTCATTCTTATTGTTGTTGTCTTCCACCACCGAGTATCCATCCAATGCCATGCCCGGTCCTTCCGCCAGTGTAATGAGAAATTGACTGCCGATGGTATCGGGAATTCCCTTCATTTCCGTGGCCACCACGCGTCCCCGTTCTTGACATTCCGACGCCGTCAATCGACGTCCTTGCGATTTTAAAAAGCGTTTCTTGGATTGCGTAACATCATTGCCATCCATAATGCCTTGCCAACAGGCGCCTCCCGTGCCATCGCCGTGGGGATCGCCCAGTTGACAAAAGCGATTGACTTGAATGTTGTAAATCAATGTCTGCGTGTAATATCGGGCTTCTGCCAATGCCAACACATTCTCACACAGTTTGGGAGATCCTTCCACGTCCAAGTCAATCACCAAATCTCCCAGTGTCGTCTCCAACAAGAGCGCCATGGTTGTTGCTGTTTGCTGTTGTGGCGTTGTGGCTGCTGTTGGGGTTGGGATGGGAAATGGATCTTTTGACGAGTCACGAGCTGTCCGTGGCTCGATTGTTGAAGTCAAATACTATGAAGGTAGGCGCGGTAAAATATTTAAAATAATTATCTAATAATTACCCGAACTACCTATTGTATTGACGGCGGTCTAGACTGGGACCCGGACATTGTTTTGGAACTCTTGTTTTGGGCTCATGAACATGGCTGCCCATGGGTTGCATGCCTGCGAGAATGGAACGGAGACAATGGCAGAAGCAGCCTTCATTGGAAATTTGGATATTATCAAGTTGGCCCGAGAAAATGGTTGTCCGTGGGATCAAGACACTTGTTGCTTGAACACATTGAGGGTGGGCATCTGGACACATCGAGGGTGTCCGTGAGAAGAATGATTGTCCATGGGATGAAGGAACTTGTGCAGCTGAAGCCAAGAATGGGCATTTGGAAGTCCTCATGTGGGCTCATGCCAGAAGCAAGAACGAACCGACGTTTTGAGAGTTTTACTAGAAGTGGACGAAGGCAATTATGCCCGTGGGCCCAGTGAGGACACTTGATTCCCAGCCAATAGTATGCATAGTACCTGAGACCTTGGATTGATTTCTCGTGACATGATTGATTGGCAAGGCCCCCTTTCCTTTGTCTCAGGCCCATCTCGACTATGCATACTTCTACTAGCTCTGAAGGTAACGGACGCTAACAAACCACGCATACGAATGATGTCAGATTCAACCAGGAACCCAATTGTTACTTTTAGCTATATGCATACTTTTGTAGGTTTGCTTGCTCATCCCGTCGCTCATGTTTCATTGTATCAAAGGCGGCCCGCCAACAGGTCGGGGGCAGGCTAACGACGATCGCAGGTTGTGCTGTTGCTTTCTGTTTTTCTTGTGTCCTTGTAACGGACTCACGCTTCACGTTGTACGACCCGATTTGTGTTACGAACGTGTACGAGTCGAGTCGAGTCGGTTGAATTTGGCCAGCCTTTCCCGACGAAAGCCGCCGCAACCATTCTAAAGGTTTCCCATACCTATCTATGCAGCCTTTCAATCTACTCCCCGGTTGGTGGGTCTTCTGTGACATACCAACCAATGATTGGTTTGACGGTTCCATCAGCCTCTTGCTGAACACCTCGGAAACCTGCATGAAAATGCATAGGGAACTCTACTTCCAAGTAGTTCCATATCACCGACACTGATGACATTTGAATTGGGATTTCATTTGGCCTTGGACCCATGTGGTGAGCTGCGGCGCTTTCAAGCCATGGTCTCAAGTGTGGGTTGGGATAGGAGCTGTCCCCAGGTCCGCTCAGATATGGAAAGAGTGTTGGCAACCAACCAGACTACAATCGTAGCAGCAACAAGCGATGCATAAAAGCCGTTAGATATGAGATGAATGCAAGATTTGACCCCCAAAAGCAAGCAAATAATACGTACCAAAAAGTCATAGGCGCCAGAGCCGTCACCCGAAGTTCGGAACTTGACCATGTTTTGCCAAAAGCAGTAGTCAACTCCCTCGCTGTCAAACGAAAGCACAAACTGATCCAAAATGGGCACCACAATATCATTGATCCACAAGTCGCCATGAGTATTGTTTTGCAACATCCAATCGGACAACGATTTGGTTCGCTCTCGGAGCGCTTCCCAGTCATCACGAGTGCCATCGAGACGAATATTGGGAATACCACACATGGTGTCCATGTGAAATCGGAAGTAGTTCTTCATGGTACTCATGAGCGTGATCTCACTGGCCGCTTGACTAGCAACTGTGGTGGTGGAGAATGTATCCACGGCCAATGTCTCATACATGTCCTGGTTGTTGGTGGCATTGGCAATGCCTTCGGAAAACTTGGGAAAGATCCATTCTTCCCAAAATTTTGCTTCTGTGTCTCCCTTGACCATGCGGTCTTCTCTAATTCGAATTTCCCGTTGTCCAGCATGATCCACAAAGTTGCTTCGCAGTGCCTCAGCGTTGGCATCTACGTGACGAGCAAAGCCATTGGCAATGACAAGCCAAATGTCATCTGGCGATAGTGCGAGGGGGAGATGATGGGCAAAGGAAATCATACACGCTGCCAAGAACCCCTGACCACCCGCAAAAACGGTCCCACTCCCGTCGGATGTATTGACTGGCATGACAGAGCTCACTTCAATGATGGAGTTGTTGGCGGATCCCGGGCGCATGGACTTTTTCTTGGAGACAGCGTTCAATTGCCCAGAGTAGAATTTTCCGGCTTCTCTTTGGAGCGCCACAAGGAGGGCTTCTTCCGAAAACTGGGGTTTCGCGAGATCAGTGGGTAGTGCCTGTGGGACTGTCTCGACATTGAACATGACTGCACCATTGTCGAGTTGCGTGTGATTCTCCACCACTGTGAAAGTGCGTGGGAGACCGCTACCTCCCTTGCTCACATCGATACCAAAGCCTCCCAGGTTGGCTGTCCAAATGTAGGGAATCTCAAAGTACTGCCCAAAGCCAGCGGGGTCGTTACCAGGACACTCACTGCTCTCAGGAACTCCGTGTTCCTTGTCAAACCCAAGTATCGGGTCTTCGTCGACAGTGATTCCCACCACGACATTGAATACCTGCCGCACGCTTGCGACAAGGGAAAGTTCTCTGCGAGACGACTCTCCCAGACGTCTTTGTTGCTGTTGCTGATCCAAGGATCGCATCTGTGAGTAGGTGACCAGAGTCGCCAACCCGAATGCAACCAAAGCACATCCAGCCATTGACTGGATGCGCGATTTCTTCGGCTGCTGCATCGGCGAGTCAACCGCAACTGCTTGCCCTTCTTCTGTACCCAACATTGTATCGTATATTTGCTTCCTCTTGTTGATTTGTGGATGAGATATGTTTTTGCTTTGTGTTCCTTTTGTGACCTTGGGTTCTTATGAGCAGCCAATTTCTTGTGTTAGCGATGATATCTTTCGTCCAACACTGTTTTGTGAGCAAAAAAGAGAGCAACGTCTTCGGTTACAGATTCTAAAGTAATTAGGGGCACGTCCAAGCCATCGGCACAAGAGAACCTCAAGCACGATTGGTGCTTTGGTTTCATAGGATCCATGTGCATCGCAAGGCAGGTGATATCACTTTTTGGCCGTTGGATCGAAAAAAAGTGACTTGAAAAGCTGTTCAAGTGCCGCTAGCGGTAGTACTGGCTAGCCAGTACCAGATGTAAAGGCCCGCCGACAGACTGCTAAGGTACTACCGGACCGGTAGTACCGTACTATGGGAATGTGATGGGATGTTTTACTATGGTACCAGGTAGTAGCTCTTTACTGCCTGATGATGATAACCTTCATCTCTTGCCTTGCACGTATGTGCTTCATCGAGACCAGGTCCATTTCACTACCGAGATGGCAGTTGAAAGGAGCAAGATCCAGTTGCTTGTTGGTCTAGACAAGAACTTGCTTTCCTTGCATCACGGGATGTTCCGATGTACGAGCAGTGGTAGGCAAGTTTCAAGGCAGTTGCTTCAACGACTCGTGTCCTTGAAATTCCAATATACTTGGTGGGATATGGACGGGATCATGGCTCCATTCGGCAACTGATAGGCTTCACGTCGTGTGGAATCGGCAACCGAGGGGCTCCTTTGTCATGCCAACATGTGTTTGGCGGAGGATGCTGGACCGGACCATAGTTATATGATATCGAGTGTATGGCAATATCGTGCACCTTGAATGCGCCGGCGGTTAAATTGCATGGACGGCCTTGCTCCATCTTTGCCGTTCGTCGATTTTGTGGGGCTGCCATGGTTTCTTGCTTCAGCCAGGACCGTCCGACGGTTTTCGCTCAGGTTTTAAAAAAACTTTAAAATATCGCAGTGGAAACATTCCCTTAAACATTCCCTTAAAACAATCCCTTAAATCCTCAACATTCCCTTAACATTCCCTTAAATCAACATTCCCTTAACAACATTCCCTTAAGGCTTCGAAACATTCCTCTAAGCCTTCATGTAAACCCCATAGAACATTCCCTTATCTCAAATATACATTCCCTTAAATAAACATTCCCTTAAAACATTCCCTTAAATCCTCAACATTCCCTTAACATTCCCTTAAAGCTTCAACATTCCCTTAACATTCCCTTAACCAGAACCACGATTTGAGCAGTTTTTTAAAACCTGAGCAAAAACCGTCGGACGGTCAGCAACAGCCACTGAACGGTCTGATGGAGGCAGGTCAAGCATGCCAATTCTGTTTTTGTTGCCGTTCGCACCTCTCTTCTCGTGTTGCGCTGGAACGTGTTCGTTTTCCAGCCATGTTTCCACACCATTCAACTTCTTGTCCACACTTACCCGGATGCTGTCGTCGTCCCATGGTGGACGTCGACGAGCAGAGCTGACCACGGTACTAGATTTCGCCCATCTAGCTAGAGGGATGGCATTGGAGGCTGCAGGGCTCACGGCGGCTTCACTTCTTCAGCGCTATGCAGCTACCGGTACCGGTAGCTAACCATCCAGTTGTGACCATCTTGCCATCGCTACTGGTAGCTAGCATCTATCCGGACTAACGTAGGCGGTATGGTATACCGTACTGCTACCGCATACCGTATGCTGCAAGAATCACAGCAAACTGTTCTCCTGGCACATCTGCTGGCACACGCCCACATCTGCAGCCACGGGAACAGCTTTGGCGCATCCCCTCTCTAAGCCATGAAACGAAGCACAAGATCGAGGCAACAGCATAATTAAGGAGGTCACAGCATTTTGAGAAACTTGTGACCCAGTATGACGCCATTTCCAATAATGACCCTTGCACCTTCCGAAGCCGCAAGCTGAATAAGTGAGACAAGAGACAAGGTTTCTTGGGTTGGCATCTACTAGCTAGTAAAAGGCTGCAGCCAAGCCGCAAAGCACTAAATAATGCCATGGTCGCTGAGCAGGATGACATCCGATCGAGGGAACAGAACTCTACATGTACACCCGCACTCCAACCTAGAAACCCAGCGACACCAAGTTGATAGAGACAAAGCAAACATTAGACGACCGAGCACAGTCGATTGCCTATATTAGAGAATAAATACAATCCAGAAAGAAAGAATGATCCAAGTTGAAATGAAAAGACACGCTCAGGTTTACGCAGTGAAAGCGGCTGATGAGCGAAATCATCGTTGCGGGAGGATATCATTGGCCACGGCAACCATCACCGGAACGTTGATGGTGGGGATTCCAATTTTGCAACTACTGCTGGGCTGCCTTCCTCTGGCCGCAGCGCACAACTCCCGTGACTATTGGAATCCATGCCGAGAGGCTCTATTGACGGCCGACCAGAATAGCGATGGTTTTTTCAACCGATACCCCGAGTATTCCATGTTCCTTAATAAACTCATGCTGGCAAAGATGCCCCACGAAGATGATGATACGGGGCCGACGTCATTTTGGAACAGCAATGTCAATGACGAGACTGTAACGCGAGAGTTCCAAGAGCTGTTTGACCAGCAGATGAACGAGTTGATGGACATTAGCGTTCTTCAAAGTCCCGAAACGCCGATGGTTACCCAAGACAGCAACTTACTATTCATGGACATTTGCTACACTGCGTGGGAAGCACTTCGTCAAGAACCACGAGGCAATAAGTCAGCTTTCTTCCAAGAGAAGCAACAGTCCATAACAGACGACAACACGTCTACGGCACACGACCAACAACAACGGCAGCAAGAAGACGTGGAGCGTTGCACTCTTGTTTCGCGAGAATATCAAGTTCTGATTGACATTCGGATTTGGTTTCCTGGCGAGGAATCTACGGCTTGTGACGCAGATGAAGAGAGCAACATCGTCTTCCATGTTCAAAAGGCATTCAACAATGGCCTGAAAGACATGCAAGGCAGCATCGCCTTGAACCAATTTACATTCGACTATGAACAAGAAGAAGTCGCGCACCAAGCGACTCCGGTTAACTACCGACGACGGGAAGATACCCAAAGCAAGCACTACAATAAGCATGTCAAAGGAAGCGCACGCAACAAAACATGCCCACTTCGAACAGAACCGTGTAAGAACGGCGACTCAAAGATTTGTCGTTGGGGGTGTCTGACGGCAACAATAAACGACTGCAAGGATACATCAAGAAATGTGGACTGGAACAAGCTAAGCCCCGGCATCCAAACCCAGCTGAGGACACTGGGGTACAAGTGTCTGGGAGTACCAGAAAACCTTAGCATTTTCCTACAGGCAATATCACTAGACAGAATAAACATCATGGCATCTACAAGTGCCTTCGGGTCTCCACTACAACCAATGAAGCAATCTCCAATCAAAACACTAGGTCCAATATCAATGCCACAAATGGAATCAAGACCAAAGAGACACCTTGAAGAAGCATCAAGTGTGGCTCCCAGCACAGCAAGTGCAGCTCCCAGTGCGGCTAGTGAGGCTCCGAGTTTAGCAAGTGAGGCTCCGAGTTTAACAAGTGAGGCTCCGAGCGCAGCAAGTGAGGCTCCAAGTTTAGCAAGTGCAGCTCCCAGTGTGGTTAGTGAGGCTCCAAGTTTAGCAAGTGAGGCTCCAAGCACAGCAAGTGAGGCACCGAGTTTCGCAAGTGCCACTCCAAGCGCAGCAAGTGCAGCTCCCAGTGTGGCTAGTGATGCTCCGAGTTACGCAAGTGCGGCTCCCAGTGCGGCTAGTGAGCTCCGAGTTTAGCAAGTGAGACTCCGAGTTTAACAAGTGAGGCTCCGAGCGCAGCAAGTGAGGCTCCAAGTTTGCAAGTGCAGCTCCAAGTGTGGCTAGTGAGGCACCGAGTTTGGCCAGTGCAGCTCCCAGTGCGGCTAGTGACGCTCCGAGTTTGGCAAGTGCACTCCAAGATACAAAGTGATGCTCCGAGTTTAGCAAGTGCAGTCTCCGAGTTTAGCAAGTGAGCTCCGAGTTTAGCAAGTGAGTCTCCGAGTTTAGCAAGTGAGTCTCCGAGTTTAGCAAGTGAGGCTCCAAGTAGCAGGCTCCGAGGAGAAGTGAGGCTCCGAGTTTGGCAAGTGCAGCTCCAGTGTGGCTAGTGAGCTCCGAGTTTAGCAAGTTTGGCAGTGCTCCGAGTTTAGCAAGTGAGTCTCCGAGTTTAGCAAGTGAGCTCCGAGTTTAGCAAGTGAGTCTCCAGTTTAGCAAGTGACTCCGAGTTAGCAAGTCAGTCCGATGCAAGTGCGCTCCAAGCGTGGCAGTGCAGCTCCGAGCACAAGTGCACTCCAAGCACAATAAGTGAGGCTCCAAGTTTGGCCAGTGCGGCTCCGAGTTTAGCAAGTGCAGCTCCAAGTAGCAGTGAGCTCCGAGTTTAGCAAGTGAGTCTCCGAGTTTAGCAAGTGAGCTCCGAGTTTAGCAAGTGAGTCTCCGAGTTTAGCAAGTGAGCTCCGAGTTTAGCAAGTGCAGCTCCCAGTGTGGCTAGTGAGGCTCCGAGTTTAGCAAGTGAGGCTCCGAGCACAGCAAGTGCCACTCCAAGCACAGCAAGTGAGGCTCCGAGTTTGGCAAGTGCAGGCTCCGAGTGTAGCAAGTGAGCTCAGTGGCAGTGAGGCGCCGAGTGCAGTGCGCTCCCAGTGGCTAGTGAGGCTCCGAGTTGGCCAGTGAGCTCCGAGTTTCGCAAGTGCAGCTCCCAGTGCGGCTAGCGAGGCTCCGAGTTTGCAAGTGCAGCTCCCGAGTCAATCAAGCTGCGGCTCCAAGCGCACAAGTGAGGCTCCAAGTTTAGCAAGTGCAGCTCCCAGTGGGTAGTGAGGCTCCAAGTTTAGCAAGTGAGGCTCCAAGCACAGCAAGTGAGGCACCGAGTTTCACAAGTGCACTCCAAGCGCAGCAAGTGCAGCTCCCAGAGTGAATCAAGTGCGCTCCCAGCCAATCAAGTGAGGCTCCGAGTGAGGAAGTGAGGCTCCGAGTTTAGCAAGTGAGACTCCGAGTTTAACAAGTGAGGCTCCGAGCGCAGCAAGTGCCACTCCAAGCACAGCAAGTGCAGCCCAGCATCAGTGCAACACCAAGTGCAGCAAGTGAGGCTCCAAGTAGCAAGTGAGGCGCCGAGTTGCAAGTGCAGCTCCCAGTGGCTAGTGAGGCTCCGAGTCAGTGAGGCTCCGTGGCAGTGAGGCTCCGAGTTTCGCAAGTGCAGCTCCCAGTGCGGCTAGCGAGGCTCCGAGTTTAGCAAGTGAGACTCCGAGTTTAGCAAGTGAGTCTCCGAGTTTAGCAAGTGAGTCTCCGAGTTTAGCAAGTGAGTCTCCGAGTTTAGCAAGTGAGTCTCCGAGTTTAGCAAGTGAGCTCCGAGTTTAGCAAGTGAGCTCCGAGTTTAGCAAGTGAGTCTCCGAGTAGCAAGTGAGCCCGAGTTTAGCAAGTGACTCCAGGGCAAGTGCAGCTCCCAGTGTGGCTAGTGATGCTCCGAGTTAGCAAGTGAGTCCCAGTTTAGCTGAGTCTCAGTAGCGTGAGCGACGTGAGGCTCCGAGCGCAGGAAGTGAGTCTCCAAGTTTGGCAAGTGCAGCTCCCAGTGTGGCTAGTGAGGCACCGAGTTTGGCCAGTGCAGCTCCCAGTGCGGCTAGTGAGCTCCGAGTTTGGCAAGTGCCACTCCAAGATACAAAGTGATGCTCCGAGTTTAGCAAGTGCAGCTCCCAGTGTGGCTAGTGAGGCTCCGAGTTTAGCAAGTGCGGCTCCCAGCGCTCAAGTGAGGCTCCAGTAACAAGTGTGCTCCTAGCAACGTGCTGCTCCAGTCAATCAAGTGCTGCTAGCAACGTGTAGTCATCAGTGCGGCACCAGTGGATCAGTGCAGCCCAGTGCGGCTAGCGAGGCTCCGAGTTTGGCAAGTGCCACTCCAAGCATACAAAGTGAGGCTCCGAGTTTAGCAAGTGATCTCCCAGGTGGCTAGTGAGGCTCCGAGTTTAGCAAGTGAGGCTCCAGACAGCAAGTGAGGCTCCGAGTTGCAAGTGCAGCTCCCAGTGCGGCTAGTGAGGCTCCAGTGTGCTAGGAGGCTCATTTGCAGTGCAGCTCCCAGTTGGCTAGTGAGGCTCCAGAGTGTGCGCTAGTGAGCTCATTCGCAAGTGCAGCTCCCAGTGCGGCAAGTGAGGCCCAAGTTTGGCAAGTGAGCTCCAAGTGCAGCAAGTGAGCTCCAAGTTGCAAGTGCTCCCAGTGTGGCTAGTGGGGCTCCGAGTTCTGCAAGTGCAGCTCCCAGTGCGGAAAGTGAGGCTCTGAGTTTGGCAAGTGCGGCTCCGAGTTTCGCAAGTGCAGCTCCGAGCGCAGCAATTGAAGCTCCGAGTTTGGCCCCAGTCAACGAGACATCAACCGAAGGCCCAACCAGTGCGGGAACTCCACTGCTGCTCTCACCTCAACAGGATCTCCCCTGAACAACAACACCAATGGTACCTCTGCTCCTGAAGCCAGTCCATCTCCCACAGCCCTAACGCACCTTGGCTCCCAGTGGCAGCCCTTGGAGGAGGGCGATAACCAGACAGCCACTCCCGCTCTTTGCCTTCCAATGACACCGCGCCCCAGTCAACGAACATCAACCGAAGGCCCAACCGGTGCGGGAACTCCACTCTGCTCCCACTCAACAGGATCTCCCCTGAACAACAACACCAATGGTACCTCTGCTCCTGAAGCCAGTCCATCTCCCAGCAGCCCTAACGCAACCTTGGCTCCCAGTGGCAGCCCCTTGGAGGAGGGCGATAACCAGACAGCCACTCCCCTCCTTTGCCTTCCAATGACACCGCGGCCCCAGTCAACGACACATCAACCGAAGGCCCAACCGGTGCGGGGAACTCCACTGCTGCTCCCACTCCAACAGGATCTCCCTGAACAACAACACCAATGGTACCTCTGCTCCTGAAGCCAGTCCATCTCCCAGCAGCCCTAACGCAACCTTGCTCCCAGTGGCAGCCCCTTGAGGAGGGCGATAACCAGACAGCCACTCCCGCTCCTTTGCTTCCAATGACACCGCGGCCCAGTCAACGAACATCAACCGAAGGCCCAACCGGTGCGGGGAACTCCACTGCTGCTCCCACTCCAACAGAATCTCCCCTGAACAACAACACCAATGGTACCTCTGCTCCTAAGCCAGTCCGTCTCCCACCAGCCCTAACGCAACCTGGCTCCCAGTGGCAGCCCCTTGGAGGAGGGCGATAACCAGACAGCCACTCCGCTCCTTTGCCTTCCAATGACACCCGGCCCCAGTCAACGAACATCAACCGAAGGCCCAACCGGTGCGGGGAACTCCACTGCTGCTCCCACTCCAACAGATCTCCCCTGAACAACAACACCATGGTACCTCTGCTCCTGAGCCAGTCCGTCTCCCAGCAGCCCTAACCGCAACCTTGGCTCCCAGTGCAGCCCCTTGGAGGAGGGCGATAACCAGACAGCCACTCCCGCTCCTTTGCCTTCCACTGACACTGCAGCCCCAGTCAACGAGACATCCACGGAAGGCCCAACCGGTGTGGGGAACTCCACTGCTGCTCCCACTCCAACAGGATCTCCCCTGAACAACAACACCAATGGTACCTCTGCTCCTGAAGCCAGTCCATCTCCCAGCAGCCCTAACGCAACCTTGGCTCCCAGTGGCAGCCCCTTGGAGGAGGGCGATAACCAGACAGCCACTCCCGCTCCTTTGCCTTCCAATGACACCGCGGCCCCAGTCATTGAAACATCACCAGCTCCAATTGTTTCCACTTCTGGTCCTTCTACAGTTCAGCCAACAGGTACAGCTGGAAATCCCAATTCTAGTCCCAACACAGTGAGCCCAATATCTACAAATCCAGCTCCTACACTGTCTAATCCAATCCCTGGTTCACCAACTTCCCCAAATCCAGCAGTGACACCTGGAAGCCCGAATGCAAGTCCAGCCACAACAATCCCCACTACACCCTTGAGCCCCACCACTTCCAATCCAACGCAAGGGGAGCCACCGACCATGAATGTACCCACACAAGGAGCACCGACAACAAAGGCACCGACCCAGGGACCGCCAACCACCGCCGGACCCACCGTAGAGCAGGGGAATCCAAGTGCCAGCGCCACCACCTTGAGCCCCATCACTGCCAACCCCAGTTCAGGCATTAGGGATAGCACAATTGCACCTATCATAACAATGCCAGCTTCCGATGCACCTGCTACAGCGAAGCTCACGACTGCTGCACCGTCCATGTTAAGGCCCACTACATCCGCCCCGTCAACAGCAGCCCCCACTGTCTCATCGGGAAGCCCAAGTGCTGCTCCAACAACGCTTCAACCCACAACCACCCAACCAAGTACTTTGGCACCCACCACATCGCAACCAACCACAGCAAGACCCAGTACAGCGCAGCCAACTACTGCAACTCCAACTACAGCACAACCAACAACTGCAACACCCATTACGGTTAGGCCAACGACAGCAACACCGACTACATTGCGTCCAACAACGTCGCGGCGAACAACTATAACTCCAACAACGACCCAACCAACCACTGGGACACCCACAGTTAAGCCAGGAAGCCCAAGTTCAATATCAACAACGGCTATGCCAACTACCCTTGCACCGACCACTGCCAAGCCCACCACAGCAAGTCCATCAACAGCAAAACCCACCACAGCAAGTCCATCAACAGCAAAGCCCACCACAGCAAGTCCATCAACAGCAAAGCCAACAACAGCAAGTCCATCGACGTCAAAACCTACCACGGCTGCCCCATCAACCGCAAAGCCTACCACAGCCTCCCCATCAACCGCAAAGCCTACCACGGCTGCCCCATCAACCGCAAAGCCTACCACAGCCTCCCCATCAACCGCAAAGCCTACCACGGCTACCCCATCAACACTGAAGCCCAGCACCGTGGCTCCAACAACAGCAAATCCCACAACAGCTGCACCAAGTACAGGAAAGCCCACTGTGAAGCCTGGAAGTCCAAGTGCAAGTCCCACAACCGCAAGTCCAACAACAACAAAGCCAACAACAGTTGCACCCAGTACAAGCAAGCCCACCACAGCAAGCCCATCTACAGTGCAACCAACAACGGCAACCCCCACAACAAACACACCAACAGTCAAACCTGGAAGCACAAGTGCACAGCCAACTGCACCCAAAGGTGTAGGGGCTGTTCCAACTGTGAACCCAACCACAGCCCAGCCAACCACTGCAAACCCTACAGTCACTTCTGGAAACCCAAGTGCAGCACCAACTACCTCTACTCCTTCCTCAAGTCCTGTGACATCTCAGCCATCCACAGCTGTTCCAACTGTGACTCCGGGGAACCCAAGTGCTTCACCAACTTCTGCAGCTCCCTCATTGAGCCCCACCACTGCTTTGCCAACCACAGCTGTTCCAACTGTGACTCCGGGGAACCCAAGTGCAGCGCCCACTTCAGCTGCTCCCTCATTGAGCCCCACCACTGATTTGCCAACCACAGCTGTTCCAACTGTGACTCCGGGGAACCCAAGTGCAGCGCCCACTTCAGCTGCTCCCTCATTAAGCCCCACCACTGCTCCGCCAACCACAGCTGTTCCAACTGTGACTCCAGGCAACCCAAGTGCAGCGCCAACTTCAGCTGCTCCTTCATCGAGCCCAGCCACTGCTCCGCCGACCACAGCTTTTCCAACTGTGACTCCGGGAACCCAAGTGCACCCAACTTCTGCAGCTCCCTCATTGAGCCCAGCCACTGCTCCGCCGACCACAGCTGTTCCAACTGTGACACCGGGGAACCCAAGTGCAGCGCCCACTTCAGCTGCTCCCTCATTGAGCCCCACCACTGCTTTGCCAACCACAGCTGTTCCAACTGTGACTCCGGAACCCAAGTGCAGCGCCCCCTTCAGCTGCTCCCTCATTGAGCCCCACCACTGCTCCACCAACCACAGCTGTTCCAACTGTGACTCCAGGAAACCCAAGTGCAGCGCCCACTTCAGCTGCTCCTTCATTAGCCCAGCCACTGCTCCGCCACCACAGCTGTCCAACTGTGACTCCGGGAACCCAAGTGCAGCGCCCACTTCAGCTGCTCCTTCATGAGCCCCACCACTGCTCTGCCAACCACAGCTGTTCCAACTGTGACTCCGGGGAACCCAAGTGCAGCGCCCACTTCAGCTGCTCCTTTATTGAGCCCAGCCACTGCTCCGCCGACCACAGCTGTTCCAACTGTACTCCGGGGAACCCAAGTGCAGCGCCCCTTCAGCTGCTCCTTCATTGAGCCCCACCACTGCTCTGCCAACCACAGCTGTTCCAACTGTGACTCCGGGGAACCCAAGTGCTTCACCAACTTCAGCCACTCCTTCATTAGGCCCCACCACTGCTATGCCGACCACAGCTGTTCCAACTGTGACTCCAGGAAACCCAAGTGCAGCGCCAACTTCAGCTGCTCCTTCATCGAGCCCCACCACTGCTCTGCCGACCACAGCTGTTCCAACTGTGACTCCGGGGAACCCAAGTGCAGCGCCAACTTCGGCTGCTCCTTCATTACGCCCCACCACTGCACAACCAACCACATCTGTTCCAACTGTGACTCCAGGAAACCCAAGTGCGGCACCCACTACAAGTAACCCCGCAACAACTGGCACTACTAGTACTGTGAATCCTTCGTCTAGCACATTGGCTCCATCTGGAAACACCATGCTCCCAATTGCTGCAGGTCCACTGACATCCAGTCCTACCGAAGCCTCTGGCACTTATCAGCCTACTCACTTGCTGAATGGTGGTTTTACATCTAGCCCTACGAGTTTGGTGTCGCCACGCCCCACGCAAACGAGTACTTCACCTGCCACAATGAGCAGCCCTGCCCTTCAGACTGGCAATCCTTCCACCCTTACTCCAACCACAAATAGCCCGACTACCCCCCAGACGGCCAAGCCTTCTTCCCCTCCTCCAACAACACCAGCTCCCACGTCAACACCCAAACCAACGCTCTCACCAACCACAACGAACACACAGGTTGTGAAGGCCTACAATGCGTGGGATGTTTCCAATTCAATTGGTTTGACTACCAGTATGTTGACCAGTGGGCCTGACAGACAAGGTCTGCACAATGCGTATAAACAGTTCGTCAATGAAGTGGTGGGGGAGTTGACAACAAATAGGAGAAGGCTGAAACTCTCGGAGCACCGACGGCGGTTGGTTTCCTATGATCCGTCGTCGGCTCTAGTTTACAAGGTTACCGATACTCCATGCCCGCCTTCCGCTGTGGAGAAGTCAAAATGCCACACAGTGCATGGTCGTTTCAACCTCCATGTTCCTCCGGAGGAAGATGCAAATGAAGTATATGCTGCATATGTGAATGCAACACAAGCTGCCATTGAGGAGGGAAGACTTCAGAGGAAGCTGGAAAAAGTGGACCCTGGATCAGCTTTCTTTGTTGAACGGCCCTCAGACCCGGAAGTGGCATTATCATCAGTGTCAAGCCGAGCAATTGTGGATCCCGACTTGCAAACTAATAATGAGGAGAGCAGCAGTAACGGAATTGGGCTGCTTGGTATCATTCTCATTGCAGCGGGGTGTGCAGCTGTCTTAGTGATTATTATTGCTGTGTCTACGATTGTACCGAACAAGGAAAGGAAGAAGCCGGATAAAAACAAGAAGAAGTCCGAGGATAAGCCACCTGCAACGGAGGTGTCGGAAACTGACCTGTCCACGGCTGTAGTCACAGAGACTAGCTCCGACGAGAGCCACCGAGAAGAGGTAGAAGAGCTTGTTAGGAAGAATTGCCCTGATCACCTTGACGATGTGGATGCCTTGTTGCGTCAGTTTTCCGGTCGCGAAGAATTGTTGATCCTCACGCTCCAAAATATGGCGCAAGAAGATGATCTTCACCTTGCCGAATCAAACGACTATGATGTTTCCTCTAATCATGAATGCAACCAGGATTCCCAATCGTTGAGTGGAGAGCTGGAAGAAGCTGAAGGTTTTCGTCGTGCTAAGGACACGGATTCTAGCCAGGTGCTGAGAATCCTGCCCGGTGGCCTCGAAGCAGCCACCGACGATGCCAAAGATGAAGCTGCAACGTCGGAAGTTTCCAAAAGTTTGGAGTGCTCTACTAGTGGCTTGCACGATCGAGACAACCGAATTGTTAGTGATGCGGACAGTTTCATTTTCGATGCTCCCAAGGATGGTGGATCTCATTCATCGACGGATAAGTGCTCTTCGACTGTTCCAGACAGTGGGCTAATTGAAGGTGAAAACGTGCAACGTGCTGCGGTGAACGACGACACGCATGAAGACGCATTCATCGCTGAGTGTATTGCAGCCGACGAAAAAACACAAGAAACTATGGATTCTGAGGATGACAAACATGAGGATACCAGAGAGAAACCCCGCTGCGGCGATCCTGACAACTTGTCTGCCGGATCAGAGAGCTGCAGCAGCGAAAATAGCAGCAACAGGAAATATTGGCTTCAGGATGCCAATGGCGCTTGGATTGAGGTAGATGGTCCTGAAGATATTGATGAATCAGAAAGCGAGATCGAAATTTCTGAAGGGGATCCCTCGGCTTCCAACTGGTTTCAACGAGGCAAGCAAATGTTAGAAGACTTCATCTATGAGGATGTGTCCATCAACGACGATGAGTCCATCAAAGACGATGAGTCCAGTCACTACGATGATTCGACATGCTTTGAGCCCTCAAATAACGAAGCTAAGGAGGGTGGAGTGAACGTGAGCGGCCAAGAATCGCTGGCGAAGATCGAAAGCTCAAGTAACGCACAGGGCACTGCAGCACTTGAAGATGACAACAGGAAAAGTGCAGACGCTTCCAGTTACGAGACCTCTGTGGCCCTTCTGGTGGCTATTGAAGAAGACAAAGATGAGGAAGACTCCCAAAGAAACCACGACGTCGGATCAGATGGAGATATGCAACACCCGACGAACCACACCACCGATCAGCCGCCGAAGTTGGAGGAGGGCATTGGAAACGAGCTCACGCCACAGTTGCATGAGGAAGAAGGCCTACAAAACCCTCAATCCATGGAAACTTCAGCTTTTGCAATCAACGAAAGCAGTGACGACCGCCTTGACGATGAAGGTTGGGTTCTCGACTTGAAAGAGCGGCATGGAGAGGCCCTGCAACGAGTACATGACAGTGAGACTGGTAGTTCCAACCAAGATACCGAGATCAACGACTCCAACGAAGTTGTTGGAGTGGCAGACGCAACAAGCGCCACCGCCATCGACGACGAAGAAGAATGCCAGGAGAAGATTGATGCTGCAGAACAACAAGTTGATGCAGCAAGTGGCACTGTCGACCTAGAGAAACAACTCGATGATGTTGCCCGATCCGAGCACCCCGAGGCTGGAAGATCCACTATCGAAACGGTGGAGCCAAAGGATCCAGCGGAGGCTGAACCAGAAACCATGCAAAACAACCAGAAGGAGACGGATGACCATGACGCTCATGTCGAAAACAATGTCGCCCATGAGTTTGAACCTGACACCGAAAAAGGTCGGGGCACTGACGAGCCCAACAGCTGCAACATGAGCGAGGAGATATTCGATCAGGTGGAAGACGAACCTGAACAAGCTGACAATTGGGACGCTGTTGACCAAGATGAGCACCAGATCACTGAGATTGAACCAGAACAAGTTCAGGTTGTTGACTATTCTGATTGCGACAATGACAATGACAACGACAACGTCAACAGCATGAAGGAAAGCAATGGACAGGAAGACCCGGACGTTGTTGGAACAGGAGAATCATCGGAGTCTAAACACGAAGAGGTCCAGGTCATTGCCGAATCCGAGGTGTACGCAAATAGGGATGAAGAGCCCAAAGACCAGGCTGTAGAACATGAAAAAGACGAGGAACTCAAGGGCGGTGCTGAAGAGCCCGAGAACACGAATAGCTCTGGAGAAGTGACCAATGTCCCAAAGCATACTACTGGTGAACCAGTGATTGGTCAGACAAAAGTTGAGACTGACGCGAACGAAGACATGAAGGACCAGGAGGCTGATGACCGCGAAGACATGGCCGTCACGGCGGAACCTCACGTTACAGGAGCGCCAGAAAGTTCAGATCAGGATCCTTCGGCAAGCGGCTCTGCGCCTTTGACCGGCGAGACCTCACTTGCGGAAGAAATGCCGCAACGTGAGGACTCGTCCTCAGCCTCGGACGAAGGCTCCGTAAGCAGCGGCAGTGACCAAAGCGATCAATCAGATGCCTCCGAGGGGCACTAGCTAGTCCGCACTCTTGTCGTTGGCCAGCAGGAAACCAAATAAAAAACAGCGAATGCATGCAGTAATTATAGGTGTACGCTAATATCTAATTGGATTTGTGCATTTAGTAAGGAATGGTGGTGGTGGGACATGTAGCAATCTTGTGCAAACAGCAGATCGAGTCTGCAGGGGTGTGGGCAACGCAAGGCAGGCAACCACCCACCTCACACTACTGGGTCGTACGTAATGTACCATCCCAACACCGGCCTTAGCATCCCACCGGTGCTACTGACATCCTCGTCCTCATCGAGTTGCTCGACTCCACGAAATCCGGCGTGAAAGTGGAGGTGAAACTCGTCTTCGAGGTAGTTCCACAACACGGGCGCCGACGACATTTGAATGGGGATATGGCTCGGATCGGGTCCTTTCTGGTCTCCCATGGCAGAGAGACTCCAATGTCGCAAGTATCGATTCTCGCGAATTTCTCCATTGCCAAAAGTCAGATAAGGAAAGAGATTGGGCAACCATCCCGACAAGAAATCATAGGCACCACTTCCATCCGCGCTGTTGCGGAATTTCACCATATTTTGCCAAAAGCAATAGTTCACATTACCATCGTACGCATCAATAAACTGATCTAGAATGGGCACCACCACGTCATTGATCCACAAGTCTCCTTGGGGATGATTGACCAACATGAATTCACTGAGATGTTGGGTGCGGGTCCGTAGTGCCACCCAATCTTTGCGACGGCCTTCGAGTTTGATTTGCGGAATGCCACAGGCGGTCGTCATGGAATAGCTAAAGTATGCCTTGAGTGCCGCCATGAGTGTGATGCGGGATGCCGCATGACTGGTGGGTGTGGTGGTCGTGAAGGTTTGTTCGACCATCAAGTCGTAGACGAGTGTATTGTTCATATTGGCGCGAATCTCTTCTGCAAACTTTGGGAATATCAAGGCTTCCCACTGTTCGGGCGGGGATTGACGTCGCAACATGGTATCTTCTTGGATATGAATCTCTGCTTGTCCCGTGTGGTTGACAAAGTGATGTCTGAGCTCTTCCGCATATTGGTCCACGTGATAGGCGAATCCGGAGGCAATGACCGCCCAGAGATGATCCGGAGACAGAGCCAAGGGAAGATGCTGGGCAAACGCCAGCATTCCCGCTGCCAAAAAGCCCTGTCCACCGGCAAAGACAGTCTTGTCAGGGTCCAGTCGGGACATGATTTCGACATGCACTTCCGGGGAGAGTGGAATCGGGTAGGTGGGTTCGCGATAAAACTTTCCCGCCTCGGTTAGGACGGCTTCCAGAATGTCACTTTCACTGAGGCGAGGACTCTGCAAGTGTTCCGGAAGTACTTGGGGAACTGTCTCCACGTTAAAGATGACGCCATTCTCCAGTACCGTGTGATTGGCGACCACATCAAAGGTCCGATTAAAGGGGGAGCCAATGGTGGTGTAATCCAACCACGAGGGTGTGATGAGATCAATCGAGGGGCTTTCAAAGGGTTCTTCGAACAGATCGGTAAAGTATTCTCCGTCGGCCAATCGACACTGTGACGCCTCGAGAGGAAACGGAACCAAGGTGGGGTCTTGGCGGCTGATGGCAGAGAAGTCCCCAATCTCCCACAGTATCGTCATGGGCCGTTGCGTCTCTTGGACCGTGGTGGGCATCTGGGTGTTATCACTTCGACTATTGGTGGTGGAAGATGTAGTTGTAGTCTCATCCTGTGAGAGAATCTGGGTATTCGTCGTTGTGCTTGTTGTCGCCGAAATCATGGCGCTTCCGTCCTCACTACTACTGTTACCCCTGACTATCAATAGAATCAACACACCCAGACTCAGTAGTAACACGGATCCCGAGACGATCATAGCGACTCTGCCTCGCGGTACGAATCGCTGGAGAACGGCGCATCGGTAGTGCACTCGCTGGGGAACTTCGGTAGGGTGGGATCTCACTACTTGTCCCTCTTCGGCTGCTTCCGAGTCGTCCCCTTCTGTACCATCGTCGGGATGTTGCTCTTTCATTGTGGCTTACTCTTCTTCGTCAAACTAAGCTGTGCGTTATGCGTTGTGGGTTGTTGTCTACTCTATCGTCTGGTGCTCTACACTGTACCGCTACTTGTCAAGAGAGAGAGGAGCTTGTGTTGGGCATGATGGAAGGTCCAGGTGGGAACCTTCGAACTTCGAAGCGAAGCAGTGCCGCACGATTGCTGACTGTCACTCGAAGGTAAATTTCACGGCACCAAAAGATTAAACATTTAAACACGAGCGTCGGAAAAGGAATATTCCCGTTAGCAATTTTGTTAAGCCCACTGCTACCTGTGACAAAACGTGGAACCGGTGAAAACCATCAAGGCAAAAGGGAAATAAGCCAGCGGAGCTGTGTAACCTCGGCAGAAAGGTTTCAGTGTAGAAGCAGATACCCCTATTAGCTAGCTAGCTAGAAGCAGATACCTGTAGTGCTTAGCTAGCTAGTGCCTAACTTGCGCTTAGCTAGCTAGAAGCAGATCCCCTAGCTAGAAGCAGATTCCCATAGCAAGCTAGAAGCAGATACCCCAAGCTAGCTAGAATACTAGTTATATAGCTTTTGCTAGCTTTATAGTTTTTCCTGGTAGAAGCAGATCCCCCTACTAGGATGCATGTAAATAGCTTTAGCTGGTTTAAAAGCACCATCCGAGGATACTTATTTAGTTTTTGCTGACTTATTTGTATTCTAACCCTACCCTTATACCTGCAGGGACCACCGTAGCAGGAAAAACAATTAACACGTGTTAAAGGGGTTGAGGGCTCTGGCAGCAAGACTGCCGAGGTAAATGAAGATAGGGATGTACAGGCTACGGGCACTGGTACCGGTCAGGGATGGACGATGTTGAAATAGGTTGATGAGGACGTTACCAGCTGGCGATTTCGAGATCCTCGTTTCGTTCCATATGGCTTCTGCCCCTATTATTTCTTGCTGAAGGTAAGACCTGGTGCAACCCAGCTACCAAGTAGCAAGCCACTTACGTACCGCTAGTATTAATGGAAGAAAGACTGGATGTTGGTTTGGTGGCTCACTGCCATTCTTACCGTCCATGATGTTGTTAGTTCCCATGGATGCCTTTCAGGTTCCAGCTGGGCTGAATTGGGTGGTGGTCATCTTGTATTTGTGTCGAACGCGTCATGCTTGACGGTGGATGCAACACGAGCCGATTCTCCTTCCCTTGCCCAAAGAGGGAGATCGGTTGCAAACGCTGAATCGGTTTCACAAGTTGAACTATCGTTGGGAAATTTCATGGTCGGGGGGCATCATCTGCCCAGTTCTCAAAATCCACCCTGTTGTTGTAGCCGATATCGGTGACATGAAATTCGGACAAGACTTTGAAAGTCCACTGCCTTTTCTCCGTTTTCATCTTGGCAGCGATGCGACCCAGTGGCTTATCAACCACCCACACGGACTTGATACGCACAACATTCGCAAGCTCGAACTCTTTTTGAATGATATGGGAAACAAAGTTGCAAAGGGGCGCACAACTGCCATCATTGGGCAGATGTTGCTACGCCGCCTTTGTGCGGTGCAGCTTGGCCCGGTCATGTTCCTGGTTGAGGCTACGGATACAACTATAAATCCTCTACGTTTGTCAAATGCGTGCCTTCGTGCGACGAATGAACTGGTTGAGGACTTTGAAAAGTTTGACAACCTCTACGACGACGACGACAATGTGTGTTTCGACAGGGATGGAGTCACCCCCCGAGACGAGGACTGAGCGCCGAAATGGAAGTGCAACATTGGAAGAAAAGACTGTTTTAAAGAGTGGAAGAGGGGCCGCACCTCGACAGATAAGAACAAGCTAAACCTTGACCGCTACGAAGGAAAACATTGTTCACAAGAGGTAATTCGAAAGCTATGGATGCTTGTCCCTCGGACGCAATACGTCGGATGATTGCAAAATTTTCAAATCCAACTGGTTTCAACTGGCCTCGGCAATCTCGTAGCTATCCGTACCGGTAGGGGGGGTACCGGTACGGAGGACGTTGTACGGTAGTTTCCAGTTTTGCTTGCAAGCTTCCTCGTGTCGTTTCATGCGATGTCTTCCCCGTAAGATCACTTGCTGAAGGTTGGACCTGGTGGAACCTACCGTAGCTATAGTTACAGCTATACCGGTACTTAGGAGACTGGATGCTGGTTTGCTCGCTCCCTTACATCACTAACAAGGGATGCGGAACGTCGCTGAAATAAATAAAACGAGATCCCTCTTCTCCTTGCTAGTAGGATTAAGACCGACAATGGCTATTTGCTATGTATGCTTCACAAGGGAACGTCAAAGGTGAATGTTCCTGAATTAGATTGAGGCCGTCTGGATGGATTCCAAAGGTCCATCAATAAAGTCGCAACGAAGATCATGCAGTGCAGCAGCTCGGAAAGGACAATACAAGACATTCTTCCCATCGGTTGCCACTCCAAACACGGCTCCTGACGCTGTGGCGGAAATGGACCACATCTTGCCGTCCACCTTTTCCCAAGGAGCTGCAGTCGCAAGGGTTTGCCAATTGAGCTTCATGTACCAAATGTCGTTCCATTCGTCAATCATCCAAAGGTCATTCAGACCACCAAGCGCCACTTGACGAGGAGTGCCAGCCATCCCTGTGCATGCTAGGCCTGCATCCAGTCCCACTTCATTAGTGACTCAACCAGTCACAGACCCTTCTCAGCCATTCTTTTCTCGATCCTTTGCCGCAACAACCAAGTGAAGGTTGTGACAGACAAAGAGCCGAGCGAATGAGCCACAGATTTGCAATGAAACTTGGATTGTCCGCCTTCTAACTTTTGTCTTGGTGCCACCAAATCGCCAAAGTGAGAGCATCCAGCGCTGGCTCACACAGGCGGGTAGCTCCACCACACAGTGCCTTGCTACCTTTGGATTTTCAAATGACGAATGTGGGATGTTCCAACTCCGCGGCACTTGCCGTCGCTCTGCCTGCGCTAAACAGCACACTCCTCGTCCAGTAGGTGACACTCAAGTCAACACGGTGACTGCTCTTTTGACCACTGGTTTAAGGGGCACCCAGCCACCCCGCAACTGACTACCACACACACACCTACACTTTCCATCTCAACAGACCATCCCACATGACCCAATACCCGGTACATTGAGACAGAATCACACTCCTTCGCCTCAGAATCTTGCTCCACCACAAGCCACAGCCGAGCATCTGAGCCAAATCACACAACAAACATTTTCATCTACCATCACTAAAAAGAGACTGCACAACTCCCTTCACCTCACAACTCACGCTATCACACAACAACACAAACGCCTCCGAATTCTCCCGCCCGACCCAATCCATCCTCCCACCCCGACTGCAGAGCCCAACAACCCGCATCACGGGCAGCGTCCTTTCACCAACCACAGCAGCCATCTGCCTACGGCAACCGCTCGCCCTTCCCCGCCTCCCCAAGCTGCCGCCCGACGATTGCGCCGTGAACACCACCTCCACAATCAAGCTGTGGCGCTAGCCACACAGCACCTTCAAACTTCGTCGTCATCCCCAGACCAACCCACTCCCACCGCTCCAACACCTGCACCGGCAGCTCGTCGCCTGCATCAGGTTCCGCCACCCCAGCATCCGGGCCGCACCGGCCCAACCCGCCAACTACGAACCACCTTGACTGACACCATTGCCCCTGCCACCATTCAGGATGTCTTCAGCATCCTTACCCAAACACAAAGTAAGTCCAATCCTCATGTTCCTCTGCGTGGTTTGATGTTCCCCGGCCCCCTTGCCCAGGCCCACCCGGCTGGCCCACAACTGAAAGAGTACGGTACAACAGGCTGTCCTGTCGACATCACAGCAAACTGGACTTTGGACGAACTTGACGCTGCCGTGCAGTACGGCGCCCATCCATCCGCCGAATCCGCCGAAGCCGCCCAGGCATGCCGTACCGAAGCCCTGGAAAAAGTCGATCAAGGTTTCGTCAAGCTCATGCCATGGAAAACGCTCCGTGCCAACATTGCCAAAGGTCTCCTGACACACACCAAAATCAGTCCCATTGCGGCGATCCCGCACAAGAGCCGCCTCTTTCGAATGATTTTGGACCTGTCGAACAAAGGTCAACGCCGACGAAAGCAAGGCCCCCAATCAGTCAACGAGCTCACAAATGAAGATGCAGCGCCTCGACATTCCATGGATCAACTTGGAAAAACCCTTGGCCGCATCATCTATGCTGTCGGCACCAGACCCGCCGATCAGGGTCCAATTTGTTTTGCAAATTGGACATCAAGGATGGCTTCTGGCGCATGT